GCTCGGTATATTTTAGCTGATGGAGGGGCTTCTCAGAACATCATGTTAATGTACACAGTTATCTCAGAACCTTTTCAGAGAGGCTGGACATTGTGGATATGAGTGTTATTAACATCATAACATGGGTAAATTTCCATTTAGGCTTACACTGTTTCTGCCATTCCACACAGAAACCAGATTCCCTATTTTGCACTTACAGATTCTCCACTACCAAAAAATTGCCCCTCCCAGTAGAGAATTTCCCATTTCTTTATGCACCAGCATATCCCAGGCTCTTCCCACCATATACCTGGATTTAAAAATTTATGACTTAGTATTTCAGATTCATATTTGAAATGGTTTTGTAGAAATGTGAAACCTTCACATCAAAAAGCCAGTACCCTGACTCCAAGGGGGGGGCTGTTAAGCAAAACCCTGAGTAAGTGATATCAGGCTGCTCTCAGTGTTTTCTGCCATCAGGCACTCAGTTCTTCCCAGAAATACACACCAGAATGTTTTAAAGAAACGAGATTTGTCTGCTCCAGTTTTGCTTTTCCCCTGGGTGGCCTGACAGAGCAGGCACCAGGCTGACAGCTCTGCAGACACGAACAACTGCAGTTTGCATTCAGCACAGAGCTGAGGGCGGGAGGATGCCCAGGATGTGTGAGAACACGTGGTAACACCCAGAAGGTGGGACATTTGGATCCAAACCTTCCTTCCTCACGCCCCTGAGAGCACTGGAATCACCCTCCCCTTCCTGACAGCCTGAGTGCCACGTGTGTGCTAACTTCACACTTCTGATTTCACTTTCCAGAAGAGAAATTAAGATTCCCTGGGCTAAGGAGAGATAGAGAAACTTAGCCTGAAGGGCCTGGTCTCTGGTCCCTCATCTAGCACTGCTTACACAATTAAACACAAAATCTTTGTGAATCCAGCTGTCACTGCTCAGGGAAAATGTTGTATTACAGAGATTACATTTTCTTCTTATTCATGCAAGGACAAAGCATGATTACAGCTCCTTTTATTGGAGTCTCAAACTGACAGATCTATAAATAGGAAGCAGTGTGTCCCAGCACAACTTATAATACTGATGCAACTGGAAGTAATCTGAATCACAATGATGGCATGCAGGAACAATTCTATGTCTAATATATATATATATATATATACACATGGTGGTATTAATTTCTCCATTTCTCATATATTTATGACACCACCACACTTACAGAATGGAATTAAACACTAAGGAGCAGCAAACATGGTCAGCAGTTTCAAACTTCCTTTTGGCTGGATTGTTTTCTTTTAAGAGGGACTTTCCTTTAAGTTGTAAATCTAAGTATAATGGGAGTTCTTAGTGTGAATCATTAAACTTTAGAATAGCTTGCAGGAGGGCAAGAGATAGAAATCTTCTCATTTCTCCTAGGACACGACCAATACTAGGACCAATGAAACCACTCATTAGTTGCCCATAACATCAATTTAGAACCAATAATGAAAAACACTGTGGTAAAGAACCATAAAAAAAAAAATCAGTGATGAAGTGACTGAGTCCTACACTTCTAAGTTTAAGCTTAAAAGGGCATTTGAATACCAGAGCTTATTTTTTTTTATTGCCAAAGACTATAATATAACTGTAAGAAAAAAACCTGCAAATCTGCACATCATCTGACACACAGGTTTTTACCCAGGGCTGCATGAAATGCTCCAGCATTTCATTCATACTTAAATTTGATAGTAATAATGGACCCCCAAAGTGCCAACACTGCAACCTGACATGTTCTATGTGTATAATCATACAGCGCAGGAAAGGTCGGGAATTCCTGCCTCATCAGTGCCTTAAAGTATAAAAAATGAACCAGCAAGGTGGGAAAAGTGTCATCTCCTGAATCACTGCCATAACTGGCACCCTGACTCTCCTCGGGAGGGGTTGTCTCAGCAATCGCTTTGCTCACGGGGGCTCATGGCACACAGCGAAATGGAACCTCCAAAAGAGAAGCTGAAGCACCTTCCATGTTTATGACAATTATCATTTTGACCCAATTACTGGCTTAATTTTCTCCTTGCTCTGCCTGTCTGCAAAGCAGCTTTGCACAGTCATCTTCTGGCAGCGAACCCAGGAGGGCTCCTCCGCACCAGGACCTCTCTCTGGAGGTGAAGGGAACCTTCAGGGGTTTCAGAGATCACGCATTAAAGCACAAACCCTCTTGTAACACCTCAACATTCCCTGCAGCGCAGTCCGCGCTCGGCCGGTCCCGCCGGGGCACGCCGTGAACGACCCTGCCGGGGCGGGCGGCGGTGCCCGGGCCGTGCCCCACGCGGGCAGCGCTCCCCGCCGCATTCCTGGCACCCAGCTTTGTCCTGACACAGCAGCACGGCGGGTGCGGGAATGCGGGGACCCCAGGGGAGGCCGCGGGGAACCGCCCAACCCGCACCGAGCGCGGGCACGGAGCGAAGCCGCCCCGGGGCGGGAGGGCCGGGCCGGAGCCCCCGCGGGGCCGGTGCGGGCACGGACAGCGAGTGCCGGCAGGGCGGGAGCTGCGGGAACGGGGCCCGGGAGCAGCGGGGCTCGCAGCCACCGCAGCACTGGCCGGGGCTCCCGGGGCCCCCGCGGGAGTCGAGGGACCCTCCCGCTGCCCTGCAGCGCCGGGCCCTGTGCGGGCGGAGCGGCCGCGCTGCCCCGCGGTGCCGAGAGCTCGGACAGTCCCGTCCGCGCCGCCCTCCCCGCACCGGCAGAACCCACCCCAGCCCAGGCCGCGCTCCTGCCCCGCCACCGCCCGCAGAGTCCCCACCGGCCGGGCGGCGCCGGGAGGCGCAAAAGCGGCGCGGGTCCCCCCGTACCTGGCGGGCCGGGCGGCGGCGCCGCTGCCCCGCTCCGGTGTCGGTGCGGCGGGCGCAGCCTCAGGCAGCCGCCATGTTGGTGACACCCGGGCCGGCACGTGGGGACGCGGCCCCTCCTCCTACCCACAGTGCCCTGCGGCCGCCGCCGCCGCCGCCGCCGCCGCCAGGGGGCGCTGTGCCGGCCCGCGGCGCAAAAGCAAAGGCTGTGGCAGCGGTGGGATTCGAACCCACGCCCCCGAAGAGACTGGAGCCTTAATCCAGCGCCTTAGACCGCTCGGCCACGCTACCGCCCTGGCAGCGCCCGCCGCGTCGGCTGCTTTAGCTCATTCCTGCCTTTTCCCTTCCTTTCCCCTCCATCCCAGCAATCGCTCTCCCCACACACCCTTTTCCACCTGAGAAATGAACCGCTGTGGGGTTCTGTTCGACCCCTGGACGTCTCCAAGCCGGTGCACGTCCAGCGGGGCGGTGCAAACAGGGGCGAGCAGCGCCTTGGGGACAGTGCCCGAGCCTTGCCTGCCCGGGCCCTCCGCGCCGCCCCCGCTGCCACGTGGATGCCACGGCGCAGCACAGTCGGCTCCGCGGAACGCGGGGCATCGCCCCGGCACACACCCACCCCGAAAGTCTAAAAACGATTCTGAAGTTTTAATTTTCTGTTGCAAAGTTACGACTCGCTGAATGTGCAGAGCCAAAAGCCGGCAGGCTCTGCGGCTGGGGGTTGAGGTGTTCTGCTCGCAGCACAGGGAGGCTGGAGCAGAGGCAGGAGCCAGGACAGTGCTGTGCAAAGGGGCACCAGCAGCCCTCATGAACGTGCCTCTGAGACTCTCTGGCCATATTTTACCTGAAAGTCTGGTAAGTTTTCTTCAGGAATTAGTGTTATCCTCTCTGCTTAATTACAACTGAAAGTTTGTATTTGGAGAAGAATTCATTCAACCCTTTCCCCTGGCACCTCCCACAGCCTGTCCCTGCAGCACCCGGCACTCTCTTGCCTGGGAGCTGCTGAACATGGAATCCTAGAATGGTTGGGAGGCAGGGGTTGGAATTGCCATTTAAAGGCCGGCTCGTCCAACTCCTTGCAATGAGCAGGGGCATCTTCAACTACGTCAGGTTGCTCAGAACCCCGTCCAACCTGGCCTTGAACGTTTGCAGGGATTGCATTCACCAACCTCTCTGAGCAACCTCAGCGTCTCACTGCGAGAGGCTGCAGCTTTGCAGAGTCCTGGTAGAAATTTCACTCCCTGCCTACACGTACTGAGGACTAACAGCGCACACGTGTCAGCATGAATGGGCTCCTCCCCCTCCGGCGCTGCTGCTCTTCCACACCCCCAGTTCAGTGCGGGCTTTTTTTGGGAACAGGACCTGAGGCTCCTCCCACGGCCCTCGCTTTGCAGAGACGCAGGAGAGGTTCAGGGCAGGAGGGAAGACAGGCAGACCTGAATTGGCTTCACACAGCAAATCAGCTGTAATCTGGTTAGGCAGAAAATTGTAAGGAGTCTGGTTTAGCGGTCTCCGGGCATGGGTGTGTGTGTGTGTGTGTGTGTGTGTGGGAGGCTGCAGGGAACACGCATCACAAGCTGTTCCTTATTCCATGGGCTGCTCGGCCCCACAGGTGCTCTAAGTGTTGGCTGTCTCCATGGTTTTTGAAGAAGTTATTCCCACTTCCTTTGTTACACTTGCCAAACACTCGCTGTCACAGCAGCTATAGCTACAGATTACAAAGGCTACTAAGCTACAGCCAAATTTCACCATTTTTCTTAGTGATTCTACAGTGCAGATGCCCAGCTGGGGCTTTTTTTGTTAGGAGATTCTGCTGTTTCACAGTGCCTGTGCTAGAGAATAATTTCATATTGTTTAAACTACACAGGTACAATAAGTTCTAAATAAAGCAATTAAAAAAAACCACAACAGCAAGAGCTCCATTTTTAACAGTTTGAAATCGAATACAAATCAAAGAGCACATCAACCCTTTAGTTTTCTTGAGGAAAACAGATTTTGTTGGTAACATCTAATTTATTTCCTCCCAGTTTGTTACTGGGACTGCTGAAAGTGAACAAAATCAGGGATGGAATAAAACAAACAATACAGAGAATTTCTGGAAGGCTGCAATAACAGGATTGAATTTTGGCAAATTAGAAAAAACCAAAAGCAAACCCCCACTGCAAAAAATAAAACTCTACTGAGAGAAGTGACAAAAAGAACAATTTTATTGGCCAGCTGGAATGAAACCAGATAACAGTGAATGAGAGGACTAAGTGATGCAGGCAGGCAGTATTTGCATGTCTGACACACAAACAAAGGCTTCCATCTCACTGTCCTTACCCAAGCAATATTCCCACTGACATCTGGAAACACTGAACCCAGGTAAGTTCTGGCAGGCTGAGCCTCAGATTTATTTTCACATTTTGTACAAATACAGATTTTTATTCATTGTGAATAGATTAAAAATACAGCATGTAGCAATATCACTGCAGAAGTTTGTCAAATATATAGTTTTTCCCTTCAAAAGAATGTCACAGAATACCGTTATTTCTGTAAACATAAAAAATTTTCATATTATTGACAGTCCCATTTATTGTATGGCTAAATCCTATGATACCATCTTAGGACAGAAGACAGTCTTCATCATTAAAAAGTAGTATTTGCAAACAAAGAATTAATCATAGTAATTTTTGCACTGAGTTCTGTGCACATTTACATACCAGATCAACACAGAGCTGTCAGCAACTTTAGCAACTACTGAATTTAGCAAATTAAACTACACCAAAAAGTGTCGATAATTACACTCTACATCCTTTACATACACATTTTGGACAGGCACTTTCAGTCTCCTCTCCTCCCTACATGGTTGGTGGTGTTGTCACACACGTTTCCTCCTCAAGGAAAATCTCAAGGACTTGGCATCAACACCTTCTGAGGAAAACTAATCCTTTAGTCTGAATTTGTTGTAGTGCCTGCACTGTACTGGTGCTGCACAAAACACAACTATTCAGCTGTCTTTCGAGGTCACAGCTGGAGTTGTGATGCTTGAACTGAAATAGCAAAAAAGGCCAAAGAGGCTTTAAGTGTCTGAAGCAGAACTCTGGATAGGCACTTCAAACATTCACCTGACTTGCAATCCTACAAACTCTGGTTCTTTTTCAGCATGTTAGGTCCTTAATCTGATTGCTTTAGTACCTTGCTTAATATCACCAAAGACCAACTGAGACCTAGAAATTAGATACTCCTCTATCGATGGGTGAAGAGCTTCGCCTTCACTCTCAAAACAAGACCAAACTAAAAAGGCCGTGGGCACTGCTGTCCCACGAGCCCTGCAATGCACACAAGATGCTGCCATGAGTTGTAAGAGCCCTCATGGCTACAACTGCCTGGTGGTTACAGCACCCACCCAGAAGCAGAACATCCAAAGATAACTCCCTTCTCTCCTTGAAAGGATTGAAATCTTTTTATCTCACATCCTTAACCACCAGGAGATCTCTCAGACAGTGGCAGTTGTTATTAACATCATCCTTGGATATTGTCTGAGCAGGAATTCAAGATCCATTTGCCAGAAAAAGAGAAAATGGGGAGCACAACGTGAGCCCAGTGACAGGCACTGCACAGGACAGGGAGAACTGACTCTGCTCCTTGAGCAGTTTCTGCATTTTACAAGAGATTAATATCACTGGGCTATACAAGAAATCCTGTTCAGCTGCACCATTTCACAGCCTGCTTAGCTTTCAGCATGTTTTGAACAGCTTGGCTGAAGTGGTGAGTACTACAGGTAATTCAGCACTTGACAGGGGCTGCCCCTTATGGACATCAATTTACACCCTCAGCAGACTAAGGCCAAGAAAGCAGAAGTTTCCACCTTAAATCTCCTGCAAAATGACTGTTAACCACAGCCAAGGAATAGGAACAGCTTCTGTACTATCCATAGAGATGGAATAAAATACCAGATTTGGAAGAAACTTCTCTCTATGCCATCATAATTCAACCACCACCACATAGTTGTCCTCCCATTACTGGTCAGGAGCAAACAGGACACAAATACAAGTGTTTGGGGATAATACTGTTCTCCCCTTTTAACCAGCAATTTAACTGACATTTGAAACCATTTGCAGATAAAATACCATTTTAAAATATATTTAAAACATATAAATTGCTTTCTGTACATATAAAAGGCAAATCACCATCTTCTAACCTTTTCAAACATCCCTCTGGACATGGTGGAAAGCATATTGTCATTTTAAGTGAGATGATCTAGCTTCACTGAGAATTGAGATGCCACTGTAAAATTAACTTGAAATTACCCATATATTACAGATCTTGCTACTGTACATCACTGGACACATGGAAGATCAATAGAATTTTAAACAACTAAGCTATTACATGGTGCAAAATGTGGAAGTGAGAGAGGCAGCTGGATGCCTCACCTCATCAGGAACATGAGTGATTTTCTAATGGTGTGATATGCAATGTTGGTGATGAATAAAACATTCCATCCTGAACATCCTCACTGCCAATCGGAAGCATCTTTCCCACCCCTTCCCAAATTGTAAGGATTCTATCTGGAATTCATCTGAGAATAAGAGAAGTGTCCAACAATGCCAGCATAATAGAATGGGACTACTTATTAACATCAGTAGTTGCATCCATAAACTGAGAATTTACATTTATGTGCAAATTTGGTGACTTACACCAAAAATGATGAAGAAATGCTGAGAATTTAGGAAAATGTTTTTTCTGTGCATGGGGAGAAGAAGAAAAATGTAAACACACTGATCATTTGCTGCAAAAAAACCAGGACATGTGAAACCTAAACAATAAGGCTTCATTTTTCTGGTCAAAAGAACTAAGCCCTCTAAGAGTTAAAAAAGTACAAAAGGTCAAGTGTGTCTATATTACAGCTTTAGAACACTAACAGAAGTATGCTATGGCACCCTACATAGTTACAGTTGAATTTCTCCCCTCAAAAAACTTAAAAAACTAAAATACAAAAAAAAAAGGAACTGGTAACATCACATAAAAATATAGCTTTTTAGCTGCAAATGCAGGAAGTCTATAAAAAATTTATATACAGGAACTGCTTAATTTCGACGTCATTCCTCCATCATCGCCCAAGCCTCTTCTGCTTTTTGGTAGTACTGATTTGCCAGTCTGCCTTTCATGGCTTCCATTGCTGCTTCTGCTGCTTCTGTGTAAAGCTCACCTAGAGGAGGAGACAGGATCAGTTATGTTGACAGAGGAAAGAAAAAAAAGAAAAAACATCGCTTTAGCCTGAAGCAAATAAAGGACAAAAGGAGAAACTGAGATCAAACTGCAGGGCCAGGACGTGTGGGTGTGTTTTAATTGTGTCAGAGTTACATCAGCTGGGAATCTGGGTTAAAGTTGCATGACTGGCTGCTGATGGCTCTTCAGTGTATTCTGAAGGACTGGAAACATGACCGGCCTGTAGGACCTCCCCCAAGAGGACTCTAAGACACAGACATCCAACATGGAGATGGCACAGCAAGGAGGAGAATGTTGTGCAGGGGCTGGGAGTTATGGGTGTAAATCAAAATACAAGCAGCAACCTGCAGCTGAGGGGAAGGACCCAGAAGAGCGACCTGGAAGGGAGTGAAGGTTGCCTGGCAGTGACTCAGTGTGTCACAGGATTGCCCCTGGCACCACCCACTACCCCTGTCATTGCCAAGATTTCTTCTTTCACTCTTTCCAGCCTTGTTACACCCAGCATCCTTGCAGCTTCACCCACAAATCCAAAAGGTACTGACCCCCTGGATGTTTTGTAGCAGTTAAAGCAGGAAGTCTAGTTTTGGGGTGCATGCTGGGGTAAAAGGGAAGGAAAAGCAGGATTACTGATTACAGAAACAAAAGAAGGCCTCACCTGATCTCTGTGGATCCTTATCCAGGTGGAACCCTCCTGTCATTAACATCTCTGCCTCCCTGGCCAGCAGCAGGTAGCGGGGCTCATCCTGAGTGCCATCATACTCCCCTCCCTCATCGTAGTCAGTCATGTTCAGTGCAGCGTTGTACCAGTGCAGGGCCTCCTTCCAGTCCTGGCCTCTGAAGTTAAACACAATTTTTGAAGATGGTTCCCTTAGGCAACAAATGTACTTTGCACTGGAGATTCAGAATCCAATTCTGCACTGACTTCTCAGAGCCTCGATGCTCCCAAGGAAGCAAACATTCTCCTGGAGGCTCACTAACTGCACTGCAGCACCAGGTCACAGCAAAATCAGCCTGGGGTCAGGAATTAGGTGAGGAGAAAGTATCAGACTGAAGTGTTTTGCTGAACTCCAGAGTCTGAGCTTCATTACCCGTTGTGTGGTTACTGAGAATGCTCAGTGCACTTCAATTAGAAGTGCAATGTTGTTTGGCAAAGGTGAATATAAAGTTTCACTGTTGTGCAAAATGGAAAACTCATGTAAATAACAAGGACATGCTAAAATACAAAACCAGAAAAACCACTATCACCACTGTTATATTTGATACTTAAGGAAATTAGTATTTGTCCACTTTCAAAAACTCAAGGTCAAATTAAGAGAGACTTTCTGAGGTAAAAGCATTTGTAAACTTCTTAAAATTTAAAATCATCCTTAATTAAAAGTAACATACCTGTCTGCACCAAGATTTACACCTGTATCATATGCTCTTGCTATCAGGATCATGGAAGGCCGGTCTCCAGCTTCTGCTGCTCTCAGCAAGTAATTAAATCCTTTATTTCTGTTCTCCTTTGTGTCCTGGTAAAACAAACAAACCTTTTCAAGTGCATGTTTCTAAGGAACACCATCCCTTCCTCCCTCTAACACTAAATGCAGTTTCCCCATGTCAGTAATGGCTGCAAGTGTTTGGTGTGTCTGAGAAACAGGCACAGCCACAAGAAACAAAGCAGCTGAACAGTGAAGATGACTTCAGAAACTTCCCAAAGGCATGCAGTAATTTCCTGGCAAAACCAGAAAGAGGCAGGAATTTTTGCTGTTTTGTCCAAGTCCTTAATTACAGTGTCATCTCTTTCCTCTGAGGGGCTACAGAACACCTGACTATGGTTACTGTTTTCTCTCTATTTCCCGCTGTTCTTATGTTATTTTTACAATCCACCACAACCTGTGTTTTGGCATTTTCTTGGATGCGTTTACCTCCAGGGTGACCTCAGAAAGAATGTGATGTGGCAGCTGAAAGCACATGAGTCCCAACCCAACGATGGCTTCGAGCTCCCCACAGTCTGCAGCGTGTTCCAGGTGAAACAGGGCCGACTCCCGGTCCCAGTCCTTGTCCTTCCCACAGAAACGCCCGGCTTCGTGGTAGCGAACCATGGCCAAGTGGACCTGCGGCACCATCGCACGGAGGAGAGGCACAAGTATTTCATGGACCTCATCCTTCCAAAGCCTCCTGCCCACCCTTTACCAGGTCTTAGGGACATGTCCTGGCACACCTGCTGGGGCTTTAGAGCTCCAGGAGGGAATCACAGTTAAAGGCACCCAGCCTGCGACTGCCTGGCACTGCAGCCAGCAAGGCAAACAGCAGTGACTGTCGGGGCACAGACTTCAGTGCACAGCAAGGGCCTTCCCAGGGGAGGAATTAACCTGAGGCAACAGAAAATCAAGGCTATCAGGGGTAAAATCCTCACACCACTGAAGCCTTCATTATCAGTGGGGGGTGGGATTGCATTCCAAACACGCCATGGGATTTTGAGGGACTTTCTGACTTCCCTCCCCAAGGGAAAAATTGGCTTCTTCACAAACCTAAAGTTTTGAGAACACCAAAGTCTCTCAGGATGTTCAGGAAGATCTACACCGTGTTTTAAGTGTGGGCTTAAGCCCATGCATAAACCCAAACTTATTCACATTTGCAATTATCTTGAGATAGTCTGGAGTACAAAGAGCTTGTGGGTGCTACCATTTTTCCATGTGCCAGGTATGTGGGTCAGGCACACCACAACTATCCCACTGTAACTTCCCTGGATGATGCCTCTGGAAAGGCAGACTAACCCACAGCAGGGTCCTTCCCAAAGGAGCCCAGATGCTGCAAGTCCAAAAGCAGATGAAACTCATCTGAGGGCTCATCTGAGGGCTCCTCAGCTCAGATGTCCTTCACACAGTATGGTCAGGGGACACAAAGCTATGCATGTGTTTATTTTCACCTGCACAGATAAACTCATGCAGGGCAACACCTCTGTGTAAGTAATAAATATGTTTCTTTCCAGTTGGAAAAAAGAGGATTTCTAGACCCATCCTACCTTTCCAAGGACTGACTTCCCTATTTTCTTTTCAAGTTCTAGTGCATTGAGCCTCTGGATTTCTTGGGCAACACAAGATGGTCTGTGGACATGAACTCTGGAAGAGTTGTACAGATTCCATTTCTCCACACTGATCTGAAATATGAAATAAACTATTATTTAAATGCAAAATTAAAATTTTCGTATATATGGATTACCATCCAGAAATCAAAGCCTCCATTAATATTGCTACTTATTAGTAAATACTGTAATTTGAGACACAACTTTCAAAAGTCATGTTAGGAGCTGAATAAATGGTTATTATTCATCGCTAAAGAAATAAAGCCCTCTATTTCTAATCCAAACATCATCACTTTGCAATGAAGCAAAGAATCATCTCAAAGTTCTGAATCAGAAAAAAGTTACTTCTAAAAATAAGCAACTGAAAAGTCACACTGCAAGTACTGAGGTTACCCACGCACAAAAGAATTAAACCCACAACACTTATGATCAGAATTTCAGTTCACGACATTTTAAATGCTGCTTGCATTCTAGAGCTCTAGAAAAATGAGAAGTAACAATGCAGAAGATGACAGGCAGACACATGCATTGGTGTTTCTCAGGAGATGCAACACAAATGAGAACAAATTTTTCCACATGACTGGTGGGTGGGAAACAGTAGCTGAAAACAATCCTATCAAAATGCAAGTTTTTGGAGGTACCCAGGGGAACGCAACAGGGAAGGTTCCTGGCACAGAACTTCACTCTGTTAAAGCTGTTTCAATTTCCTGAAACAGCAATATATAATATTTACAAGGAAATTCTGAGAAGTGTATCTAAATAAATTATTGTTGTCAAAGCTGTTTTTCTTTCCTTGCAGAGTAGTTAATTTAAGTTTACAGCCACAGACCAATTAGCACAGAAGTTATATTTTGTAAAGACACACAATAAGGCCTGGTCTTCCCTAGCTCAGTGAGATACACAGTGGAAACAGCTACTGTCACCTATTTCAAACACTGCATGTTTTCAAGGAATCATACAACCACATATGGGATGCAATTCCAAAAATGAAGTACAGAAAGGAAATATAACCTAGTCAGACAGGAAAAAAATCCACAGAGCTATAATTAGTATTTTTAAGTGAGAAACCCATGCATAATCACTAATTTATGTCAGGGATCGGTTACAGAGGTGACAGTTTCTTTAACAGTACTTCTTTAACTGGAAAGTAAAGACAAAACAAAAAAGGAAACAACACAGAGTGGTTTGATATTAATTGATATTAATAAACATATTCTGTAGCTGAGAAGGGAGGGAAACTGAATCTGATTTAGTGGTGTGGTTAGATGAGTGGAACAAAGGACAAGCAGAGCAGCAGACTCAGTCTATGAACATTTCTGCTTTATTTACCCTTGCAGAGCTTCCCAAACTGTCTTCATCAGACTCCTGTCTCCGGATGTTGTTTGAATGGCCCTACGTTAACGTAAAGATTTACATCATTTAACTTGCAGTGACTGCTGTGTGCCAGTTATCCCTCTAGGCTCTTCCTGTCCAGCAGAATTAATACTGACCATGACCAAAATCATTTCCACTGGGACCTTTCCTTTCAGTGATATCCCAAAGTAATAAGAGACATAACAAAATGGTAAACAACAGGGCCCACACAGGCTTTAAACCTGTGAGCTGGAGATGCCACAACAAATACCTTGCTGCTTCAAAGGTGACAAAAGGACTGGTACCTTTGGAAGCTGTATTCTCTTTCCTGTCTTCTAATTCACTATCTTGTGAAGATCTTCAGGTCAAAGAGCCAAGTTTGTATTTTAAAGGAGTAACCAAGTTACCCACAGGGATTCTAAAGTTGCATGTTATTAACTGACAACAACATTAAGCTCTGTGATATTCAAGCTATATAAAGTAGAGAGGATAAGAGACTGAAAGCAGATCATAATTGTGGATTCCACATGACAAGAAACTGGCTACATCTGCTAAATGCAATACAGAATACTTTAAAAAACCCACAATAATATGTAATCAAATGTGGTGTTTGAAATGAAGCTCCTCACTACAAATCATTTTTCCTGTAAAAGTGCCATTCCCAATATGAATAAGTAATTTTGCAACATGTGGAAATTTCTGTCTGTTCCTTTGTTTACAAAGCCTAGATCAAGAGGGATGAAAAAATAAGATTCTTCTATCAAAACAGTTCAAGTATGAACAGGCCCAACTCTGCTAAACCCAGAGTCAGGTTCTCACCCTTACTCTGTGATCCAGATCTTCCATCTCGCTTCTCTTTTCACTGGGGTATCCACTGTCTCCACCATTTTCAAAATCCTACAGAACACAAGAACAGAGGAGCATTAGCACTTTATCCTTTGTAAGGATCTCAGCTTGACATTTCCCACAGAGCAAACCCTTTGCTGGTTCAGTGAAAAATATTGGATGGTTGTACAGGATGAAAATGATTGTATGTTGTGTTACCTCTGACACACAGAACACGACTTAATGACACAGAAGGTACTGTCTAAGACTGTCCTCTCTCTTACATGAATATAAAATAATAAAACATTCAAAAAATAAATCAAGGACTCGCATATTTTATCAAGAGTCCTCTAGATACAGTTTTCAGTATTCAGTGGTAGCCAGTTAAAAGATAAACCATAACTGGTACTAAGGTCTAGCACTGGAAAATGTCCATTGCAAACTCCTTGTATCTCCTCAGGTGAGGTTCTGTAAATCCCACAGTACCAGGATTTGCAGAGGCCTAATCCTTATAGGGATTCTGCTGAGTTTTCATACCACAGCAGTTGGCAGAAGTGCCCAAGATACAACATGCAGGCAGGGGAACAGACACACACTTTAATTAACTGTTAAACTACATCAGATGCAAATAAATTTCTGGTGGAAAAAGAATAATGAATAGTATTTCAAAATAAAATGTTCTTCCTTTACAAGAACCAGCAAATGCATGAAGGCAACGTGAGCTGTAACAACGAAAGCAGGCAGAGAACCTTTATGTGCTTTTACTGCACAAAGCTGTTGAGAAGTCCTTTAAAGACACATTCATCAGGGAACTGCAACCTTGTTTTCTGTTGCAAAGACACTCACCCTTTGGTTATCAAGCTGATCAAAGTCTTTGTGAACCAAGTTATCTACTTCATTGAACACAGGCCAATCTAGGAAGAAAAATATTTGCTTCTTACTGTAAGGATAACATGCTTGAAGAGAAAGCTCTAGACACCATCATTTTGCTGCTGGTTTTTTCAGAGAAGCATCCATGCATTAAATTATCTACAAAGAAGTCCCTTCAGGTTTATTTCTGCTCAAAGAGCAACGTTAGAAACAAGTATTGCGGACTAAATCAATGCTGTTGTGTTTAAACCCGACTAGTTAAGTCCCTGTCCAACATCCAGAGGTGATGAAGGAGGCTCACTCACTAAGCATGTCCACCCTGTGGCTGTGAGGGGTTGCTGAGGAAGGGGAGCAGGGCAGGGAGTCGAAGGCCACGTCGCTCATGCTTTCATCCCCCGAGTTCTCGGACAGGCGGAAGAGCAGAGGGGGCCGACTGCCCGACACCGTCCTCACCCGGCTGCTGCCGCACTTCTCCTCCGTGCCCCGGAGGATGGTCTGCGCAGATTCCTTGGCAAATCAACCACAAAGTCAGGTGAATAATCCCTCTGTGTATTCTAATGGTGCCACATAAAACAACATGAGTGTTTATCAGGAGTCCTCTGTCGAAGAGGAGGTTATAGGTACACAGAAGTGTTTGCTTTGAGAAGTTCCACGCCCCAACAAAATATCAAGTCCTGGCATTTTTACAGTCAGAGTTCTGTTTAGGACTCAATTTCATTTCAAGTCCCACTCCCACTAAAATCAGTTGAAACTGCGATTAAAGACAAGCAGTTCTATTTTTTTTCCCCTACCCAAATTAGGCTTGTGAGATACAAAATTTACAGGGATTTCAGCATTCAAAGATCTACTTGGTCGTAAATACACACCATGTTACAAAGTTCCCTGTCAACTACAGCTCCAGCATTAATTCAGAGACAAGTATGAACAAGTCAGCTTTAAACTGCTGCATTTCAACTGCAGCATTCATGATTAGGTACTTTTTATTTTCCACGTAAATAGCGTATTTCAGTTTCATTTACAGGGCTTACAAAATTAGTTTAACTAAGCAGTACAGCTAGTTTACCCTTTCTTTTTTTCTTCAAGCACTTACAAGCAATTTTTTATTATAATCCAAGGCATCCTTCTCTTTGGATGAAAGATCAAATGGTTCAAGTCCCATGCTTTTGCAGATCTTGTTGCAGAAATGAGAATGAAAGAACAAGGCCATACCTCGAACACCTACGGCATTAAAAAAAGTGAAGAAAGGTTTAACCTGAATTTTATATTATGGTTTACTTACTAAAAGCCAGAAGTCTCAAGGCTAAATTGGCTGTATCACTGAGAAACAGGCCTAAATTTGATCCAGCTTATAAAACTTGCTCTGTCCTATGAACATCTTCATGTATAGACACTTGCAGATTTAAAAATATGCAGCACTTACCTCTCCACGTTCAGCTGTATCCATTCCTGCAACATGGCAAGGAAATTAAAGGCCATGATTATTGCTCTCACACTGCAGGAAGCTACTTAATTTCATTACTTGTTTAAGAGTAGGCCAGGAGGCACGAGCCAAGATCAGCTCTCATTTGAAATGTGCCCTTGGGAGGCAGCTGCCCTGCTCAGGGACTCCTCACCATAGAAATTCCCCTTCAGAAACGTGCCAGCTCACCCAGCCCTGCAGTGGCTACTCAGCAGAGAGCTGGGAACAGACAAGAAGCATCCACAGCATGTCAAAGTGATTTTACTGAGGTTGATTTTACCTAGGTTGCCATCTCCAAAGTCTGTCCCGTTCTCCGTGTGGATCTGAGGGTCCGTGTAAAGGTCTCCGACTCCCTGGATATCAACAACAATGAGTTGGTGTCCTGAGCGCTCAAAGGTGAAGTGACTGAAGGCCTGAAAGAACCATAGAAGGTGTCTGAGAACACTTTTCCTTCACCTACTGAAAACAGCAACAGATATTCACCTGTTATAAATGGGAAGTCTGATAACCCTGGCAGTGAAATACAACTGGTATGATGAAAGCAGCAAGAGACTAAAAGCACACAGTGGCTTGTCCCTCCAACCTGCTCCAACTAGCAGGTGGGCTAAAAGAGGCAGGGAGAAAACCAGCAGTGGACACAGGCAGGGGAGAGGAGATTGTTTTATTCCTCCTTCCTGTGCTAGAGATTGTTTCCCACTACAGTCTTCACCTTCAGGACTGCCTGGCTGGCAGGGGGAACAACAGTGGGCTCTGAAGCCAGTGCAGAATAACTTCTGTATAAACATTCTGGCTGTGCCTGTGGATCTGCAAGCTCTGCATCTCTGGGACACTGCTTCCTTCTGCCAACAAGCAAAGATCAGCCACATTTTGAAAAAAAAATGAGCATGCCACAAATTCTTCTTCCCCTCTGAGAGGTCCCCCTGAAGGGCTGTTCTGTTTCTACATTTTTGTGTCAGACAATGAAGTGTACACTCATACTCTTCTTCAAAAAACACATTTCAAGAATCAGGTAAAAAAAGCCCTCCTCTTCAGCATAAAGCTGAGATATTAGGAATCTTCTGGGAAGGCCTCCAAAAAAGTGCTGCCAGGCCTGGCTGGGGGAAGTGACTGGTGGTGATAGACAAACATTTTAACTGCAGCAAATACCATGGAACATTTTGTTCCCAACCTGTGAAAGCACAGCACTGATTCAGACAGCCCAGGACATAAATTCTCTGCTTACGTTAAGCATCATGACAAATACCTTAAAAATAGTGGGGAAAAAAATATAATGAACAAAACTCTCAAGGCCCAGTAAAACATTCCTTTGCTATGTTGACCACTTTGCATTTTTCAATAGTATTTTAAAGTTCTTCTACAAGATCCAAGAATTGTTTGAAATCTGTACTTGTATTTCTATATGCAATCTCAGATTCAGCTCTTCAGAGGTTGTAGCTGAAAAAAACCACATTTTTATGTGCAAATGGCCTAGATTTGTTATTTACATGAGTTGGATATCTGCCACCTCCTCTTGTACACTATGTGAGGCACCAAAAAAGCTGTTCAGTACATAGTACATGAGAGATCTCTCTCACTGCCCTAATTTGATAAAAGTTTGAAATCTTTCAATGCCTGCAATTATAATTAAAGTCAATGGGCTTAAGCTTTCCAAAGACTGTTAACCCTGTTCAACTCAACTAAAACCAACTGACACTGAAATGCAACAAAGCAGCACTCAGTGATTGAACGAGCAGGCCCCAAGGAAGGGGCCAACAAACTGCAAATAGAGAAATTAATTTGGCATTGTACTGGAGAGCCTGCAGTTTCCTTTCTTGGCAGTAATGCAAGACCTCTGGACAGGGCCAAGAAATTCCCTGCAGCAGACTTTATGGAAAGCACTAAACGAAGCCTCACTTGCGGAGTGAGACGGATGTTGTCATCCCGCACGAATCCAGAATTGGAGTTGTATTTGATGTATTTGCCCTCAATGTAATGTTCCAGATGAAAGAGAGGCTTTCCAGGTCTATTCTTCATTTCAATAATACAGGTCTGGACTATATCCACCTGGGGAGGAAAAGAAGATAAACAATGACTAACACAATACTGTCTTCAGATCAAAATGTGTGTGAATCCTCCAGCTGTGAAAACTTTCCCAAGGCAAGAAGCGGAACAACTGCAAAGATCCTGTTTGACAAGGGGGTGGGGGAAGAGTCACATGCTTCTCGGGCCATTGGAGGAATTCCACAAATTAAAAGCAGACACTACAAAACAGCTCACTCCTGCAACAAATCCCTCTGAAAAATGCTTAGCAAGTACTGGCTTTCTATTTTATTTTGTGGGCACCCTCAGAGTGCACTGCAAAGAGCCTGCACCCAGAGAGGAAATCACACAATCACTGCAGCACAACTTGGAGAAACACCTTTTCAGAGAAGGACTGAGGGTATCTACCACTTGGCTATCTCTGTATCCTGCCCTACCCCCTCCCTCTGTTCCAGACACACTCCTAAAGGAGAAACCATCACAACTCTTTCACTTCTTTTCCTCCACACGGCATTTATAACTTCCAGATTTCCAGATTCCTCTCTGGGTGCTTCACTCCACACCTCACCTTGCTGTTGTGAGACAGGTGGATATTACCTAACCCTCGGATGGGAGGGCAGTGCACATACCCCACATACTCAAAAGCACTAATTTTGGCTATTAAAATTGTTAAGGTTTCCAGCAGGTTTCCAGTTCTTAAAAATCAGTGCAAGTCACGTGTTTGGGTAGTTCTACAAGATTTATGCATCTACCTTCCTGGAGCACTAACAGTTAAGTACTTGCTGAGACTGCTGCTGGCAATAAATCCTGTGACATCTCTGGTTATCTCAAAAGCAGCTGGCACACATCTCAAAGAGCAATACAAACACCATTTTATTTTGGTCTCCAGTCAACAGCTGAGAACAGTCAGACATTCACGAACACACAGCCCCTAATTCAGGAAATACAAAGCAATTTCTGCATTTACTTCATTCAAAATAAACTATCATTTAATGGAAAACACAGGAGGGCAAGAGAAGTTAAAGAGCATTTCAATGTAATGGAATGTGAACGAGTAATTCCTTCTAAATTCAGCTGAAAACTACTCCTGTAGGAGAGCAAGGCTTCATTTTTGCTCAGTACTTTGGATGTACCTGTTTGGGTGGTTTGTGCCGGTTGTACTCTTCTCCCCAGAGCTTTGCTTCCATCTGCAGTCGGACATCCTCAAAATACACCTCCCTGCTCACACTCTCTATGTATTGCTTGGCCACATAGTTATAGGCACCTTTCCAGTTCTGCGTGTGTAAGAAGTTGGACAGCTTTTTCCTGAAACACAAATTGTTGGTGAAAGGAAACCCAAGAAATCTACTTCAATCTTTGCCCCTTCTTTGCCTGCATGGACAGAGCCAGGCCCCAAGATCAGCATTACCCTCAATCGTTTACCAGGTGTTCTGGCTGAAACATGAAGCACAGCTAGGGACAAGGGAAAATTAAATGTTCCATGGGAATGCCTGGGACATGGCAAAATGTTTGGTTTGGCTGCAGCTCGTTCACTCTGGGCTTCCTCCTTTTCTCAGTTCCTTTCCCTCCTTGTTTCCCTCAAACCACGAGCATGAAGGGTTGGTGCCACCTCAACACCGTGTTCTAATGTCAACAATTAATTTCTGCAGAAATTAACAGGGAGTGGCATTTCAAACATGAACTGAGAGAAACCTCTCCTGGAATAAAAGCAAACTGCTGTGTTCCTAACACACAGCAGTGACTATCCCCCAGCCACGACTGAAGACTTGCAGAGTTACAAAAATCTAGAAGAGAGAGCTCCAGATGGGAATTATCGGTGCACCACTGGGACTTTTGGAAAATCCAGCGGTGGGAAGCTGACGTACAAGTTATGCTTTCCTTGTCTAAGAGGTTAAAGCAAAGCTGCTAACAAATTTCTGTTTATGGCATTTCTCAAAATATTGCGAAATGGGGAATTTGGTAAATAACAAGAGCTAAAAGCAATGTCAGCAGCAACGTCAGCAGGCTCAGATTTGTTACCTCCCAGGCTTCATTCACCACTGTATCTCTGTGGTTTTGCAGAACACAACCAGGAGCATGAACTGATACTGAAACAAGCCCAAAGTGGAGCACTGAGGGGTTACTTTTCTCCCCTTTTGCTCAAGCTCAAAACATCATGTTTCTGTCTTTCAGGAGTATCTACCTTTCCAGAAGCGAAACCAGACATGAAATGCAATTTCTCTGGATTACACAGCTGGGAAGAAGGGGAAATGTTCTTAAACACACACATGCACATTTTCCAGAAAACATTTTTCTCCAGAGCCTGGAAAGAGTGAGATATTCTTCTAGCACAAACTGGATGCTGATGCCCACAACAATTGCTAGACTCTCCAAGGAAATAAAAGTTCCTCCTCTGTCTTCCCCCACACTTTACCCTTGTGGAAAGCACAGCTGTAAAGTTCTGCTTTACTCAGAACGGGATTACTCTGATACACGTAATCTAAAGTAAACTCTGGGAGAATAATCTTCACTGATGGAGGCTTTCCAAATTCCCACTGCACCATCCAAATATTTTTCTCCTTTTCTCTGCCCAACTGTAGGCCTCAAGTTGGTCTCCAGGCTGCACACGCCTATGGCCACATATCAGATTTTCAGATATTTCAGCACACCAGGAACACAGAAAGAAGGTAACTCTTTCTGTACTTTTATGAGTACTCTGCCTCCAAGAGAGCTCACATGAACTCGAGAGCTTTACAAAATTTCCACCACACCAAAGTGAAATTCCAGTCACCACAGAGGAAAATACTGCATGGAGGCCAAGCAAGATAAAGTCAGCAGATACTTACGTTCTGAAACACTCTCGCATCGCTCCACGGCCAAAAGGCTACGGAAAACAAAAAGAAAAATCCAGCATTGCCATTTCCACAAAGTTCATTTCTAACCACCAAGAGACACAACCGTATTTCCCCCCTTTATATCCTGCAGAAAGCAAGTTTTCAAACAGGCTCTATAAAATATCTTCTCAAAGAAAACTGAAAACCCGCTGGCAGTGCGAAAAGGAATCTGGGGAGGAGATATTTGGAATAAAGCCCCCTCAATACCCCATGGAGCAGACATGTCTTTCCAATAAGCTATTTAAAATCTCTCTGCAGTTGGGAGTCAGCCCCCTGTGCCTGCCTGGAGAAGCTGGCTTTGCACACCTCGTGCTCCCTGCGCTTGGGCCCCCACACAGGGCATCATCTCCCCACACATCACACACTGTGCCAGCAGTGCACAACCCACCCCAGCATGGAACTGGGAGGTGACAGCAGCTTCGACCTCACATACAGCAAATTCACTGGGTTTTCATTCTCAGAGCAGAAATTACTTGGATGCACACAAAATAGTAGGACTATGGCCAGGCAGGGAAATTTTGCCAGGAGGAAATGGGAGGGGTGAAATGGAAGGGAAATCAGTGGAAATGGAACAAATGCCTCACGTTGCTGACAGGGAAGGGCTGACTCCATTTTCTACTCCACTCTGGGGACAAAAGGCTGTTGGGACACCACAACATAATGAATGAGCCAAGGAAACAGAGAGTTGGGAGAAATGAGTTACACTGAGACTTCAAAACTTCTATGAGGAAAACATCTTGCTGCCACCATTCTGGAACACAAAAGAATTACAAACTTGCTGCTAATGAACATGAAGGGGAGTGTGACCTTACTTGTGCAGCCATCTTGATAAGGACTTCATCTTCAACCCAGTCCCCAGTAACTGCATTGTACCTGCAAAATCAGGAGATGTGTCTCAGAAAAATGCAGAGGGATCCCAAATCCTGCTATTCCCAGCACCTATCCTTCCTTATCTGCAGCTCAGTGCTACAAAGTGCTGCTGCCACTCCAACATAAAAGCTTCCAGACTTCCCACCACTCCTTGCTTCAGACAGGAAAGCAGAAACACGATTAACTCATTGAAGCCACTGAATCCTCCTGACAGTGAACAGACTGCCCTGCAGAAGCCATACTTTTGCAACACTACAAATCAGGCTTGATCTGCTTTGAAGTTAAGCCTATTCTAGGATGCCTGGGCAGCACACTGGGGGCAGAAAGAGCCCTACCAAGCTCTACACACTGGAGAGGTTGCATTCACCAACCCTCACCTTGCATAAAGCTGGTTCTGCCCCAGAGTCTGCCTCAGGGCTGTGGAGGATGTGAGCAGAACAAGCTGTGAGAAGCAGTGGGGCCAAGAACTGCCCAACATTGCACTGGGGGAGGAGCAAGTCCCTGCACAACCCTGTGATAATACAAAGAGTACAACTGTGGTTTCTCCTCACCCCCTTAACTCCCAACACAGTAAAAGATAAATCAAGAACCACAACAATTGAGTCACCAACACAATTGTTTCCAGCCTGAGTCCCCCAGCCTGCACTGAGTACTGTATCACCCCAGTCTGCAACAGATAAAAGTGGTGGAAATAAGAACATCAGACCTACCTCTTCTTAACATGGTATTTGAGTAGCCCTAACCCAATATTACCACTTCTTTGTATTTTAAAATATGCAAACTATTTCAGGACTGTGTGGCTGACCAGGGACAGATGCAGTCTGTGGGGAAGAGCAGCACTGCACGACAGTGGTACGTGATTGGAAGGGAGGCCTCTCCAACACTGATGCTAAGTGGTGATTAACTGGCCTCTAACCCCCACCCCTTCCACCCAGAAACCTGTGTCAGCAGAGTAAATATTTTGGCAGAGCTTGTGTTAAAGCACTAAAACCAGTTTAATGGCCAAACTCAGTTTCAGCACGTACACCATGCTGAGCTATTCTGGGCTTTATAAGGACTTAAATTCCAGCCACAGGCAACAACTCTGCATGGACTGGTAACACTGAAACTGCTATTCTGGGTAAGGCATGGAGTGTTATGCTGCCTTTTTTTTTCTAAACTATTTAAACTAAGTATGCTGCCCCTTTATTGGAATTCATTTCCTTATTAGATTAAGTTTACAGCACTAATAAATCAACTAGACAACACTTCTCAGCCTTGTTTCCTGTCTACATGGTTAAAGTCCTAGATACAGCTTAGGTGGAAGAGAAAAAAGTGTGACACTGGTTTGCTGAAAGGTTTATTTTCTGATGATGGACAGTATTTACACACTCCTGGGAGATTAAGACACACTCAATTTGGGTATTATTGAAAGATTTTAAGCCATGTAATTACAGATATTCTGCACTAGACAAACACATAAACCAGCAGTTGTGTTTAACATCAGCAGCCAAAGACCCACAGACCTGTAACGAGTGGCGTGTTCCGTCTCAACATCCTCCAGGTGAAATTCTGCCCACGGATCAGGCATGTGCTTGGCTTTCTCAATAGCATGTTTCCAGGTTTCCTGAAGAAGTTACAAACTGGCAGTTTATTTATAATCACCAACAGCTCACAAACCCAGCATTTTTTAGACCAAATCAGGATCCTAACGCTAGGAAGGTGCGCAACCACACAAGCCCTCAAAGCTCTACTCAGAGCAGGGACAGAGCAGCACCAAAGACCACTCTGCCATTTTATAGTGTCAATTATAAGGAAACACAGTTCAGGGATATCAATCAGCAGGTTTCAGTTCAATTTGCACCGCTGTGCAGTTACTGAGAACAGAATGTGGTACAGTATGTACCAAACACAGCTTATCAAACCTGTGGTCATTTGCAAATATCTCCAGCACACACTGCAAATGGCATTAATGCACACCCAGATGATATTAATTCATTTCTACTGTTTGGACAGTTTTGTAACTAACAGCATGTATTTGTGTAAGCATAAAAAAGTCCTTTAGCAGCAGAGCTCATATGGGCAAAGAAAAAAGCTCTGTGAACCTCAAGACCGCAGACTGTGCTCAGCATAAGAAAGAAGAAATTAGAATGTTGTATAAATTGATTATTATAACAATTCCAGACAAGTAGCTATTTCATTGCTCACCAAATCAACAGTAAAACATCAAAGTAGTTTTATGGAATATCAACAGTCTTCCACTACCAGTCAATTTGGATGCTTTTCTCCTAACATTTTGATCTCCCTCTTTTTACATTATATTTTTCCAAGAAAACTGGAGATATGAGCCTGTCATGTGCCAAATGCCTTCTGCAAGGTGAGCAGGAGAAAAAGCACTCTGCAGCCCATCAGTAAAATACTGGGCCCTGAGGTATTGTTACTGTCTCCTTGAATTTTAAGTGTGTAGAAAAGCAACTTTTAAAATTTGGGAATTTCCTTTCCCTCTCCACCCTGAATTTAAATCAGTCAATTGAAAAAAAAATTACACTATAAATTTGTGACAGCAGTGACATCAAGGAAGTTTCTGAAGCAGCTGAGCTTTTAAATTGTTCATGCTTATTCTGAATTTCAGCTGTAACTTTGCACACCTTGCAAACAATTCAGATGCTCCCCGTTCTGACAAGAATACCACACAACACTATACCAAATAAAACAAGTTTAAAGGACATGTTGAGACAGATTTCCTATGTTTCATGAGCAAGTGAAGTTGCGTCAGCTCATGCAATGACAGGCATTTCACATGGACCTGAGAACTTCCATACTTAAATACATGTGACAGAAATAGGGAGAGACAGCAACAAGTAGAATTGCTCGGTGAATCATCTGTGTCAATCATTCATGAGTAGATTCCCTCTCCAAAAGGTGATCTGTGTCCATGCTGGGCAGGCATTTAAATCACTTCATTACTTGTGCATGATCTCATGATTCTGATCTTCAAACAAATAGAAATTGGACCTCAGGGAAATGGTGCTACCAGTGCAGTTTTTCTCCTGCTGGAGGCATGTGGCTGCCACACAGAGACATTTCAGGGCACAGAACAAAAGATGGGGATTATTTCGTTTAACAGGTACCTCTTTTAGTTTTGACTTAATGACTGTTGTGGGATGAGGCAAGCAGTTCTCCCAGACAATAACATAATGAACAAAAAAGGTTGTAAAAGGAAAAAAAAATCATAATTCATCTATTAGATATGGTGTTCACATTTTCTTTTTAACCTACCCGACCATGGTCAACCACAGAGCCATGCTTAGAACGATGCTGTGTGTCATTCTAAAGGATCCATGAGAGACATGAAAGCAGGAAAATACATGTGATAAGACAAATGATTGACAAAGAGTCTTGGTTCTCTTTGTTAGTTTAAAAAAAAAAAAAGTTTCCAGTTAAAAGCCACTCTTCAATTTATATCCCCAATTCAAGTTCATTCTTAGAACATCTGCGAAGAAACCTACTGAGGTAAGTTGGCAATTTTTTAAATTGGAAAGCATGCATTCAAAGGGTCTTGCCTATTAACTGGCTACTTAAACACTGCTGAGTCCTGTTTAAAGGCAGAGGGTTAACAGCAAGTTTCTCTCTCTGCATTTCATTATCAATGGCCCACACTGCCTTTAGCTTTGGGGTCTGACAGGCACACTGATCAGCCCAGGCTGTGGGGTTTAGGATGTTATCAGTCCTGGCTGTCTGCTTCACTGTGCTGGAAATCACCATTCCTGCAGATTAAGCAGGAGATGGAGACTTGCTTTCTGCACATCCCAACACAGAGCATTTTATCTGTGACAGGAGCCACAGTGCCAAACGAGACACTGTGGAGACCGAAGCATGGCCACAAACATTCTGCAGAAACAAAATGATAGGTTAGGAAGGAGGAAATAATTGCAATTTCTGAAGTCCTTATCAGTTTTATCTCAGGCCATATGACTCAGAACTTGCACTGCAAACCCAGAGGCAAGTGTTTAGTATGTGCTAAAATGTGCACACAAATGAAGACTAAACTCCCTGTCAGGTCATAACTTGTTTAGCACAGAATACACTAACATCTGTCCCCTTTCTATACTAAGCTTTTACTCCTCACTTTCCTTAGGAATATGTACCTTTCAATGGTTTTGTTAACTACCTCTGGTAAAAATCTTACTGCAGACAAGCCAGGTTCACTTTCCATGTGTTACTTTATATGTTATCTGACTGAAATAACCCCCCTGGTATCTCTTCACAAATAAAGCATGCATTAGGCATAACCGAGATTTTAGAGTATCTATTAAATAAGTGTTAATATTTATAATAAGAAACGTGTTAATAAAACACATTAAATCCTAGTCTAGACAAAATCTAAGAGACATGCCAGTTTACCACAAATGGTGTACATTTGGAATATCTAAGCTGCAGAGCCACTTCCATTCTTGAGGCTCCATTCCCTGGGCTGACCCGTGCCAAGGGAGCCGAGGGAAACAGGACAAACTGCCAAGGAAGCACCAACTGCGGCCCCTTCGACCTCCCTGCAATGCTGGGACTGCTCTTCATCTCAAAAAGGTCAGATCCTGCTCGAGTACACTGCCAGAACCACTGCCAGTGTGACACTTCATGCCCAAGCATGAGAGTCAACGTGTCAAAAGCTCCCTTAGAAGGAATCACTACATAAAAACCTACCATTTATCATTTACAATTTTATTTGCCCAACTAAAAATATTACGGATTAGCAAAATCCGTAATAAATTATCCTCTGACAGGCCCCAATTTAGCTCAGAACAAGTGTATAATCTTCTGAGTCTCTCAGTCCATGTACTGTTTGATCAGAAGGGCAGTGAATCGCTCGCCTGGATTAGGCCACCTTTGTAGATGAACTAAAAGGGACAGTGAGCAATTCCATGGCAGTGTCAGACTATTGGCTTAATGGAATTAACTGCAGGTCTGGAAAAAAACAGATGTGTTTTTTTATTGAAAAGTGTTTGTTAGTTACAAGAGGTGAAACAGTTAGAGAATGCCTCATGCCAACAAAGGAAAACCAAAACCTTACTGAAGGATGGATCCAATACTTACCTTAAAGCTAAAGCTTCTGGGAGAAGAGCTCGAACTGTACTGATCACTTTTCGCTAAGCTGCTGTAATAATTGTCTACTTTGGTATTGGCAGACTTGTCAGAAACTGGATCATCAGTTATTGGACAGATAAAATAACTGTCTTCATCATCACTGTCAGCATCAAGGTAATCCCCAGAGCTCGCTGTGGTCGTTCTGGCATTGTCAATGCCTTCCATACGAAAAATAAGGTCCTCGTCTGCCATGTTTGCTGCGGGTTGGTTTAACTCCTACAAGGATTGAAACACCCACTATTCCAAAGCACATGCAAATGGAGGGAAGAAGCTGGGTGGGAGAGAAAAGAAAAAAAAAATTATTATTAAAAGAACAAATTATGTATAAAACTGATGTCAGCACACTGGCAGAAAAAAACCCAAACAAAAACAAACAACAAAACCAACACATTGTCATATGGCTCTGTAAAAGTAATCCCCCAGTACTTACATGTAGTTTGAACACCTCAGGGCTATAGATGGGTTTCCAGAAGGTTTTTTGGTTTTAAAGTGCTACAGGACTGCGAAAAGAAGGTAACCAAGTAGAGAATAGTACTAGTTCCTATCTCCTCCTCCAAGTGTTTTTAATCTTCCTCATTTGAAATCCCAAGTTTCATAACACTAGTTTTAGAAACTTGAAGGGGTTTGACCTTGAACACTACAGTCAGGTGTTGAAATTTTTTCAGGACAAGTCTTCTCAAGGATATTGCACACAAATCAATAGTCAAGTGAGTTGGAGAGCATTATTAGGACAACATAAAAAAATTTTCCACCATCAACAAGATTTAAGCTGGCTTTTAGCTCCAAACAGCCAACAGTCCACAGTGGAACATGCTGCTGAAAGTGCAGCACACTGCAGAAAAATGAGGTGGAGGAATGATCAAAGCCCTTGGAAGAGGCGGAGGTTTGCCTAGATACTGTGAAAACACTGGCACCTACCAAATAGAGGATTAGTGAGAATTTTCAAAACATGGCCCTGGTGCTGGCTAAGCAACAGCATGTAATTTAAACCAGACACTTCTGTCACTCTGTTTAGTTCTTCACTCAGAGGTTTTCACACAGGTAGCCTGATGAAACAACAGTAAAGCAAGGTTTTCAGTTTTGCTTCACTGTTATTATTCAGACCTTTGCATATTCAGCCTTCTCTCTCCAAGAAACAGAGAGATAAATACATCCTCCAGCAGTGTGCACAGCTCCTATTCCACAGCCACTGAGAAACTGGTCACCACAGAAACAGCGCCGTAACACATGGGAGCTTTCAACAGCAGCATCATCTTGTTGGTTCCCGCCTTTCTGATGGAGGCAGCATTCCCACATCTCAGCCAGCAGCAAGGTAACTGCTGCCCTGCCCTCACTCCTGCTGTCACAGGATGGGCAGATCCACGGGGTACACAGTGCTTTGAAAAGCAGCAGCAACAGGAATCCAGGTTTGTGCAGCAGCGAGTGCAAACATTAAGGGTTCCTGTGACTTGCTGTGCAAACCAAACACTGTCACACACATCAGTTTCTATTTAAAGCTAATGGTGTTTATAAAAGTCTCATAGTTTTTCTTGGAACCCTATTTCTTGTAAAGTGCTTGTGGTGTTTACTTTGCAAGTGTATGTACTAAAACCAAGCCTCACATAACACACTCTTTAAAACTAATTCAATAATCAAACTTTAAACTACACAAACACTGCTCTAAACCTCAGAGTTTGATGAAAATCCTTATTAAAAAAAAGCCTATCCTTCATCCCAAGGCTTATATTCTGTGCTTTTGCATGATGGCATAAAGTTGTACTATCTGTGAATTCCTGTTACTAGTGCTGCTTTGTTTTGATAATTTAATCTTTAATATCTATTACAGGAGCTTTCCTAGGACTGCACTGAACCAAGCCTGCATTAGCACACACAACCTGTAATTTAAACTACTCACTCCAATCCACTTTGAAATTTTTTTCTATTTGTTTAATCAGCATTGTATTACATAATTCAAAATGAAGATTACTTAAAATGCAGCCACTTACTAAACCTGCTCAAGTCTCTATTATTTTTTGTGTTTTCCCAATGCCTGTTTCAAGTATTTTTTCTTTCTCTTGTCTTTGTACCCAAGAGCCACATGACCAGGAGGGGCAGGTGAGCTGCAAGGCCAACCCACTGTGCTGCTGAGCACGTGAATATGAGAACACAGAAACAGAGGGGAAAATCCACCTCACAGCACTGTTAAAACAGCAGTTGCAGATTTCTTGCAGATGTCTGTTGTTACAAAGCACTGCTGGGTTGGTGAGACTCTTTAGCAAGGCCCCCCAGCTGCCTCAGCATCTAAACCTTCATTCACCCCAAAGAGGTGAGCGACAGGACCGCTCTAGCTGGCAAAAGAGACAACTGGAGCATCTCCAGCAATTCCTAACACATCGTTTCAGCTCAGACTCGCCCTTCTGCACCTCTTTAGCACAGGACAGGGCAGCAGGAACTGCCCTGTAACAGAAGGTCCAGCTTCTCTTGTAAGGAAGCATTAGAGCAAGGATGGCCCAGCTCTCCCTGGTATAATACTAAATCCCTTTCCATTTAATACCACATGAGCTAAAGCCATTTAGCAGGATACCTGTAAGAGTAACAAGCAGGTTTTTCTTAAAAGAGAGAAGTTGCCTTTCAGATTAACACTCTTAGGATACTAATTTAAAATTTAACCTAAGTAACTATACAGACCATGCACCTTAAAAATTGTTATCACTGTCATGAACTGCAGACACGAAGCCACATAACACAGTCCAGAATAACCCCCCACTAGCTATGGAATGTCCTGCAGCACACTATGAACTACTGTGCTTTACGAACACCCAACTGACCCTTGCAAAGCAAATGTCATTCTCATCTGCACCACTGCATGAAAACAGGTTTAGTGAGTCTAGATAAGAGCTGTGATAAAAAAACAAGATTAAAAAAAACCAGAGATGTTTCAACTCACTGTCTACCTTTGACAACCTTGTCTTACCAAGGACAGATCTTCTAATGAGAAGCTTTGCTGCAGGTGGTCCCTTCCAGCGTGCCACTACTGCAAACACCATGGCACAAACCACACTCAGCTTGCCCGCAAGCACAGCTGGGATAAGGATTGCATGAGCCTGAGTGTTACAAAGGAGCGATGCAAAATTCATGAATCAAATGGGTGAGTTTGTCTGCACCAGCTCAGAGTCCGAGGCATTTGAGACCCAAAACCCTGTGCAAGGAAACACGGTGAGGCTTCAGAAGAAACACAAATGGCTTTTAGAGCTACAAGCAGTGAAGCACAGGAACGACCCCTCCGAGTGAAATCCACTCTTCTGCCAAACATACAAATAAATACTATGTCAACAGTACACGAAACACGGGGATATAGAGGGGCACAAAAGGAACTTCCAATACAACTTCAAAATGCTCTTCCACTGGCATTAATAGCTCCGTCATTTCAACTGGCTTTAAATGCACTGAAAAATTACCTATCGCTGACTTTTTGTAAGCATTTGAGCAGTACCCCACTGTCTCAATCAAGCTCATGTATTGAGGCACCTGAAAAATTACCCAACCACGAGCAGTCCTGGGGCCGTCCCGGGCTGTCACGGTGGACCCACCCCGGCCACACAGCAGCTGCTCCACGGTCACAAACGCCACTGGGGACTTTTACCAGCGCATGCATTAACATTACGTGCACTGCCCTGCAAAGCCATACGGGTGAAACGCTGAACTCCAGGTGTACGCGCAGCCCAGCACACACGGATCGGGTTATTTTTAGCCTAGCGCAGAGGCTTGGCCGCCGGCCTTTTGCAGGCTCAAACCACAGCGCTGTTGATCGTTTTCTGCAAATTCAGAAACATTTTAAAACGAATCTAAAAGGCCCGCTCCGCGCCCCACGCCGCGCAGCAGCCTCAGGCAGCTGCCGACCCCCGGCCCCGCCACGGCACCTACCGGGGCAGAGGAGCCCGGCCCGGTGCTGAGCGATCCCGCAGCCGCCGTGCCCGCAGTCGCCCGCTGAGCGAAACGGGAGGAGAAGCCGCCCCAGGCAAAGGAGGAGGGAGGCGAACAGCAGAACCGCCCCTCTGAAGGAGGGAGGCAGTCGGGCAGCGGAGCCGCCCCCCGAAAGGAGGCGGGAGGCGGGCAGCGAGGCCGTCCCTCATCTCCCCGCCCACGGCGCTGACGGGGCACCGCCTCCCGCTCCCCTCAGCGGCCACCTCACACCGGGGTGACGCGGGGACACGGCCAGGCGCTTTGTTCCCGTGAGAAAACCGATGAAAATGTGAGGAGAACCTCCCCCTCCCCGATTAGCACCGTGAGGTGTTAGCGATGGGGGAATGGGGGAACCCTGAGGGCCAGGAGGGGGAGTGGGTGTGCGGGTCTCCAGAGCGCTGCTCACAGGAGCGGCATCCAAATTTCCTTTACTTTCTGTTCCCGGTGGGCCTCCCGGGGCAGGAGGGTCCTGCACGGCAGCACCCTGAGGGAAGGCGGAGGGAGAAGATGTGGGCAGCGAGTGTGGGGCCCATACGCACTTCAGGTTGGCCTTTCCAGCTAAATTAAATGGCACAATTACACATTTCCCCATAAGAAATGGCAGGATTATGGACCAAATTTCAAATTCCAAAGACCACGTTTCCCTAGGAACCCACATTCTTCCTAAAACACTGGCTTTCCGAGTTGGACACGCCTATGTTTAAGCTTTTCTCCAAGCTAGAATTTGTGGAAAATTTAAACAAAACTCCTTATCCTTTCATGGGTTACATGGAAATTAATGTAAATAGGTTCTGGCTTAATTGTATTACTTGGCAGCCTGCAAAGAGTCTGCCTCTTCTACTTCTGTTCAATCTCTTATTCATGCAAATAATCCTCATTAGTGGTTTTTACCATGAGTAGGGGTTACAGAACCGAGACTGGAAGATGTGAGTACATCCTTCATGCCAGATGGATGGTCTCTTGTGGTATCACAGACAGAAAAATGCACAATCCCTGTGCTCTGCAAAGAGGGAGGCAACAGGGGAAGGCTGCTGCAGTGCTAGTGCTGAGATAATCTTCAGGAGGAAGATTACCAATATTCAATTAAAAACACACAGAGCAGATGCTTTGACTTTCTGCCAGGAACAGCCTGCCACCACCATTACTTACATAAATTAAACTGTGTCTTAGCTTGAAGACTGGAGGGAGCAGCACGTGTGTGCACGAACACCACCCGCGATTTCAGGGTAACTAATTTTGTCAGCAATTTCCAGCACCATGCTGAGGGTGCAGCCCTCCTTTGAGAATGTAAAGCAGAGATTTGACAGAGCCCCTGTCTAATGCTGCTTCCTACAGGCACTTTTCTGGCCAGCCTCAAGTTCCTGCAGAGTTTAAGCTCAAACACATTTACAGTGTTTGTGATTGTGCAGGAAAACCTCCTGTTCATCTCCCAGCTGCAAATCAGGGTGGTAAATATTAACGATTATCAAAAACTGAGCACGTTTGCCCCATCAGCACTAGAACTTGTGTCTCCCCGTTTCTCATTCTGCGGGCAGCCCAGCTGAGCGCCCCAGGGAGAGCAGCACCCAGCAGGGGCTGGCGTCGGGATGCCTCACGGCAGGGCCTGGGAAGGGCACACACTCATCAAACGAATTCTGAAGGCCTAGTGGAGGCCAGATGTCTGGTTCCCACAGCATGAAAATGTGTTGATAATGGTTAAAAAATGACCACCTGGTATGGTAGGCTACTGATAACAGCAGAATACTGGTGTGATATGTGAGCACAAGTGAACAAGTCACGAGAGCAGCTGGCTTTAAGCTCAGGCAAACACTCTGCACCGCTTGGACTAAAAGGAACCCAGTGGCACACGGCTGTATCATGCCATAAATCCTCACGGCATGTCCTGCTCTATCAGGAATGTAGTTAGGATATACCCTCTCAAGCTACACGTCTCATGCTTTTAAATAAGCCAGTTCTGATGCAAGGGCATACCTAGTTTCAGATTTAAGCCTGGGGCTTCTCCTCTATTCTCTACAATATCCTCTTAAAAGAACAATCAGCGATGATGAAAAAGTGTTTGATGAAATACTAAAGATGTGTGTTGAAATCAGATATCGGCCCATACATGCTGTATTTTCTAGTTTTAGTTTTCTGTTTATATGTTACCTATTATATCCTTAACACTGAAGGGGTTTAATTCACATTTATTTTTTTTGTTTGAAAATACTAAAAATTAAATTTGAAATGGCAACCTAGGAAATTAGTGACCTGCAGGTCTAGTATGCTGTTATTTCATTGAGTATGTTCAGCACTGCATATATTCTTTTTCTAAGATCACAATAGCTTGTAAAGTTCCAGTACGCCCATGTTAAATGAGGTTCCCTTTAGAAATCATTGTTCTAGGGAACAGTGGTTTTTGAAAGGAAAAAGGAAAGCACACCCCAGATATATTACACTAACTTTCCGAGCAATTTTGTTCTGCATTCATTTGAAAAGCCAGATTTAAAAATTGCTTGTAAATCAGTTAATCCTGTGACAATTCATGTCTGTGACAGTCCTGTCTTAAAAGGTAAATCCAGTTGGTCATAAATGTCCGTATGGCAGGTGCAACAAATACATGTGCACAAAAATTCCTGGAGCACCACCACATGACTTCCTATGCGGAGAAGGGCTATGGTAGATATAATTTCTTCATATTGTTTTAATTGCATGGCATTTAGTCCCGATGTTTTCAGCTCTGTCCACAAAGTAATTATACAAACTTCTCCCACAGGCCTCCCAGAATACGAGAATTCATCGTTCTACTCACCAGTGACAGCCTGAATCTGGCTCTGGTTGCCAAACGCAGCTCCCTCATGGAGGTGGACAGGACGAGCACCCACTCACACCGTGCCCGAGCCCGGCGGCACCAGGTAAGAGAGGCACCAAAGAGCGGGACACGAGCTGTGCGGGGACAGCCTGGCCACCGGCTCCGCAACTGCCTGTGGAGCAGCACCGAGATAAAGGCGGCCAGGGCCCAGCGTTTGGGGTGGGAATGGTTCAGCTGGAGACACACAGCGGTGCCAAGTGAGCAGCTGGCCGGGAAGGTCACTGGAGAGCTGAGCTGGCAGCTCTGTGGGCAGCACCTGTGCTGTGTGGGCGGGAGGCGCTGCCTCCCTGGGAGCAGCGGGCAGAGAACGCGGGGGGGGCTGATATGGGGCAGGACGGACCCTGTTCTGGCTGGGAGGTGTGCGCACACCAGCCCTGGCAGCTGCGAAGGGCTGCCCTCGACCCTGCGTGACCATAGCAAGTCTATCCCTGTGGCGGCAGATCCGCGCCGGCGGGCAAAGCCCTCCCGGGGACGGGCTGGAGCCGATCCGCCGCCGCTGCAGGCGCTGTGGGGAAAGGCCGCGCGGCGCGCTTTGCCGGGGTGCCGGCCCGCGCCTGCCCCGGACGAAGTGCCCCGAGGTGCGGCCCGACGGCCGAGGCCCCGCGGAGGAGGGAGCGGGGAGGGAGCCGGGGCCGCGGGGTCAGCGCGGGACACGCGTGCGGGCGGCGCCACCTGTTGGGAGCCCGCGGGGCCCGGGGCGGGCAGAGCGACGAGCCCGTGCCCGTCGCAGCAGCCGCGCCCCCGGCACGGGGTGGGCGCCCGAGGGCGCTGTGGTGGCGCAGACACGGGTGAGCCACTTGCGGGGGTCGATGGGGAGAGCGACGGGGCCGCCGCGCTGAAAGAGGCCTGGCGGGCGGCTGAGCAGCCAGGCGGTAGCGTGGCCGAGTGGTCTAAGGCGCTGGATTTAGGCTCCAGTCATTTCGATGGCGTGGGTTCGAATCCCACCGCTGCCAAGATGTTTTGTCCCCGCCGCGGCGGTGGCTCCTTTTCACAGCGGGGCCGCGGGGGTGGCCGAGGGGCGATGGGAGCTGCCGGTTACACGCGTCAAAAGCCAGTAATAGGCGTTATGGTAAGTACTAGGAGCAGTGAATAGGCTCCCATGGTTGTCTTTTGCTTCAAAATAAGACGAGAAATACTAATTTCGACAGTCCTGCCCTTGCTCTCTGTGTTTGAGTTACTGAATCCCTAAGCCCCAGGCCCCGCCCTGGGCTTTGCCCCCTGCCCTGGACAGAGGGGAGGTGTCAGCGCTCTCACCTTCTCCAGAATTCTCAAATCCATCTATGATTATTCCGCCCCCCTCCCCGACCGTGGTTCCTCTGTATCTCATCCCTAGTCCTTTCTCAAGCTCTCCTGTTCGCATCACACTCTTCATTGTTCTCTCCTCATGTGGAAGAGAACACCTTTTCCTCCCCAGGCTGGAAAAGGTGCGGATGGGAAGGAGATTTCTGTTTTAAATTCCCCCCGTGAGCGGCAGGTGGGTGGGGGCCGAGGCCTCCCGGACCGCCTGTGCTTTTAGCCCGTTTTAGCTGAACAGTAATTCAGAAGCACTTTGCTCACTGCAGCGGCTGTAGGGATTTGCTCAGTACAACTGCTGCACTTCAGAAATTACGTGCAAAAACACACTTGCACCTGAAGTTCAGCTGAGAAGCAACTAAACTCTGTTAGTTGTTGTCCTCAATAGCTACAGGAGGTGAAGGAAGCTGTGCAAAGATCCAGGCAACCTGTAGGGGCAGATTCCTCTACTGTGACATAAATACACTTAACTAAAATAACTTTGTTAGTAACTTCCAGTTTAACTAAAATACCCAGTTCTGACTTGTGAAAAACAGCATGTACCCCCTAACTCTGTGAACTGCGAGGTGCTGTCACAGATGGCTCTGCACCAGGGGCAGGGCAGGGAGCAGTTCTGGAGCAGTGTTCAGAGGCACAACACACACTTCAGCAAAGGTTGAAGTATACTTTTATTTTCCCTCAGATGCAGTGATACAGCTAATTCACCAATTCACACAGTGGGAAGTCTGTCTACAGCTGGTGTGTGTTATTCCCAGAAGCCTGTTCTGACCATCCTTTGCTTGGTTCCTCTGTTCCCACAGTAGTGTCAGTGAGTCACAGCAGAAGCTGTGGTCAGTCTTTTTATTTCAGCTGGCTGTAGCTCTTATTCTTTCTGCAGGTTCTCATTCACTTCAGCAATCAATTTGGAAAGTTGTCTTTTTGATGTGAAATAGAGGCAACAATCTTGACTTTGGTCTGTTTCAGTGATTTGGCCATCATGGTTTACTGTATTTTAATTTCTCAGGAACATCTAGTGATATGTTACAATTTTGTTTGCACATCTAAAAATAAGTGCCTGTTTATTGCACTGGGGCCAGTGACTGTTGTGGAGATTGGAGTGATCCTGGTGGCAATATTGTGACTGAGTGTGTGCAGTTTAGGCCAGTCAGTATCGCCTTTCTCTAAGAGAACGCAAAACTGAGAGGCCATAAAATCCTAAAGAAACACAGATGAAACCGAAAGTTACAATGAAAACAATCAAAACTTTGAGGAGGATGTGATGATTCCGGCCTTTTGGTCTGGATTTAATGTAGTGGTCCACGGAATCAGCAAACACAAACTTCTTTGGCCTGTACCCCAGCTGAGCCCGTGCCTTGTCTATTCGAAATGTGTGAGTCACAGAAATATTCAGTACCTACAGGGCAAAAGAGTCAACATACAAAGGTATGAATACATTGGCAATTGGAACAAACTGTAAATGGTAGCAAAGACACTGTCAAAGGAAACATAAAATAACCCCTCCAACGTTGTATCAGTGTCCTATTGACATACATCACGTTATTTTTAAACTGTTCACTCAAAAGGAGAAAGCCCAAACAGGCAGTAAAAGCTGCAGAACAGAATGTTTAAGACTTGAAAACATTCACAAAAAATGGTATGCTAAGGTTTCTCTTGTTTAGGTACCCAAGAGGGCAGATTAAAGCCATCTCTGAGGTGCTAAAGGCCCAGCCAAAGCCATGCAGGATATTGGCCCTTGGCAGAAAGGAGCTGAAGCAACCTCTCCCCCATTGCAAGCACAAGCTCTTACCTTTTCAAAAATCATGGCAACAAGCATAATATAGTGCCTAAATTGTACATGGATTTGCTCTGGGAAGTGGAAGCTGAAGTAGCACTGGGTGGATTTTATTTTCTCCTGACTTAAAGCGTAAATCAGTATTAACATGTATTAAACCTGTGGGAATTAAGGGAAGTTTACAAACACAGACTTTACCTCATTTCTGGTCAGCACTGGGGACAGTTCAACAATTGGTTTCATCGCCAGATAAAGGTATTCCATTGCCATGGCTGCAGAACAAAAGATTTCTACTTGAGGTAAGAGCAGTGACGTGCTTTGTCATGATGACTGTGGCATATGTCACACTGTAAATACTCCTCAAGGATCACCACAGGCCTGAGGGCTCAGGGCACCATCACTAACATCAGCAGACTATTAATCTTAATTATTGTCCTTGTGGGAAGAGGGTTGGGAGGGTTGGGCACAGGTCAAATGAAAAGGTCATGAGACTTTATAAAAAACATGGCAACAACAGAGAACTCAGTGGGATTCTGTCTGAGCTGCACGTGGGGATTGATTATGGAGACATTCACCCATGAGGCAAAGCAGCTACTCTTCAGCATATTTCAGGAAGTGATAAGTTTTCACATTTAACTTTTAATACTTTCACCATTAACTCCACAAAGTTGCACACCTGTTAAATCCTACATAAACCCTGTTTTTCTGGGACTTCAATAAGAGATCATTCTGGTTTCAACTCACTGTGCAGAGCTGAACTTCACACTCCTGCACACTAGATGAGCCCACAGCATATTGTTTTTATACATGAAAATGGAAATTGTGGGCAAATTAAAAACCTCAACATTATATTACAGTTAGGAATGAGGGTAGCATGGACAGGAAAGAGGAATGTTGATAAAATGTTTTACCTGAGGAATAAACCAACCAAGTAGGAATACGTATCCATGGCTTCCAGCGACCTAATCTTTCAAACTGAAAGAGAATAAAAAACCAGTGGGAAACCCAGAAACTTCAAGCAAGGTTTAAATTTTTGCTATAGAAAATATTAGTGGAAATATTTACTGATAAAACAGAAAAATTAATTATTGCTGTTACTATTTTTAATTTTTAAGAGCATTCCAGTTAAATGTCACATGCAGACACTGTAATTTTCAAGTCTCAGCCTTAAATAAAGGGGAAAAAATTACAATAACTGATTGAAATGTCATGGTGTGCTGATACCTGATTTTACACTGTGACATATTTATGGTGTTGAGTCTATCATTAAAAATAAAATGGTACTTTGAAAAGAATGTACATTACAGATTAATACTTAAGATTTATATTCTTTGTCCACCCAAAGTAGCCACAATAATGGCCAGTCTTCGCGAGCGAAGATCCGGGGAAGGTTTTTACACCTTCCAGCCTGCGCATTGGATTTTTTAGGTGAGACACAGTGTGCGCGGAACTGAGCCCACCCTTTAATCCTAAGGTTCATCTGCCGGGTCCAAGCGAGCTTGGACGGTGGCAGCGAGGTCCTTAGGACGTAGGTGGGTTGCCTTTAAGGGCTAACGAGCCCCACCTGCCCGGGAGTGGCCCTGACCGGGAATCGAACCCGGGTCTCCGCGGTGATAGCGCCGCGCCTTTACCCCCTAGACCACCAGGGGCTCCAATACAGTTAAAGCCACAATACAGTTAAAGCAATTAATGTATTTGGAGATGAGTATATATGACACTTACAAGTGGAGTTAACCATTCAAAAATGTTGTATTTTTCACCATCATTAATGAAATACACCTGGCCACTCTGTTAAAGAAGTAGAGACAAGTTAGTAAAAATAATACTGCATATATATTGATGTTTTTCTTTATCTCATTCCTTATGAACAGCTTAGAAGTAATACAGCACTATAACACATGTGTGGGTGTACATGCAAGTCACAAGCTGTCCACGTGTGTTTCAAGCAGTTGCACTGTTGTGTGCAATGAAATTGGTGGACAAGTGGTTGATGTGATTAACATGCCCTGGAATAAATGATTTATTGTCGATGTGCCTGTTCAGAGTGGCTGTCCTGGCTGTACAGACACCACTGAAGGTGCTGCTGCATCTCACTGGTGCTGCTGACACGGACCCACCCAAGGGTGGGACATGCTCTAGTTGAGACTCCCTGGAATCTGTAAGATCCCATCTGTGTAAACCAAGGCCCAGGTTCCTCATTCCCTTTTGCTTTTAGGGTTTTAGATACACTGGTTAAATCTACTTTGAAACTTTTTCTAATAGATTTTAAGGGCAGTGCTTCTACGTGAATAAGAACCTGTATTTACAAGGAAGAAAACAGTTGTAACTGTTTTGGAAGCAATTAATCCAAATGAAATGTGCTTCTGTTGGCTAAGGTATGGGAAGAACTGATCATCCCAGTTCAGAACATTAAATCTGGACCTATATACAAGGGAGGGTGGGTAGATCTGCCTGAACTTCCAGTGTCATTTCTGACATGGCAAACATTTTTTGCTCATCTTCCAGAACTGGCAAGTATTACATTAAACCAATGCAAAGATGGAGATGTTCTTACAGAACTGAATATTCCAGCTCTTAACACCCTGCACAGCCAGTGCTGCCCAGTCCCACACTGTTCACAGCACATTTACCAACTGGAGCCACAGACAATAATACTAATTACTGCAACTGCAGCAGTTACTCTAGCACAGGATCCACTGTGGTGCTGTTATTGTGTACTTACAGCTATGTAGTTCTTCTTGGCAGTGAGAGCTTCAGCAGCGAGGATTTGAGCTTGGGCAAGATTCTCTACGTGCACCCAGTTCACTTTAGCAGTAGGGTCCCCAAACTTGAAGCTAAGTAGCCCTCTCTCAATAAGCTTCTGTAGGCATAAACAAACATGAAACCAGAGCAAAATGTGTTTTAAAATGAGGTGCAGTGCACTTTCTTGTCCAGCTAAGTGTAGGTTTATCTCTACTTAACAAAAAAAATAAAAATTCTTTAATCAGTTAAAAAGAAACAAGAAAAGTGTGTGTGCAAAGAGCACTAAAACCATTGCCCTTCAGTAACCTCTCATACCAGAAAGTGCTTCCAACTCCATAACTTCTTTCATTGGACACTGAAAGCTGTTCATAGTTGAGACTGGAAATATTTTGCCGTATCTCTTTTTCATTAATATTTTAAACCATTTGGTGTAAGTTGCATGTAAACAGACATTTGAAATATCAGGGATTGGCCTGAATCTTACAGTAATGGTTAAATCATAAAGCTGGATTTTTATGTGCTTGTATTTCAAAAAAAGGCTTTTTTAATGTACACTCTTTACAGATATAATAAAATGCCTGTTCAAAGAAGGTTATAATATGCCTTCAACTGAACTGTTGAATTGCTGCCCAGTAAAGTCAGTCAGTTTATGCAACAAATAAGTGCTGCTCCTTACAGCTTTTTACCCATATCACAGAAAAGTCTGCTGGTTAGAGAATTAGGATCACATACTGCCAGCCTTGGCAAGTGTCTTTGCTCGTCTGGTCCGTAGATTCCTGGGGGGCGAATGACACACGTATGGAGCACTCCACCTCCTGCAAGATGTGAGGAGAGCACCCCTTAGTGACCATCACATGACTGGCTTGTATCTTTTGTTTGCATGAACCAAAGGCTGTGGGAGCAGAACTTACTCTGAAATAAATTAACTTCCCTGTCTTTAAAAAACAATGCATACAAAAAGGTGCTGCATTAGCAGGCGGGTATTAAGTTGGGAGGATCAGAACATGTGAAAGAGCAAGGTAATATTCAGAGAGGAGTTGTGTTGCTAGAAAATACCGGATATTTCAAAACCTCCTTCTAACCAGTCCTTTGTCTCTGTGCCAGAGCAGTGAATGAATGTGAGTGAATGTGGTGATGAGTTTGCTGAAGTGAGCAGGTTATTCAGAAATATCTTGGAAAGCAGAATGAAACCAACTAAGTTCACTCACAATTATTGCTGGGAAGCAGCGACTCCCTGTCAGTACAAGGTAGAGCTGAGAGGTTCCCTCAATAGCAGGCACAGCTCCCACTAGAGCTAATGGAGACACTTGACAATTCCAGTGGGATCATAAAATCCAATCATTTCCCAAGTACATCAGTTGGCTGATTTGTCATCTGCTAAAAACTGTTCTTAACAGTACTTGAAAACAGGTAAAATACTAAATGCTGCTATGGCACAGGATCAAAATTGGATGTTTGGAACACTGAGTGGTTCTAATTTCATTGACAATGCAGGACTGTGTATTGATCCTAAAATTAGAGGGGCTTTGATGTGAAGACCTGCCAAAGAAATGACGGAAAAAACCCCCAAACCTTTATTTTAGAAAACAAAACAATTCTCTTGGGATGAAATGCCCGTCAGTGACTTTTTATCTCTTACAGCCCTCTGCAAGTATCAAGTGAGTCTTTTTCTGTGAGTTGTCTACGGCTAAATTTAGCTCAGTATCACTTGGTCTCATAGAATCATGTTGCACTTTACATTAATTTGTTTTGCACTGGTAGTTATAGTATCTCACAGGTGAGCTTAAGTACTCAAGTGTATAACTGGCTTCTCCACATGGAAAACTTTGGGAAGCACTAATAAATAATTCCAGGCTGTAGTATCAGGTGCCTACTTCAGATTTTAATATATAACTCGAGGGTGTGTGGAGAGTGTAACAATTTAATCAGCATTCGTGTTTTACTTCTGTTGCATAAAACAGTGACAATAAACAATTGGTTTTCTTTAACTTATAGCTTTCTTAATATTTTCCATTAACATACTGAGCTCATTGCCACCATGCTAAAACCTTTTATGGACATTGTGGGAACTTAAAATCAATTAAAAGTAATTTTAAGTGAAAATACTTTAGTTTGGGAGAGGAGGTTGATAACTTAATTTTATAATTGGTGGTCAGTCTTGTCCACAAAGGATTGATACAGGACACAGGATGTTGGGGAGGAGCAAGAAGAAGAGGAGTAAATTCTACTATGAATTAATGCTCAGACAAAAGTACCTGCTAGTGGAGTTCCATCAGCTGCCAGTACCATTTGTTCAGCAATTGATTTGGTTCTGGAATAATGATCAACGTGCTGCAGAGAAAAAGCAAATACGTTTTTATCTGTTCTTGGAAGGACAGGGCAGGGGGACATCTCTGCTCCGTTAGTTTTTACTTAGCAAATGCCAACAAATACCTCAAAATACAGAAACCATGGGGTGTTAGGTTCAGGGTAAAACATGCACATTGCTAAGGCAAGGAGGCATTTTTCTTTATGCAAATCTGGTTAATTAATTTCAGCACATTTGAGAAGCAATAAATAAATGTATACTTCGAATGCTGCCAGGAATGTAATCGATCACTACTTTGGAATCTGGATTTCTGCTTCAGGTAATGGAAAAGTCAAAAGCCAGGTTTTGAAGACATTACCTCTGAAGTATCCTGTTCACTTTGGAGTGGCACTACCCCAGAGAAAATATTTGAAATATTATTAAAAATATGATTCAGTATTTTCTCTCCATCTTTACTTCTTGAAAGACCATGAAGTACTTGATGGAGAGAGGAGGGACACAAAAACAACTGTGTAGGCAAAGCACCCAGAAGTACTTTCTCCTTTTTAATTAAATGCAATAAACCCCTATAAAAATAGGCTGCTTTTCCAGATCAGCTCTACATTGAATATATGCCATCTTCAGTAAGGGAGAAACAGAAAAATCATGTAGATAATGAATAGCTAGAGAGGCACCAAGCCATAGAACACAATCCTTCTGGCCAGGTGGGATCTCCTTGATGTTAACGGACACTGTAGGAGTTATTTGCCAAAATCAAGGCCCTAAGAGGAAACAAAGAAATATGTACAGCAATGTACATAAAACTGATGTGTGAAAGCTGTGAATAGCATCTACAAAAAGCAGTTTTCTTCTTTCACTGAATCATAGAATCGTTTGGGTTGGAAGGGACCTCAGAGATCACTTCATTCCAACCCCCTTCCACCTTCCACTACATCAGGTAGCTCAAACTCTCATCCAACCTGGCCTTTCCTGTGCCTGGATCCTGGCATCAGGTCACACATTGTCAAAAAGCTCCAGGCTTTTCCAGAAACAAGAAAATAAACAAGGAGGAAACTTGGAAACACGATACAACCAAAATACCTTGTCAAGTGGGAAATATGGCACAGATTCCTCATCCCCATCTTCAATAGGGAGCCCTCCAAACACCACGTTCACTGTACTGGTGTAGATCAGCCGAGAGATGTTGTGGTGTTGGCAGGCTGCAGGGACGTACAAAGTAAATTACTTAATGGGAAATGAAACAATGTGGGGGGAAAAAAAGTGTTGTATGACCTTATTCTGAGAAACTGCCAAATCTTAGAAGGGAAAATCCTTCCATTCTAGGAGTGGCAAAGCACATTTAGAGGGAAGGCATCAATGTGGAACCAAGAGCTTTACTCTCTGGCACATCCCACTCTGACACATCACACCCTGTCATAGGATGGAGCATCAAAAGCAATGTTTTGTTTTCTCATCTTCTGCCAACAACATAAAGCATTTGGTAAGAAATAATGTGTGCCAAACACCAGCTAGCTTTCTCTAAATGGTGTATGGTACTTGATGTGCTCTGCCAACACCCCAGTGGCACAGTTAGATAGTACCTACCTTCAATGATGTATCTTGTTCCATTAATGTTTATACTCTCAATCTTCTCTTTCTGCCACTAGGAAAAAAAAAGAAATTGTGCATTTCTGAATACATAGTAAATTCAGTATAGGGGTGTTACAATGTCCTCAAAGGTAATTCATTTAGTGTTTTGGTTACAAAAAAAAGGTCTTCTAGGCTGTTGTTTCTGACTTCAAGTAGTCAGATCGTTATTTTTAAGCTATGCCTGTATTTTTGTTGTATTTTTGCAGACTATTCTGCTTGAAGCAAAGAGAATCACAGTGCTCCAAAGAAACACGTCCTGTTATTAGTATGTTAAATATCTGTGTTTCAGTAGCACTTCAGTGATGAGTTGCCTCTGCCCAGAGCAATTGCCATTATGCATTAGTGGTAAATAGCTCTGAGTGAGCTGTTCTATCCAAACAGGGTAATTATTGAAGTTCCTTTTATTAAACAAGGTAAGAAAGGTGTGTGTTTGTAACTCTAATCATAAAAAGTGTGACTCAGAGTACATCCTCACAGCTTTTTCCTTGACTTGAAATATGGTGGTCTGTATTTAGATACATAAAATAATTTATAATTCAGTTCAGTTGTTATTCCTCCCAGTGACCTTACACCTAGGAGTTCCTTGTGAAGGTTTAGGGAAGGATCAGGGGTTTGGAGGGAACCAGCTCTTGGCTTTTCTTTTGTCTTTATGCTGTTTCAGAACTCTTCAATGCCATTTCCACCTCAAACACCCTCCGAGGGTGCTGGTGGAGCCTCTGATGGGGAGCAAATCATTCTGCAAACATCCTGGCACTCCAGTTTGCACAGAGCAATCTACCAAAACACCAGGGTAATGGGAAGAGATAAAATCTACCATGCTGTGCTACAGCATCAAGTCTCTCATTCTCATTGTGGGCAGTCCCATAGAAAAAAACAGAACTATTTGGACTCACTTGCTCTTTTCCTGACATTCCATATGAAGCTACATGAAACACACAGTCAGCCCCTTCACAGGCTGCAAGTATGGCATGGTAATTCCTGAGATCTGCCTGGAACACACAAGAAAACATATTTGGACTTGACATCAAAGCTTCCCGTGAGCATTTGTCATACAGTGGGTTAGCACAGAGGGAATCCATGTATATATAATGCATATTTAGAATTGTACTGGCCGTACATCCTGGGCCTCAAAACAGGGCCAACCCCAGTGCTTGCTGATAATGATTCTTTCTTCCACAGAACCCAAAGGGCTGGAAAGACATTTGTCAAGCTTCATAATACTCCTGTGTTTTTTCTGTAGGTGATTAAGGCTCAGGTGAGGGCAGGGTCCTGAGGAGGCAGGAGCAGAACTGCCCTGTGCTCCACGTGACAGGTTTCACTGCTTTCCTTATTTCAGATATACTAAAATCCCTTCACCAAAAGTCCCATGGGATATTTCACACAGTCAAAAAGGTTATTGGAATTGGAAATAATTTGCAGTTAGCTGTTTGGATCCTCTGAACACTAGTAACACGTTACGGAAAAGGCAAATGAACTAACTTTGACTGCTGGGAAAATACAATTTATCTTACCTGGACGCACACCACTCCACTGGGAATTTCCCAAATAGGCTTTTGCATGTCATAGAGAACAACAGAAGCTCCTTTGCTGGCAAGAGCACATCCCAGCTTGTATCCAAAGTAGCCGCCGCCTCCTGTCACCACAGCTCTCATAGTGGTTTTATTCAGTGCTGCAGCATGTCCGTTCCCTTTGGAGTTTTACAAACATTTCAGATGTCTGTGCACTATATTAGACATAGCATCCTGAAAATAAATAACAAAGGTAGCAATGTTTTGGGCTAAGGCTTAATTTGCAAATGGCGTCCAGAACAGTAAAAGAAAAACTAAACAAACAAAAAATTTTGCCTAACAGAGAGAACATGAATTCAAATATTTTCCACAAATGGATCAAAATTAAAATAACAGTCCAGATCCTAATTTTTTATTAGCAGAAGAGAAACCTCTGGCTATGTGAAATAGTCTGGACTCAATTTAGTTCATCCTGGTCTGCATCACAACTCAAAGATGGCTTTAGGGACCAGATGTGCTATAGGGGTCATACCTGATTTTGAACTCTTGATCTGTCAGGAAAACTCTAAAGATGAACAAACTGCATTTAAATTTCTCTGTTTAAAACCAAGCAAGCAGGGCCAGGCAGAACAGCAGCCAAATACAACATCCCCTAGAGCAAAAGAAACCTTCAGTGTTTCTTTCACTCGACCCCAGTTTATCAGAAAGACACATCTGAGGGAAGTGGTGTTTCCAGCTCCTTTCTAAGTAGCAGCAGCTGAGCATAAATTAAGAATACACCGTGTTGTTACCACTGACAGTGATGGAGTTGAGAGATGAGGGTTTCAGGAGGGAAGAGGAATGCCTGATCCTTACTTCATAACTTTAGAAGGTGTATCAGAGAACAAGGCTATCAAATCCCTCGCTTTCGAGGGGAACTCGAATAAAATAGCTGCTCTGAAAGAAAGGGCCAATGAGTGCACTAAGAAAAAGTAACAGTTGATCACTTATTTCCGGAGCATGGAGGTTCTTGCTCATCTATGGGTTCACCGCTGCCAGTCGGGGCATTTCAGAGGCTGTGGCTGCGAACTCCCCCCAGTCACGCAACATCCCTGCCCCGGCCGCGATTAAACATTCAAAGCCACCCGAGCCCCGGCGGGACTCCCTGCATCTCACTTGCAAATGGCCCAGGGCCGCAGGCTCTGGAGCTCCGAGGGTGGGCGGCCCCGAGCGCTCAGCGCGGCCGTTGGGGCCGTTGCTGCCCCGGGGGAGCCCCCGGCTGGTGTCGGGCCCGGGGCATCCCCCCCTCCGGCCCCACGCACCGCCCGCAGCGACCCCCGGGGGTCCCGACCCACGGCCCGACCGCCCCCGCGCTCCTCGGGGTCCCTCTCATCCCGCAGCATCGCTGGCATCGCCCCGAACCCCCGGGCTCCCAAGGGCCCCCCGGGGTCCCACCGCACCCCGGGGTACTGCTCACCAGGCAGCACCTTTGGGATCCCACAACCTCCCTGGGACCCTGCTCATCCCACAGCACCTCTGGGATCGCACAACCTCCCTGGGACCCTGCTCATCCCACAGCACCTTTGGATCCCACAGCCTCCCTGGGTCCTGCTCACTTGGCAGCACCCCTGTGATTCTGCTCATCCCACAGCACCTTCGGGATCCCACAACCTCCCTGGGACCCTGCTCATCCCACAGCACCCTGGGGTGCTCTTACCTCCGAGTGCCTTCACACGCGTCCTGTTGGTAGCGAGGGCTCTGTCCACACTGAGACACCTGTTGAACGGGTTGTTGAGGAAAAAAAAAAAAAAAGAACACCTCCTACTTACCAGCTGGACAGTTGGTGGCAGGACATGGCTCAGAGAGGTGCAGACCATCAAAGGCACCTGTGAAACAGCAGGAATTCCCAAGGAGGAGGGTATAATCATAAACAAATGGGCACTGACTAAGGGCCCTGACCACCTGAGCTGGCAGTGGGTCCCTGTGGTCATCCGAGCCTGGGAGGATGGGAAATGTGTCAGGAGCTGGAGAATTTGAGGGTTACCCATTCCAGGCAAAAATTAAGCTTTGAACACGTTTACCTCTTCTGTTACAGCTGTGCTGTGTCTGAACATTCATATTAAATTTTAATCATTTAAAGACACACTGCAGTTTTGTTAGAGCAGCAGTAACTCAAACAAGAGCCAGCACATGTAGCTCAGGTAGTACAATCTACCCAAGAAGCAACAAATATAAATCTTAAGAAGGGGAAAAAAGAGAGAGGTTGGATTCTCCCTCATGTCTTGGTGCTTGGTTTGCCTGCTCACCCTCAAATGGCAATTCCCTGAAGGTACAGGGTTGTGGATTGTAACTGTGGGTGTGGATAATGTGACTCCAGCAGTAACACCTTGTTGAACTCCAAGATCTCAAGTGTCCTTCCTCCCCCTTCCCGAAGCTCTCTAAAAACAGTATTTGGTTCAGTTATTATTTATTATTGCTTTGAATGTACATTGTTTGATTTACAAACACACATAATATTATTTATTACAATTTACAAAGCTTTTGAACAATAAAATTATTTTTACATAAATATGATTTTCAGTCCTCTCACCACCTGTTATTTATAAATATTTACTTTCCATACTTTTGTCCTATTTCCCAGGTCTCCATAATTCCTCAGACTTACAGGCAGTAGCTGTAGCAGCAGCTTCATCAGAGGAGTTGTTTAGTCACTCTTTTCTTCACTGGAGCTGCTGGACTTGTGGCAGCACTGCAGTCCTACGATGGTTCCTCTTCTTCCAACTTCTCACCCTCCTGAGTTATCATTTTTAGAAAATCCCTCTCAGCATGAAGCAATGAATTAATGAAGATCCATTAACACTGGTCCTGCAGCTGTTAATGATGAACTCCTTTGATTTGCTCCTGGGGAACATTTCCTGATGTGTTCCATATTTTCACTTTTGTGATTGTTTTCCTGTTTATTGGTTGGTTTGTTTGGTTTTTTTTCTTTCTTAATGAGGTCAGAGAGGTGTCATCATAGTTATAACAATAACAAAGTCCACAGTGGCTGAGGAATGTACCAGGACCAGATCATTAATACTCAGGAACAAAACGAGGCTTTCTGGAACAGGTGGGGAATTATTCGATTTTAGAAGAAAGAGAGAACGACCAAACTTAACATAATGCCAAAAACAAACACCATTTTAAGGAATGTGTGATCTTCTTGGCAAGTAGGTCTTGTTTTGAGATAATGATCCACAGAGTCAGCGAATGAGAATTTCTTTGGTTTGTAGCCAAGTTGATTCCGTGCCTTGTCTATTCGGAACGTGTGAGTTACAGTCACGTTCCACACCTGAAACCCAAAAGGACAGGTATGGAAGTGACTTTAATATCAGATTTTCCAGAACTTGGATGAAAATATATCAACAATGATGTTACAATGGAAACAGAACAGAAAACAGAACTCTACTGCTGAGAATCCTGTCTGCATCCAAAGGGTGTATCGTGGACTTCATGAGAGCTTTGGGCAGCAATTTATAAACATTCTCTCTTTTTATATATATTTACCTCATTCCTTGTCAAGAAAGGTGTAAAGCTAAAAACTGGCTTTAGAATCAGGTGCAGATATTCCATCACAGTGGCTGTGAAACACAAAGGTACTTAATGAGACAGACAGCTGGAAAACAATAAACTGAGACAATGCTGACATTGCACATCCTGTAATTCCTACTGATACCAGAGGATGAAATTAGGGTAGTAGAAGGCAGGGTTTAATTTATAAAGTACATGGTGGACTCAGTTTATGAATAGCCTTTAAAATTTATCTGGTAATTAGTGCCAAATGGCACAAGTGATTATTATTTATTAGAATAATGTTAAGTTACATAATTCCTACAGTTTGGGTCCCATCATTTTATAAAACCACTATGGAGCTTTCTAGGAATAAAAAAAAACCCAACCCAGCCCACAGTAATTAAGAATGTATTTTATTTCTTTTACCTGCTATATGAACCAGGAGAACAGGAATGTGTATCCAGGGTTTCCTGTAGCCTAATTTTTCAAACTAGAAAGGGTATAAAAAGAAAGAATAACAGAGAGCTTGTACCAAATGGAGCGTGTCATGAAGCATGAAAATGGAAAGGAAAAAAAAGGAATGTTGATAAAATGTGTATCTAACACTTTTTCCAGCTAGTCTTCCTGTCAATACTGGTAGTAAGAAATGCAATTGAAACCCTCTGCTCATCCTTTGGTGCTCATCTCCCACCCTTCAACTGCAATTGGACAATAAAGGGGAACAAGGCTTTTCCAAGGGGCAAGTGACCCCGACTGGAATCCTTCCCTACAGTTAAATACAGGCCCATTGTTCCACTGCAATGATCTTCCCAGAGGAATTCTCTGTGTTGGCATTGCAGGATTAAAACTTTGGCATGCTGCTGAAATCCCAGTCTGATGTTTATGGAAATATAATGCTGCCTCTTCCCAGCTTCTGAGATGAGATTCTGAAGGGGCTTCCCCTCTGTGCTGCAGCTGATGGCAGGACAGAGATCAGCAGTGGCTCTGACAAACCTGCCAGATGCCCAGGGCAGAGCTTGCCCTGCACTGGGTTTGCTCCACAGAAACGCTGCTGGTCTGCAGCAGGCTCTGTACCCCTGGGCTAAATTATCTCTAAACAGTAAAGCCAAATCCCACAGTTATGCATAGTCAAAACTTCCCTGAAAGCCCGTGGAGCTTTGGGACATCAGGGAGAACAGGAGTGAGTTTAATGTTAAGTCATTCAGTAATTCGTGTGCCCTGAACTTCATTTAGGTTGTCTGGTTTGTAGCCAGAGCAGGCCCAGAGCCCCTGAGGTGCCTCCGAGCTGAGCGAGTGTGACACGTACCAAGGGCACGATCCACTCGGAGAAAATCACGTTTTCACCATCGTGGATGTAATATGCCTGACCACTCTGTTGAAGAAGCAGAGAAGAACAGTTAGAAAACACTGTACAGAGGATGGCATTCCTTTTTCTCTCCTACCTACCCATGTCTTGGTTTTGTGGGCGATACACCAGCACGAACGCGGTGAACGTTCACAGAGCAGCTCAGCAAACTGCCTGCCCTGCCTTCACCCTGCTCTCACACACAGTTTTGGGGAACCCCCCGTGGCAGCAGAGCTCCCCATGATTACCCACGGTGTCCTGTGGATGTTCAGCTGTGTCTGTACCTGATGGATGTTCCTACCACTGTAAATGAATCTGGAGCACTCAGGAGCTGTGAATGCAGCAGCTGCTGCAACACTGTCAGTTCTGACTTGTTTCGAATGGTTGCTCTAAATGTTATGCATCTGGGATCAGAATCTATTTTCAAGAGAATAACAGGATATATAGATTTGTATGATGGTGAATATATTAAGGTAGTTAAAAGTACTGTTTCCTCCAATAAACCAGGAAATTATCATATTTTCAAACCAGAATAAAAGCATCATCATACCATTGAGCCAAATGAATTTGCATTTGCACTGTCCGTGTGTTTCTGGATCCACACACCCTTTTTGAGAATATGACTTCTCAGAGACTCTTTGATCTCAAAATATCAAAAATTAAACCTATTAGAGAGCTAAAACTACTGGGACACCGTGATTATATTGTTTACTTACAGCTACATAACCCTTCTCAGAGGTGAGAGCCTCAGCAGCCAGTAAGTGAGCTTGTACCAGATTTCCTATGTGCACCCAGTTCATCTGAACTTCGTGATTCCCAAACTTGAAGTTAAAAAGTCTCCGCTGGATGTTTATCTGCAGGATCAGAACACATGTGATAACTAGGTTATTCCTTTATTATGCAGTGTAACATCCATTTTATCTCGGCCCAAATACTTGGAATTTGCTGTATTTGTGTACAATTACAGCACAAGAAATGTGTCCCAAGAAGACAAAAAAACCAAACTGGTTGGTGATTTCATGAATCAAAGACTGTTGCACTGATAGGCAGTGGCAAAATATGGTGACATTAGAGTGTTTAGCAGAAACTCAAGTGCATATTTAGAAGTCAATATTTCCATTAAACAATCAGGGATGCAAACCTAGTTCTTCCACCATGGCATTTCAGCCTTGCATTTTTTAATTTTCACTGCGACTTCATCCCGGCCGTGCCTTGCAGTGCTCGATTCGTACCCTGCATCCCATCCCCTGTCACCCAGCTTTCACCACAGCCTTCCTGGAGCAAGGGTTAAGAACTGCAATCAAGGTACTTCCACTTGTGTTATCGCCCTTACAACTACTTGTGGTGTCCTCCAGAGCTGAGTACAAAACACATACGGCTACTCGTGGCAGGTGCCGCTGCTCTTCGGGTCCGTAGATGCCCGGGGGGCGAAGCACACACGTGTGGAGCTTGTCCCCTCCTGGGGGAGAGAACAACAGGGGACCTTCAGACAGCTTGGATATCAACTTATGGCTCACTATATATATATATCTAGTGTGAATTTTACACTGTCAAAATAAAGGCTCGGTCTGCCCATATCTGTGATTTGGCTTCCTGGGAGCTTTGATTTCGTTTCCCTATAAAATTGAATTCAGTAGCTGTGAAAGGCCTGAGCCTGGGAGCCTGACAAGCCAAATCCCACAGAAGAGTTTGAACAGGAACAGGGCAAATCAAGCTTTCCTCCTGCTTGTTTGGCTTTTGCTGTTTATTGCAGAGACAAGTTTACAGCTTGTATTTGTCCATCCCTGCAGGCACACGGGAGCAGATCACTCCATTTGCTGTATCCAGACTCCTGGCTTGCTTTGCAGCTCAGGAGCATCACAAAGGAAGAGAAGAGGTCTCCTAAACAGAGGCTTTCAATGAGTTTGAATATTTTAAATCAAAATTAATAAGTCTGACATGTGAATCACTCAGCAGACCCTTCTGACCCCTGAGAACAGGCACAATGACACCTTTTATCTGGCCAAGAGTAACAGGGGTTGCTTCCTGTTAAGGAATCAAGGATGATTAATCAAGGATGCTAAAATTGAATCCCCACCTAATTTATGTTTGCCAACTTGGCAGTTATGAGAAATCAGTAGGAGTAGCAAAATATGTATCTAAAAATCTCCCTTGCCATGTTCAGGTAGATTTTTAGCCACAACTATTCCTGCAGGTGCGACTTTGGAAGTCACCTGATATTGCCAATCTGTTAAAGAAACTGCTGCTGTTCCTGCCAGACACCTGCAACAAAATAAACCCTCACTTCAGGTAAAGTCCTCTGCTTACTGATAAATGGGAAAGCAATACCCATTAGCACTACTGGTGATGGGAAAACCCCAAATGCTTTAAATGTACCTTTGAGTAAAGTTCCATTAGCAGCAAGAACCATTTGGTCTGCAATTGCCTTGGTTCTGGAATAATGATTAAATTGCTATAAAGAAAGGCAGAATACAGTCATTTAAATCACGCTGGTGCATCTGTAAAGGCAAACTTACTGGTTTTGACTGATAACATTTCAATCTAGGCAGCTCCTAGATATCAGCTGAGCAAAACACAACTAGAAATAACAACAAGATTTAGCAAATATATATTTTGTGAGGAAAAACTTATCAGAGTTATATTTTAGTGGCACAAATTTAGCTTCAGAGTGAATTTAAGTACACTAGTATTTACTTAACTCACTTTTTGTGCTGGATGTACTGAAAAAATTACTCCCAAGCCAAATGTTCTGGTGGCACAGATATTTTTTCAAATTATCCTTTTCTGAATTGAAAAAAGTTTTTTAAAAACTGCAAGTTAAATATGAAATTAAAAATTCAAACTTTCCAAAAAACATTTCCATTTCTTATTGAAGTTATTTGGGAAGTTCTGTATTGATAGACTTTATATTGGAAAATATACCATGGGAAATTCCACAAGCCATTGTGGTTTGATTATTTCTTCATTGATCATGGCTCAACTTACATTAATGAAAAATAATTTCATGGAATTTGTTGTGATCCACAGTAAAACAGCTTCTGCCTTCACACAACCTGCCCTTCCAAGCACAGTAAATCCACATCATCACATGAACAGCAGACCTTTTCCAGTGGAAAATAGGGAACAGTTTCTTCATCTCCCTCTTCAATAGGATTCCCTCCAAACACCACATTCACTGTACTGGTGTAGATCAGCCTGGGGATATTTCTTTGTTTGCAGACTACAAGGACAGACAGAAGAAATTATTTTAAAACAAAAATAAAGAGGGAGCAATGACAAGTGAACTGGCAGCTTCTCTTTCTGAAAGCAAACATTATGCTTGCACATTTTAATTTTATTGTATTGCAGTATTTTAATTTTAACATTCACTTATCATTTCATATAGCCTTGTCTATCATTCAGCTGGAGTTTTCCATCCCAAATATCTGCTATGCAAATATTACAGGTGGTGGTCAGCAGGTGGTTTATGATTAGGTAACAAATCATATCCCCACTGGATGGAGGAATCTCTGTGGGGGAAAAAATCCCTCCTTCAGAAACATTTCTTAAAACATGTTCACAAATGGAATAAAAAGGAGATGAGTAAGAGCATTTGTTGTGCAGCACTGCCAGTGTATAATCAGCAGTGCTTTAAATGCAAAAGAAATTAATGTTATTTACAAAACAAAGCCTTAATTAAGGATTCCAGTCGTGTGTTATTATACCTAAATTCTGCTCCATATATGTCATTGCAAACTTGAATAACATACATTTCCTCTTCATTTACCAATATTTCTAAACTTTAAGTGAATTAATGTTCAAAGTCAGGAGTTTTTAGACTCTGCAGAGCTGTCTGTCCAGCTCCAGGGTCATTGGCTCCTTTTGAAAAAAATGAATCAAATTGCTGTGTTGTAAATATTTGGAACAAAACACAATACTACCATCTGTTATTAAAATGTTGATGAACAGGTTCATGCTTCTCCCAGACTCTTGCTTTGCTGGGAGCCCATGGAAATTGGTCATGCCACGTTTCTGTGAGTCTGGAGGTTGGGGTAGGAAAAGGGGAATATGTGGGAACCTCTTCCCTCTACCTCATGTAGAATTTTACTTGCCTACTATTCCATTTTGCTTTTTTTTTTAGTAATAACACACAGAGGCAGCAGGAAAATTGGTCTAAATAAAAACTGGTTTTGCCATTTTGCCTTTTTTTTTTTTCCCATTTGGTTTTTGAGGGAAAAACAAGGAGAAAGTAGCTTTGGTATTTACAATACACTTAGGTTTGAATCAGATGCAGAGAAAGAAAAGCAAGGGACCTACCATCAATTATTATTTTTGTGCCTCCAACGTTTATGGATTCGATCTGATCTTTCTTTTGGAGCTGGAAATAGAGTTTGCACAAGGTTTGATTCATGGAACAGTCACATTCACACCATGATTGTTACAATTGCCAGCTGTGGAACAGCTGAGGCCTTTCTGGGATGTGTTGCAGTTCTGTGTCTGCCTGACAGGGATCTCTGGCAGTTCTCATTTTGCCTGTCTTGTTCAGTTGAAAAATAAAAGATAAAATGCATCTAAAATGAAATTATAATGCTTCAATATTTTGTCACCCCCTCCAGATGATCCATGCCACAGAAACAAGAATTACAGCTCCCTGAAAGCTTCCACAGATTCTGGTTCCAGTGCAATCTGTCTTGTTTCTAGAAATAAATGAGTAGTTTCATGACTTTTTGATAACATTAAAAAAAAAATAAAGGATAAGCCTTCTTCTCCAAGATCTTAAAACTATGATCTCATTTTTCTAGAATATTTTGTAGTACATTAGTTTCATGCTCTGACATTTATTATTTAAGGAATACCTCCCTTGTTGCCTGTATGGATGACTTGACCTTTCCAACCAACTCCTGTCTGACATAAATATTACATCAATATTACACAAATATTACATTCTTTGCTACATGCAGACAATTTATTTCTTTCTCAAAACCAACAACAGAAAACCTTGGGAAAATGGTACTTGCTTGTTCTAATCCTGACATTCCACATGCAGCCACATGGAAAACACAGTCAACCCCTTCACATGCTTTGAACACTGCATCGTAATCCCTCACATCGCCCTGGAAACGAGAAAAGAAGGAGTTTTTGACAGGTAGAGCTGCTTACATTCTCTACAGAATTACATTCATTATGGCACTTAATGAAAATCTAAAGATACTCTGATCTATTTTTCACAGTATTTAACTGGCAGCAAACTCAACATTATAAACAGGGGGAAAAAATCCATGACTAAGAACTTGGTCAGCGTTTTGTTGCGAAGCCAACAGGACTGGGCTTCGATCACAGCGCGTCTTTTCCCCCTGAGTCTGCAGCCTGGCAGAACTTGTCTGACTGGAATGGGAGCAGCTCATGCTCCAGTGCTGCAGAATGAAGCCCCAGGGACAACAAAGCACAGCAGGAAGGGTTCAGCTGTTTGCCAGGGAATCACCAAATCAGAGAACCCCCATTTTAGCAGCCTGGGATGGGATTTGTGTCATCCTCACAGATGTCTTTGTCCATCTAAGGTTTGTTTGAGGTGCACTGTGTGATAACTGTATTAATAGTAGTCCACATCTGTACAGATATCAATAAAAATATAATACTTTTACTTTGAGAATGACAATATTTCAAAATACTAGATATTAGTTACTTTACTGTAATGAACTTGATAGAATAATTCTGAGGTTGCCAAAGTGTTTCACAAATATGGCTGAGTTACCCTTCCCACCCTTTACCCAGTGCTAAAGTAGCTAATGAGGATAAACAATATGAGCAATCCCCAAATCACTGATCAAGGCTCAGATCTCTGAAGTGACTTATTACTTTATTTATTAGGACTCCACAGTTCCATTTTCCAGGTAACTCAGCTATACTTTGTAGTATGTTTTTTTAAATTAAATTATAAAACCCCCTATTCTAGAAGATCATTTGTGAGATCTTGAGTCTCCTCTAGAACATGTAAATTGCCATCACTCCACCAATTTAAATTGTTAAGAGTCAAACCCAGTCAGTGCTCATAATGAGTGTCCTGGGAACAGTATGAACAGGGCAAGGATATGAGACACTTTCCCCCTGAATACTCTCCTAGTCTCTAAGTATTTTCATTCAGAAGATTTCTTGAGCCTAATTGACCTTACCTACTTAGTCACCTCCAAAGGAAGTACATTTTTGGTGAGGCTTTGCACATGCCTGTTACCCACTGCACGACAAACAACGTCACTTGGTTTGTACTCAGCTGACTCCTCCTCGTTTCTCCTGGTGGCCCTTCCTTCTTGTTGCAGGGAGGACAGGGAGCAGTCAATCCCTACCCATGTCAGTGCCACTCACTTTGCAGAGCTCTCCTGCTCCCAGGTCACCTCCTTCCCAGACTGGAAATCCTGGTTTCCTCAGTCACTCTCTGCACAGCAGCCATTCTGCATTTGTGGGCACTTTTAATGCCTTATCCTGCTCTCACCTTTGCCTTGAAATAACTCCCTGAGCAGTAACTTTGTCACTTCGTTGTTCCAGGGGTGAGCTACGAGTGTGGGTGGCACCTCCCACCCGGGCCTGCAGAAGCTCACTGGGGACACAGACACTCCCCTGGACTCTGCCATCTCCTCATCAGTTACTTAGGCACGTGAGGACCTTCTGCCACGACTTCTTGTCCTCAGTAAATGTTTTTCAAGTCCTTAGGAGGGAGCCTGGCTGTGCATGAAAGCAGCACCCCGTTATTTCACTGCTGCTCAAGGCGCGGGTTCCACGTACCTCGACAAAATCGGCTCCGCTGGGGATTTCCCACTGAGGTTTCCGCACATCAAACAGAATCACAGCGATCCCTGACCTAACCAGGGCACATCCCAGATTGTAGCCCAGGTAGCCTCCGCCTCCTGTCACCATTGTCCTTGTGCTCCTGTCCCCTGGCAGCCTGGCAGGCTCCTTCCCTTGGCTCTCCCATTCCCGGCTGGGGAGCTCCTCCAGGGATCCTTCCGGCATCGCGACTGCAACAGAGAACAGCTCCTGGAGATTCCTGCACACTGCTCTGGGATCAGGGTCGTTTCAGGGACTTTCACGTTACCACGCTCCTTATCATGTTTAAAATGTATAAAGTAATCATTTTGGTGATGGGCTCTCTACGTACAATGAGTAACGATCTGAATACTTTTATATTCCAAGATACAGGTTTTTTTCCTCATACCCAGAAATTTCATATTATATAGTAATAAAGAGATTTTAGAGCCATTATAGTTACTTAACCTTAACAGGTATAATTACATTTTCAAATGCTTGGTTTGATTAAACATTTTATTCTTGAAAACTCCCTGACTTCCAATATATTAATGCCAAGTAGATGTCACCCTACTAGTCAGGAAAATAAACCAACACATTAGATAAGGAATATAAGAAAGGATGCATTCTACTATTAACATTCACTTTATTTCACATTTGGGTCACAGTTCCTCAGCAATGATAAAAATTTGTTTCTATTTTAAGCTTTTCTGGTTACACACTAAATACATTTATTTTTCTGTCCAGTTCTCACTAACTTGTCCATATTGTTCTCATTAGGGTATTTCTATACAGCTAAACTAGTGTAAAAAACAAGTGTACAATGCAAGCTCCTTATGTTGACAAATATCCTGACAGTTCAAAACTGAAGAATAATCCATGTTTCCAAACAAAATTTAAATTAGAACTAAAATAACAAAACTAAACCCAGTATGCTCTCCTGTTCAAGCAAGGAAATATAAATTTGCATCTCTAGATTGTCCAGTAGTCTTAAGCCATAAAAAGCTCTTGGTCTTCTGAAAAAAAGCATCTTTTTACACACTATAAAGAGAACTGAAGTCAAGCTTATCACAAATACCACAAAAAGACATTTGAAAAATGGTATATATTTGAATACTTGTAATTAATACCTCCTTAAATTTTAAATAAGACAAAAAAGTTTAAAGTTTTTTTTCCAGAAATCTCTTTCTGCACTAAATGGCATTAATATATTCATCTGCTTCATGGAATCAGAAAACTGTTAGGAAATTTTGAACATAAACAATTTTCTTTAAGAAAATACTTCTTTCCAGATAGGTAATTTTTTTTCCCCTCTGAATTTATGAGAACTATTCTGATTTATTAATGCATGATGAGCAGAGCTACATCTCAGGCACTGGGAGTTGCTCTTCGCTCCCCTGCTGTCTCTTCAGATATTAGAAATGCACAGAGAAAAACTTCCCCATAAAAACTTCCAGGTATTTAAAATCAGGTAAAGAAGCAGTCAGTACCCTTGGTAGAATGCTGGCTGGCAGCTGTCCCAGTCCTTCCCGGCCAGGTGAGGTGGGGAGAGGTCTCTGTGCTGGACAATCCGTAACTCCGGGGTATCAGGTGCTCTCAGGACAGGGATGTTCACATGTGCTCAGGCCCTTTTGCTGTTCCTGCTCCTTTGTAGCTGCTGCCTGGGCTGGGAGCCAAAAAAGGGCAGGGCTTAATTGGTACATAATTTACCTTCCTTTTTTTTTTGGGAAAAAAATAGAATATTTTCTCCACATCAGACCCTCTTTACTGTCACCTGGTAGAAGGATAAGACAGTAGGTGACACAAATATACTGTTGGTACCAGTAGAGTGTGGATAAACTGCAGGAGAGAAGAAACAAAACTCCAGTTTGGCAGTGGTACCCAGCACTTCCATCCTGACTCTTCTATCTTCATCCCCAACCCAAATTTGTATTTGCAGACAGGCTTACCTGTAGGCACAAGGTTTGTTCTCTGGTTTCTAAGATGAATGAAGGCAGTAAATTAAGTCATAGACAACACAACAGGGAAAGGTGATTTACTGTTTAATAATACATTTTAAATTAATGGTAATTAATTAAATGATTAACAATTATAGACGTTGATCCTCAGATTTTAAAGCTCTTTTAAAACAAATATCCTTCTACAAATTAAACAATGAGAAATCAAAGCCAACATTTTTAAAAGGGTGTGTCCAAAATTAAATCTCAAAGCAGTAGTTAAGACGGTAAAGAAACACTCCCACATCTAAATATAATTGACTACAATTTTCAATGTTTGCATGTTAGAAATATCTCAAGTTCACAGGTGGCCTTGCAATTTAAATGTAATTTAATGTTCACGTGCTGACAGGAACTCAAACTGACACCCAGGCAGGTACATTTTAGCATAACATGCATGTTCTCAAGTCCCTGTGGTTGGCCTTAGAACCTGACCCTTTGAGCCTGGGGCACGAATCTGCACTTCTTGGATTGCTGGATGAGGGACAAACCCAGCTCAGAGTAAAACCCAAACCCACCAAATTCCCTGGCTTGAGCTGCCCACAGCACTGAGAGCTTTTACCATTTAATGCAAGAAATGAAGTGCCCATTCTAGCCCTGAACTACCCCAGAACTCCTCCACAAGTCAAAGCAGCTGGTCAGCTTAGTCATGGATATCAACCCCTCATTTCTCAGTGAAACTCAACAAAGAGTATTTTAACTTGGCTTTGGGTTCCACCAGAAGGGGACACCTCAGAGGAGCTTTCAGAACTGCTGTTCTGTATTCTCTTAACTGCAGTGAAGAGGGGTGACCACATTTTATTCATTGCATCCTGTAAGTACTTTTGAAACAAACAGAAGCTAAAATTGCAAGGAGAAAAGCTGCTGCATTAAGATTTGAGCTTGCTTTTTGAATCACAACTCTAGACTGCCTTTTTCTACTTTTTCTCCTCTGACCAGTCCCAGTTCATGCAGGCACAAAGGAAAAAAACATGCAGTTCTTGCAGGAGATGACTGTATAAAACACAACAGGAAGGTGCCAGAGAGTTTGTCTTACACAAGTTCATTTCAAATTACATGCTGATAGATGCAGGTGGGAATTGAGTAAGAAGGACTTGGCCTAAGACAGACAGCACAGTGTGTGTCTCCAGCCTACAAAGTCTTGTCCCTGGGCTGGTTCTGGGGGCAGTGCTGGGTCCCAGAGAGGTACCAGACAGATGTGAGACCAGGGCTTTGTCCCTTCCACTCAGAAGGTCCCGTTAACTCCCCAGCTCCACATCTGCAGGCCATGGAACAGGAGCAAAGCTCCAGCTCTGAGGTAACAGGAACCTGAGGGAGGGTTTTTAGTGGTGTGGAAGATCCTGTGCAGAAGGAGCCTCTAACAGAGATGTAGCAAAGCATGTAAAACTCAGCAGAGGCGTGAGCTGGGCTGACAGCTGGATGGTTGACATGAGTCACAGGATGGGGTGTTCTGCAGTGCCCAAGGGCAGGGGAATAGCACAAAAGCTTCACAAACTCAGCTCTCTCTTAAAGCTACTCAAGGATAGGATTTTGCTGAATTAAATGCAGCATAAAAATATCCTCTCCTCATCTGACTTATTAAAAATTCTGTATCTACGCCCTAAATTAGCAGAGGTGTCCAAGCTCTCGTGTGTTTGAACACCTCCTTGTGCACTTGTTCACATGCAGATGCCCCATCACAGGCACTGACACAGCCTGTGAACTCTGAGTGGTGAGACTTGTTTGGACAGTGCACCACATCACTGATCCTCTGCAACCCCAGAGAAGTCTGGACTGATCTGCTGCAGGGTGTAAGCACTTCTGACTAAATGTACTGATCTCTTTGTGACTACAAAAACATTCACCCTCATCACAAGGACTGAGTCTAAACCAACAGAGAGCTGAGAGAAGGGAAATGTCACTGGTGAGGGAATCACACTTTGAGAGAAGACCAAAAATGTTAAAAAGCATTTAAATCAGAAGGTCTTGCAATGTTAATGGAAAAGAGGAAAAGAACAAAACTCTCCTCTAATTATGTCTTGCTGTGCTTAAAATTTTTGGTCAAGAAGATAAATCATGGTATCTGAATTAAAGGAAAGCCAGGAATATTTATTTATCCTATAACCCAATGCTAAACAGTGGTACATATCAAATATTTCTAAGGCATGACATCATCCTCAAAAAAGGCTTCCCAATTAATGCAATAACAGACGTAATTTAATACCCAAAGTATGATGACAATACAACATTCTTCACATTCCTTGCTAAGTTAGAAGGGTAAGACACAGAGGCAAAGCAACTTACCCATGTCACGCTCTAAGACCAGACCAGAAAGGAAAAGAAGATGCAGATCCTTATTCCAAGCTGCAAAGCTGAGAGATCAGGTTCTTCTTCTTAAATCCCTCCACTCTTCATTAACATACATAAACAGTCTCACTCTGTTCCTTCCTTTTTCCCATTTCTTTGTGTATTTGAGTTACAATTCTGCAGATTTCACTGTTTCCTCGTGGAAGGAATAAAGCACACAGAAATACAGCCTTGGAATGTGTCCTACACAACGCTTTTCCCATGACTTTGTTCTCATTTCCTCTGCATTGGTGGCTGCTTTGCATGTTACACAGATTGATTTACAGGTCAAATGAAATGATAACTGTGAGCCTGCATTGCCAAGTCAGGATGGAATTACAGGAAGAAACAAAACAGCTCCTCAGAGCAGCACTGAACATCCCTTTATCAGCTCTTAGGTCTTGTTAAAAAAAAAAAAAAAGGCAACAGTTTATGCAATATTTGAAGGGAAAGAACACAAATGCATCATAAATAAAAATACTGCATTAAATTGTACTGAATAAAGGCAGGTGTCTATATTATTAGCAGGGATCACAGCTTGGCTTCTTACACACAGGAATGAACTATATAGATTCAGGCTTTAAAAGGACTACAAGACCAACTCCAATAGGTTTCCTTTCAATTCAAAGGTTTTCTAATGGTTGTTGCACTAGAGAGAAGTACAGATCATCATCACTATTACCTGGTTTGCTTTCATCCCAAAAAACACTGGAGGAGTTCTGAGGGCATGGGAGGTGGCTTGAGATGGACAGAAGAGGAGGATGTTTTGCACTGTGCCCACTGGGAATCATTTAAAATCTTCTACCAGGTGTCATTTGCAAAGTTCCATTCACCTCTATTGTTGTTATTAACCCAGAAATTGTAACAAAAGCTGCAGAACTTTCCAAGCAGGAAAGAAAAAAGGAGAAATCCTCTAGAAGAGATGAGGTTTGTTATTTGCTGGTTGTTTGGAAAGAGCCTTGGCACCTCATTAAATGTGGCCATGATGACAGAGGCAGCCCATGGTACTGAAAGGATGTCAAGTTGTGGTTTACAAGGCCAGCCTAAACTACCTATCAAAGTCTGGGCAGAATTTAAGATTCTAACTGATGAAGTCTCACATGATATGAGTCAGAGATTATCAGTGTCCTCATACAGTAGTTCCACCAGTGCATTCAGTAGTTACCTAAGCCCTAGATTATCATTATTGTAACAGAGCCAGGGAAGAAAATGGGTGTTTTCTGATACTGGCAGGTTTCTGGAACTGAGCCTTCCCTTCTTCCTCTCTCTGTCTTATTTATTTATTTAAACTAATCCATAAGCAAACATCTCCTATGCATCTATTGGAGATGGTTTCTCAGAGGACTGAGGTTCAATGGAATGAAAAGTATTCTAAATACATCTGACTGAGATAATTTAAAACAATCAATGAAAATTCCTGTGACTGAGTTGTATTTGGGGGCCTAAAGTCTTTGTGGTTACAGATACGTGCTCACAGCAGGCAACATGCAATTCTTCAGCACAGAGCAATTCCTCCTGAACAGAATTCCAAAGAGCACACCACTCACTGCCGTTACCTTCCTTTGGAGCAGAATCAACTGCTGGGGTTGACTCAAATCCAGGCATATTTAGATGGAGGAATTTTTTACTGTGCCAAGCTGTCCCACCCTTCTTCTGGAAGCTGCTGTGCCCTAAAGCACAACAAAGGAGTTCCTGCACTGCCAGTCCATACTAAGGTTTCATGAGCATGTGCCCCAGCTCAGTGTAGCACAGGAGCTGGAGACTGTAAATTATGGCAGTGGATGGGTTGTTCCACATGGGAGTTACCCACTCCTGCTGGGAGAACAGCGCTGCTCTGGTGGGGGCAGCACACGTACTTTGAGGTGGCAACTGGTTTAGCCATTTGTCCTTAATTCACTGCACGCCAATCACCACATCCAGTGAGTCACAGCAATGACACGGTTCACAAACGAGCTGGCAGAAAAATATGCACCTTGGTCAATTATAAAACTCCTCTTTATTATGTCCTGAGTGCAGTGAACTGCATTCCAGCAAGCATAAGGCAGGAAAGCAAGTGACATAAGCAAGTGACATAAACCTGACAGGCCGACACCGGAGTCACTCCCAGAGCACTCCATTACTCAGATCATCCCAAATGAACCATCTCCTTAAAATGTGTGCCTGGCTCAGGAGCCCTCAGATTGATGGGACAGGTAGGGTGGGAGTTTCCAGGTGGGCAATAAGGAGGAGGCAGGGTCTGTATTTGAAGGAAGGGAGTAGGTGGCAGGGCTGAGCAGTCTCCGAGACAACAAGGCTTGGGCTGCACAGCCCGAACACCAGCACTAAAGAGGTGAACCTGGAGGGGGTGCAGTGGCTAAATACTGCAATATCTGACTCTTACAGCTTCTGTTACACAGATTCTCACCAAAGAGAAGATTCCTGAGTTCCTAACACCTCCTCTAAGTGTGAGAGCTCAAGAGAACCAGAGACACGTGCTCTGCTCTGCCCACAGAAACAACCAGTCCGAGCCAAAACAAACAGCTGAGTGATGAGTACGAGTGTAGGCTGTTACAGCTGAGGATTGCACAGATCCACTGGCAATCAGCCTGTGTAAATGGAACTGTTTTGAATGAGTAACATCTCTGAACACCAAGTATTACACAGGGGAAAAAAAAGGCTGTAAAATGAGAGGTTTGACAATTGCATTTTAACAGAACCCACTGAAATTGGACATGTGCATGACACTCTTACTTCACACAGAGCCTCTGAGATCATTTACCACACCTGCACAAGCATATGTCCTTTTAAGTTCTTTGACAGGACCTTTATAAGAATATCAGAATCTCTGCTACAGTACTGTGACAGTTCTCAAATCCTCCAAGGGACACATAAGAAACCCTTCTTGGCCATACAGAACACTCATCCTTCCTACCTGGATTTACTGTTTTAACATTTCTTAGTACAAGTCCACTTATTTTATCAGTGATTGTCATCTAATATTTCTACACCCCAAACAGAGAATTAACTAATCCTATTAATTTACAACTAATATTTTCATATCAAAGCATCTCAGCAGTTCCACACAGACACTACTGGAGGGACAGAAAAGAGACTGTCTCCCATATCAGAGTAAATCCACTCATCCCATCAGCTGGCACTCAGGAGATGCAATTGCTCCTGAATAAATGCAGATCAAGCATCTGAGTTTTGCAGTCTAAATCCATTTTTATTACATTACATATTTAGAACACTTGAGAGGAATTTATAATCCTCTGAAAGGCAACAATAAACACCTACAAAATACTAGGGAGCCGTCATTACTGAGCTTAGCAGTAAAAAGAAATGTATTTCATAAATCAGCTGGTACTGGCAACATATTTTTAATCTTTCCAGACAGGAAATACATAAGAACTTAACAGAATTGCTTAGAAGACTTGCAGTGTCTGGTTATACAAACATAACCAGGCTGTATCAGCAACAATGTGTTACTTGTTTGCATTGTCTGATCGTTTCTGAGTCATTAACTCCAAATATCCCTGTACCAGCAACTTAAAAAGCAAAGAGTTGAAACAATTCTTAGCAAACTTCTCTTGACAAAAACATGAATTCCAAGCTTTGTTTTCTGCACTACAGTTATTGCTTGGATTTTCTATGCAAAACTGGCCTAGAGAATTCTCTTCCTAATATCACAGCCATCCCTCTCATCTGGTGGGGATAACGAGACCAGGAAGGAAATCTCAAACCAACTGCCAAAAAAAGGACAATTTGGACATACCAACAACTCACTGAAGAAATTATTCATATGATGCAGTAGAATAGAAACAAAAGGTGTAACCCTGTATAACTGCTAATTATGTTAGAAATACATACACTTCTAAAATTTGTATCAGCTCTATTTTTGAAATTGAAAACGATCCTCTACTTATGCTTAACCTTTGGAGAGTTCAGGGCTTGATTTACTTCGGGTCCTGCAAAGTCTGCAAGGGGAGTCAATGCAGCACTTGTCATCTGCAACTTTTCTTGCCAGCACTTGTGACAACAAAGATTTCATCTTCTCTCTTTCAGCTGGAAGCTTTGAGCACACTCTGAAAAGAAGCAGCTTAGTGGTCTGACTCCAAACCTCTGCAGCATCTTTTTTTCGTCTAAAATTTAATCCTACAAGTGAAGCACATGAATGGGTTTTAAAGTACAACTCAAAATATATAAACTGCACAGGCTCCCCATCACCCCTGACAAAGTGGCAATGGAGAAACAATCCAAATGAAAGTGAAAGTCTCCTTCCATGCTTAATGGGGCTATGGACTTTCTGAAGGACTTTCCCAGGAATGCTGTCCTATACACTGTACAAGCAATGCAGTTTTCCTTGGAAGGCTGAAAGACTGAGATGGTTGTGGAACACCAGGTTTATCTCTGCATGCCTGAAACAACTTCCTTGCTACCACAGGATGGTTATACATTCATCTCCTCTCCAAGCATTTCTCTTGAGTGATCAGCCCTTAAATGCTGAATCCTGCACATGCCTGGCCAGGTTCCAGGTTCCACTCTCCATGAACAAGCATTCTTAGCCAGTGGGGCTCACTGGAGTTTGTTTTTTTTTTTTTAATTCCCCTCTGAATGACTGGGCAATGTTTTTGAAAGGAAATACAAACTCCAGCCACAGAAAGAAGGATTTAAAAACCAGTCTCACTCTGCATTACCCAATTCCCTGATGAATCTCTTGGCAGGCCAATGTTCTCTAGTGCAACTCTCTGCAGTTGTCTGAGTGTCCACTGCTTTCCCTCAAACGGCTCTGTGGGAAATGCTTCTGTTTTGTTGAGCACTGAGGAAGTTCTTCCACCCAGCCCTTTCTCTTTTCCCTGGGATTTTTACTGTGCCAGGTTAAAAGCAGCAGGTTGGAGATTGGGAGAGGTTTAGATGGCCCAGCTGCCCCTCCCACCACTGTAACAACAGTCCCATATCACCCTTCTACTGAACACATGAACTCAATTTAAACTATGATCCATTTACCTGAGCACTTTTTTGAAAGCTGGAATTGTCCTTTTGGTTCATACTCCATTTTTCAAGTAACAATCTGTTTGAAAGAAAAACAAATCCCAAAGAATTCCAGCAGTTTTTCACAGAGGCACACAGTACCTTTGTGTCTTTGTTCAGCTGTGCCCTTGGATGACAGAAAATCTTTTATTTGGGGAGGTATAATGCATTTTAAAGCTCTTTACAAGTACTTTTGCCCACTATTCCTATTGAAATGGTGCTTTCTGGTTCTGGATTGGCAGTTAGGAAGGATAACAGTGAAGAAACATAAGGATCAATACAATTTAGTTTTTTTTATATAGCTGACACTGGGAGTCAGATACTCTTGTCTTCTTTCCATGAAATAAAAAACACAAAGACTCTTGATAAATACTCACCTCCAAGATTTTGCCTGCTTTAAGAAACTTCTGGCTTTTGCTACTTCTTGAAGAAGTTTCTTTAAATCATCTCCTTCAAAGTAAGGGAAAGTTGGATCCTGAAAACATAGTTACAATATTCTACTTTACCTTGCAACAATTCATTATTTTCTGTTTCTACCAAGTTAAATAACTGAGCCTAAGTTCTAAATTTCCCTACTTGCAGAGAAGGTCTTGGTCTTACAAGGGGAGAGCAGAGCAATTCCAGATTGAATCTGGTTGTGTTCACTAACACTTCCCTGCTGTGGGAATCCCTGAGCTCTCATGCTGGAGAATTAATGTGCTAAACACTGTAGAGGGATCTGACAATTCCTTAAGTGAAACACAAGATACCAAGGACAAGAAAGCACAGTGAAAGCTAAAGTTAGCTTAAAACCCACAGTGTCCAGACACAAGATACATTTTTTACTTCTCTTTCAAAACCTATATTGAATTGTATCCTCCTTTCCTGGGTTTGGGCACCTGACCAAGGCAGTTAAAAGAAAGGCAAAGACAGGTCCTAAGATTTCTCCTTTTGCTTTCAATGTGAAACATCTTAGGAGCCTTCTGTTATTTTTTCTCATTATTTTGCTTTTTTAAATGCAGTTTGAAGAACTAAGTTGAAATCAAACCACCCAAACCAATCCACTCAGCATACATCTTCATCTTCAAGCCCCTCTGCCAATATTCTGTGTGCTGCTAATTGTCCATCTTCACCTCCAAACCAGCAGTGGTAGCGCCCTCCTGTTTGGGAAGCAAGTTTCTTCAGAAATTCATTAGCCCCTCTGTTAACAATAAAGGAGAAAGTTGCTTATGAAAACTGATTTCTCTGAAAGCAACAGCAGCAGAAAAAGAATTTCTAAGAACTCCTCAAAAAATACTACATCAAAAAACAGTTTGGAGGACATGACTGTAAACTTCTGTATGAAATGTAGGCCGTGTGGTAAATACCTGTGTCAGAACAACCTCCCTGTTCCCATCTTGGTAACAGAGACTTCTGACAATAAATAAACCAGTACTTCTCAAAGTTTTCTTGCTGTTCTTGCAAAGTATCATATACCTGTCTGCACAGCTAAAAGAAATGGTGTGAATTTTAATATCTTGTTCCTTTCTCAATTGTTCAATTTCTTCCAAAATCAGACTGCAACTGGTGTCTGGTTTTCCATCAGTCAACAGGTACAGTGCCTCTACACCTTGGAAACTGAGAGCCTTCTGAAAAGCAAAAAACAAGCTTAAATAATTAGTACATTTCTATGACAAGTTATATTTAGGAACAAAAACACCATTCCAATGATTTAAGATAGTTTTATATTTACCACGCCATTAATCAATTTAGTTTTGTCTTTTCCTTTTCACTAATAATGAAAGAGATCAAGGATATAAATTTGAAAAATAAAATAGATAATTTGTAGCATAGGAAAACATCTCTATAAGCAGGAAGTCATGAAGAAATGATTTACTGAAATAAGAAAATTAATTGGTTTTGGGGAACTACTGACAGGATTTTTTACACCACATTTTATGGGAGTTAAGGAGCCTGAAAATCAGGCTCACTAGGACTTGGTCCTTTTACATTATGAAAAGCTGCTACAGTCATTAACTCAGTGGACATTTTTGTATTACAGACACACCTCAGAGTTCTACAGGACTTGACTCATGATGAATTCCATAACATTTATATGGAGACTGTGCAAGGGTGTCTGCAAGAAGAACCATTCATTTAAGGCAACACTTCTATTTCAATTCAAATTTTAAATCTCATGAAATAGCGAGTTCTTTCAGCTTCTGTTTTAAATTATTATTACCATTTAATTTCTACACTGAAAATTTTTATAGGAGAAAAGTTTCTTCACCTGTCACTGAAGTTCAAGAATGGCACTCAAAACTGCTTCTTTAAAAACCCTGTTTGGCTCAGAGTAAATATCACAGCCACAGTTGTAAATTAACAAAATTTTCAGCCAGTCTGCTCACCTGTAAAGCTGGGAGGATGCAGGTGTTACCATGGGCATGGAATTTGGAAACCCACTGCACAGCATCGTGACATGTTTCATCAGTGGCCTCTACAAGACACTCCTTCCAATTCTCGGTATCTTCTGCAAATCTCAGCAGGTTAAACCTGAGGAGAAAGATGAGCCACAATATTTAACCCTCACCAATACAATGAGTCACTTTGGATAAGACAGTTTTGGAGTAAATAAATAAATTAATTTATAAAACCTCACAAACACAAACACAATAGAAAAAGAAAAACCCAACCAAGTCCCCCACCCAAGAGCCCCGTGTTGGATTAAATCTTCAGCTTTGGAGGAGTCAGAAAGCATCTCTCACTCTGCATGAACAGAAAATCTGTGGGAATGCGAGCCCAGAAGGGGGAACAGCATTGGCCTTCAACAAAGGCTCAGATCTTACAGAGTTCAGAACTAAAAACTGGTTAAAAAGAACAGAAGAAGCAGTTTTGTCACATGCACATTATATCGAATATATAACAATCACTGGGATTATGTTTCAGCACTGTGATTAACAAGCACTCTGATTACACATTAATAAGTAGTGCAGAGTTCACTCTTTATCAGTAATTCACCATACCTGACCTCATTTCTTCTCAGCTGTTCCCAGATAAGGGAGGTGAGTTCTTTTGTGACATGTGGCAGATGTGGGTCCGTGGAGCCAGATGTGTCAATCAAAACACAGACATTTGCTTCTAAAATGGTCCCAAACAACCTTCGGCTTCCTGGGCCAGAACACGCAAACTAATTAAGGGTCATTACACAGGAGTATTTTATTGAGCACACTGTAAATCTTCAGTTTTTAGGGGTTATTCTGGGCACATTTCTACATCATTAAGTCTAATCTATACAGCAACCAGGTAGTTAAAAGATAAATAATAGAAAAGTTTTCTGCCATTTCAAATCGAGCACTTTCAAGCATTAATTATTAGCCAACTGTAGCAGCTTGCATGAAATCATCTGTAGCTCCTACTTCACAATCCAGCAAAAAATTCAACAAAGATCTTTATGGGCAACAGAGAGCTCAAAATGCTCTTCACTAGCAGTGATGCTGAACTGCTAAACAGGGCACATTCTTAGCAAAAGAAACAAAAAAGCTAATTTAATTGTATATGTTACTGTATATATATTGTTGATAGAAAGCTTCTGTATTCAGGAACACAACATCCAAAAAGCAAAAACTTGCATCACAGCCCTGATTATTTCCCAGCAAACTAGATGTTCATCAGCTACACAGCTGGAGAATTCTGTATCAAATCCTTGCATTCCTAAAAATGAGTTTTAAACTTCCCAGTGAAATAGCAAATGGATAACCCTTTGTTCCTCTTTGAGGTGTGGATTTGTTCTACTGGAGATGGCAGAGCAGAGGGGTTTGTGCATATTTCAGCTGCACAGCAATACCTGAGAGAAGCCACTGGATCCTCTGGATGTAGCGCTGCATCGCTCGCTCCAGCTGATCCGTGTACATTTCCAGCTCTTTGGGTTGGAACTGCAGATGTTTCACAACCCCCTGGAAAAATGCAGTTTGGACAAGAACATCTTCCTTCAGGAAACCTGAGCTCAGCTGCTATTTATGCTATTTATGCAATGTTGGCATGTTTTTGGCTTTCTTTACCTCTAGGAAATAGGGCAAGAAAACAATTTGGTGACTCTTTTGCTGGTAAGTAACTGGTTTACCAAAAATTAGGGAAGCCTGGTTCTCATCTGCACTAATTTGACTGGACAGGTGCATCTCTTGCATTATATCTGAGAGTTTATAGATGTGATAGAGCAATAATATCCTTTCTATGCTTCTCCCCAGTCATTACACAAACTGAAAAGTCAAGATCCAACATTTTCCCTGTTTCAGCTCACCCAGGATTTTGAAAAGATTTACTTAAAATTTTTAAAATTATTTTTCACACTATATTAGCAGAAGGGATACACTCTTAAAGATCCCATGCAGTTTGGACTTCAAACATCCTAAATTATATTTTGTGGTGAATAAAAGACCTTCTCTGGCTTTCTACCAGAAGTATGAATTAGAAGGAAGAACAGAGATGAGTGGAGGGACCATCACACCAGCAAGCCACAAGCACTGATCAACATGCACTGCCTAAACAAATACAAAGCCTTTCAATGAAGTAGATTCATGACATCTGAAAAAACTTACATTGATTTCTGCACTAGGGAAGATAGAACAGTATTTTGCTGATACTTTCTTGTGCAGGGACTCCACAGTTTTGTTTCGGTGGGTACAGCCTGGACCAAACATCAGCCTGGGCAGTTCCAGTTCAAGCTTTTTTATACTGTACTTGGCCAGCCACTTGTAAGACAAACCAGTGGAACAATTGGGTGTTGGAAAATAATTAGAGTGGTTTCATTTTAAGTAATGATACATTGTAGAGAGTCACAATCAACATGTTCACGTTAATTCAGGTGGATGGTTCCAAAATGGCAATTTATTAGTGAGGAGAAAATTACCTCTTTGCTTGAACAGATTTCCTCTTCTTTTGGCAGCATGACAGAGGGAAGGGACTTCCTTATGCACAGAGTCTTTGGATATTTCTGGTATACTGCCCCTGTTTAAGAAAATGAACAAGTAATATTGAGAGCTCTAGGTTAAAATATAACCCTTTGGAATCACATATGAACATAGATTTAAAAAGCCCAACCAGACAAAAACCCCCAATAAACCAAACCATAAACCCACAGATTAACATTTCATACAAAATCATACAATTTCTAAAGTACCTGAAATATCCCTTATTTTTAAAAACTTTAAAAAAAATATTTCCAAAAATTCCAAACCAAATCTTCTATAATCATCTAAAACATGATGAAAACATTTTAACTTGGAGCACCTTTAACCCCAAAGAACTTCACAGAAAATAAAAAGGAAAAAAACCAGAGCCCCCCACTCCCACTCAAACCAAAAAATCTTTACCCCTATTTGATAAATTCACTTCCATTCACAGTTTAAAGCACACTGGTTATCAGTGACTTAACAACCTGACAGTTTTATAATCAAAATGCTGATAAGAAAACGGCTTCACCCATCCTATCCTGGTAAGACATACCCACATTTCTTCCTTTATCAGTGTAAAACACAGAGAGAGAAAACTCTGGCTGCTTCCTTGGTTTATCCTTTCTTTTATTCTCAGTCTGGGGCCTTTCTTTTACTGTTTGTGCTATAAATAAATAAGAAAAAAAAATTTACTTCAGGTAGATAAAACTCTTACATACAACCCTGTTGTTCACCACACACATCAGACATTTCCTGATACAGGCTGGGTATTCAATCATATGAGCTGAAAGTCATTTACAAAACAACCACAATGTTTTCTATCAGTCTGATTAAAGATTAAAACTTCAGGTGTTTCTAAAAGCTTAAATAAAATCTCTAATCTAAATACTGTCTTTCAAGCAAAACCCCAAAGAACCTGAAGAGAAAAAGCCCCTAATCCATCCAGACCTGGTGGAATTTCTGCTTTGGCACTGGGAGGACGCCAGGCCAGGACTCTTACAGGAGTATTTCTGCCTGCACCGTGGTTGTCTTTCACATCCTACAAGAATATGAAAAAAATAATTGTAAAAAGTGTTTCGGTTGGATCATAACTGCATTATTCAAACCTGGAACTGCCCTTTACTGTTCTCCAATTCCTGCTTTATCTGGCTTTTCTGGCAAGTCAGCAGACTGCCACAACCACGTGTTAATTTGTGGTTTCTTGCTGGGTGAAGTAACTCTAATTGCTCTGTTTTAATTATCTTGCCCATATCATCTGCTGCCATAAAACTGGAGACCAACATCTACAGGCAGAGGAGTTGGGACCACCTTGGTCACTTGAAGGTGCAGTTTAGTATGGTAAGGGAATTGTTTTATGGAATGCAGTGTAGAGCATCTTCCTCAGCATTTCACTGAGTATTGGAAATCCAGTGCTGACCCCAGAAATTCCTCCTTTAGGTGTCTGGCTCATTCCAGCAGAGGCTCTGCTGAACAACACAGCCCCTGTGTAACCCTAGTGTAGGGTAAGACTTCTGCTGTGACACTGAGCCTTCAAGTAAGTCACATCTCCTTGAACATACAGCACTACTATAAATACCCCCAAACATCTACAGACAACTCTGGACCAGTTTTCTGCAAGTTCAATCCCTGCAAAACCATGCTTTGTAGTTGTCTCTGAGTAATTACTTTTCCCCTGCATTTGTGAAGAGGTGTTGAGAATGTGCCACTTTTGCTAACACAGCCTGGAAGGCCTGAGTGAGCTCACCTACAAAGTCTGTAACATTCTCACACCTACATTCCCATTCCCAGCATTCCCACACCTACAGTGTTGTTCCCATGAGAGCTGAAAGTTCCAGGTGAAAGGTTAAATACATCCTCTGCAACAGAAAGCTCTGTATCTCTTCATTTACACACCAAAATGGTAAACACTGGCACTGGCCCATTCTGTATTACAGATCTGCACACCCACTCAAACCAGAGGTGTGTCTGGTCAAAAACAACACAGAAAACATCAGCCAAATCCCAAAGGACTCAGTAGTGTAATTCCATGGAAATAAGCACAGTGGGCAGGAAACAAATCCTGAATCCTGCTCTTGTTTTGTGCTGGACATGCTACTGAGCTGCAGCTCCTCTGTAAATGAGCAGAACACCATAACATTCAGTACCTTCCAGAAGGACCTGCAAAACAGGTGTAGTTTGGTAAAGCACATTTCTGCTTTGCCCATATTTTCATTAATCATTAAGCTTTTTTAAGGTCAGAGGGGGGATTATTTAGACCCTACACTGTGGTTCCATTACAATTCATTCCCTCAGAAGGAGTCAGTAAGATGGATTTTTTGGTACAGGTAGCATTTTGAATGCAAATGCAAATTCAGAGTTCTATCACAGTGTTGGTTTAATTCCCTCAGATATTCAGCTGAGCACAAAGAGCAGCATCCAATAGCTGGGCAGGATCTCTAATTAACCCCCAGCTCATTAACGATGGGACCCTTTCAAACCATTCTAGCTGGGCTCGGAGCTGTGGGTTTGGGAGATGGCAACTTCTGTGGCCTTCTGTTCTCCTTCTTTGGAAGTGCATTTGAACCTCCTTCTGGTGTCAATGCATTAACAGGCTGATTTACTGAACGCTGCTTTAAGGATTCCACCAGGAATGCACACTGAAAGGGAAGTTCACGTGGTTTAGGAATTCACATACGTGAAATTTAAGTAAATGAAATTTCAAAGACAGGTATTTTGCATTTATTACTGTAATAATTAATAAAATTCATATTGAATTGGTCAATCTGATAATGCTTAACACCCTTAACTGAATAGTTAACACCCCTTTGTGCTCTGCTTTGTGCTGAATTTTTTTAGGAAGAAACACATAACTTAAAAAATTATATATAATTCATACCTTTTGGGAGTAGCTTTTTGCTTTTTCCATTTCTGACACAATACTGGTAATATCATCACTTTCAAAGATACCTGACAATCAAACAGACACTAATTAGGGATTTTTTTGAGTGTACAGAATATGTATTTTTGTAAATGTACAACAATTTGTAGATATGCCCAATATCAGTGAGAAGAATCAAAAATCCTCTGTTTCCTGCAAGCTTGACTACCTGAACCTACCATATTAGTATATTTTATACATAATATATATATTACTATATTTTAAATGCTCATTTTTAAAAAGTCTAACCCAGAATGGTGAATTCAAATAGAAAAACCCAAATCCCTGTGTTAAGGCTGCCTTATCATATTCTGCAATGCAACTGAAAGTCTCAATAAAACTACAGCTTGAGTTTCTATCTCAGTGCTAGCACAGCATTAGCATATCCTAAAAAAAAATAGCAAACTACCTGATTTGGGAATGAAAAAAAAGCAGTAATACATATTATTTCATTAATGAACAAGAAGTATGTGCTGACTCCCTGCTCACATACCTGCTTCTCCAAACCAGTGAAATCTGCCCCTGGCAGCCTGCACTATTTCTTTAAAGGCCCTGGCAGTTTCTGTAGGGTCGGCATAGCGGGCTGGGATCTCCCCACTGGAGCCAAGGTCCTTCCCAACGCTGAACAGACACACGTGGAGCTGTAAATCAAACCCCCTGCAAACCTCAGCCACGTAAGCACTGATGGTGTGCTGGAAGACAGGGAAAAAACCCATCACTAGTGACCCTCAGACAAACTTCTGGCTACTCCACTGCTTCCTGACAGAAATGATACACAAATCCTCCCAGTCTGCTGATTTCTTAGCTTTGCCCAGAATTTCCAGAGAAGAGACACCTCACTGTACACTCCTGGTCAGGAGCTCTGGGCTGTGCACGTGGTTTAACAGCCCCAGAGCACCTGCACTGTGAACATGGATCCAAGCAAGGGGTTACTGGGGGTAAAAACAGGAGCTGTCTCTACACAAGGCACTGTGGAGTTCCACTGGACAATTATTTGTGGGTTTGTTCCTCTGAGTTATGAGGAAATGGTATTATACAAAAAAAATCAGTGTTGTTCCAACTCAGAAATGTCCAGTGAAATGATGGCCAGAGCTGGAGGAGGGGAAAGGAATCCCAAGAGCAAGTTTTGGATTTTCCATGAATCACACATTATTAATAACTGGTACCTCCAACACGTGAATAGCAATTGCAGAAATGGAAGTTTGAGATCCTGACAGTTGGGCTGCCAAAAGGAAAAGGAAAAAAGGGGAAAAGAGAGAGAAAAACAAAACCAAAGTTGAGACTAATTCTGATAGGAACTTACAGAAAAGTTGCCCATGATAGTACTTACTGTCTCCTGGTCAGGTATTCCAGTAGTCAGCAGGTAAAGCCCTTGGGATTTGTGTTTCTCTTTGTCTTTGAAGTCAACTTCTACAGCTCTCCTGAGTGCACTCAGGAAATTTCTACTGCCTTTGCACTGCAGGCTCAACACCCACCTAAAAATGATGTTTACAGTTCAAAGAATGAAGAAACAAAAGCTTTTGATTATCCTTAAAGCAATAAAGAGAGCTAAGAATCTTAAATATCACTGTACTGGAGTCTAGAATTTTTGAGAATGCCAGAGTGTTAAACCAGGTTATATAATGGCCCAAATTATTTTTCTATTGTACATGTACTGCCACCATAGAAAACCAGTTTTTAAGGTAAGATACAGAGCATAAAAAGGAAATAATTATCTCTCAATTTGATATGGAAAAATGTTAGCATAGTGCAGAATAAGGCAAGCTATTTTTGTAATATGATAAATGTATACATATTTTTAATTGTTCACAGTGTTCTTTGTTCCCACTGAACTCATAGTTATTTGATCCTACCTCCAAGCCTTTTCTAAGTTTTCTGGATGGGAAGGAAGCAGTTCCTGCTGCCAAGGCACAATGTCACTCCCAAACCTTTCATGGGAAGATAACAACAATTAATTTGCAGGTAATGGTTTAGAACAAGCAAAAAGAAAGAATAAATTCACTGCAAAAGAAAAATCTCCTTTGGGGCATTAATACTGTTATGAACAATATAGCAGGATGAGTATTGGATTGCAGGGATGATGCAATCAGTTCCAATAAGCCACACCCAAACCAGTGATTTTTAATTACTAATCTGATCTCTGTTCATCTGATCCATGCACTCACCCAGCATGGACAAACCAGTGCTAGTCTTGCAATTACTTCACTAAAAAACATCAAATACAATTAAAAATCTGAAATATGTCCATTAGTAACTACAATCTCTAGCAGACCTCTTTCCAGGCAATGCATTCTGATTATTTTTAAAGGATCTTCAGCAGTTACTCACGCTATAATATTGAAGGAATCCTTATTTGCCATTTGTTCCTCAAGTAAAAGTCGCAGGGAATGTTGGATCTGGGTGATGTACAGCGAGTTTGTCACTGATGTATCAACAAGTATAACCACCCTGGGTAAGAAAAGAAAAGAAAATTATTTCATTATGTATTTCTATCTTCACTGCACTCCAACGTGCCAGGGGAAAAGTATCTTCTACCTGGGTATCAAAATGTATAAACAGTGAACTTATACTTAAATTCTGCAAAACATAAGGTGAGATTTGAGAACCAAAAGAGCAAGTGTGCAACTTGGGTAAGGCCTCACACACTGTAAATAAACACCATCCCCAAACACAGAGTGAGATGAAGGCTTCAAACCTCACAGAAAAGGGCTGTCAGATACAATACCTCCTTTCACAGACACTTCCCCATATCCTTCTGCTAGCGATGGAGAGCCAGTCAATTCGTTTCTCGTAGATATTTACCATTTTAGTAAGGAGTTTCTATGGGTAAATGCAGAAGATTTATGTTAAAAATAAAAAGTTCAAGTCTTTTATCATCAAATGCTTAACACAGAAGTAACATGGCAGCATAGTAATGAAAAAAAATAATGATTTTTGTTCATTTTGACAGCAGCATTTTATTCATTTTATTCTCAGTAAAGATAATACAGTCCATGAGAAAAACATACACTGATAAAAAAAAGAGCAGCAAAGAGTCTAAAGGCCTAAACTCTCCTCTTCACTTTTCCCCTTGCTAGCACATCCCAAAATAGAGGTCAGGCATATTACCAAAAGAAAAGAAAAAGCTTACAAAATACAGTTTTTGCAAGTTTACCATTTCTTCAATAGCATTTTTAGGCACAGTTCATAACAAAACACATCATTTAAAATAAACACAGTATTTTCAAACACATATAATTCTTTAACACAGTATCAAATTAAAGACATTATGGTAATTTGTCTAAACTCTACAGAAAATGACCTTTGCAAGTATATGCAGGCATTACATGAGGGCATATCAAGCTATAAAAGGACACATGATGTGGAATAATCAGATGGTAATCCAGCCCTGAGAGAGACAACTCACCTGGTAGTTGTACAATACTGGCAGGTCAACATGGATATTTTTCACAGTCCCATCATACCATTCAAACTGCATCATGATTTTCTAGGAGGATAAATAATAATCACTCTTAAGAACGGTGTATTTGATGTGAACCTGTGACTCAAGTTTCTTTTAAAGCCTGCAGAATTTCACTAACTTATAAAGGACTGATTTTTAATAGAACTACGTAGCAATACAAAGAAACAAACACAGGAAAAAAAAGTTCCTCATCACTTACCTCATGTAGAGTTGATGAGACTCTTTTTTTAAGAATAGGTATGAACTCTTCCACGGGAGAGAAAGCATTGGGAGCCAGAACTTGATAAAGGTTTAACTTCTGAGCTACAGGAACAAACAAATATGTTACATAGAAGACATACTCTGATTTTGATTCATATTTCATACCTGGTAAGTTTTTCTTTCTGTGCCACCTTTCAATCCATAGGTCTTTAACCAGTCTGTTGAGGTTTTGGCCAGGACATTTGGTGTTTGAATAACTAATGGTCCTTTGAGCTTTGGAGAATTTGGGAAGAAGCTGGAAGGTGCTGTATTTGCAAATCCTGTGGAAAACTGAAATGGATTTTAAGAAAAGCTCCTGCAAATTTTAGCATCATTTTTTTTTATGCCCAGTTCAAAGTATCCAGCATGGAATACTGGTGGGCATAATTAAAACTAAAGTGCTGTGAGTTCAACAAGCAGTACACTTTGAAAATACCTAGTTAATCATACAAATTTTTTTCATATTGTGCACACTAAACATTTCTAACCTTGATTATTCAACATATATCTGAAAATGAAAGGATACATCTGCTGTTTTACTACTAACTGAGCCATCAAGTCTTCTCTGAAAAGTCTGTTTGATGCTTTTGAGTAGGTCTTTGGCCTTCAGGGACTCCTGAAGTAGCAAATGGAGATCACTGCTATCAAAATTCTGACAATATAAAAACAAATGGGGAAGAATAAGTTAACTACTATTCAAACCCCAACCCACCTCACCTTCCTTATTTTAATGTGCACACATCAATACAAGACTGCCTGGCATAGCAGAATTGAGTGCAAATTATTTAGTGCACTGCATTTAAATTAGTCATAATTTATAAACAAGATATTCTTTTGAATCATGCTACAATAAGCCACTGATTTCATCAGCTTTAAGTCAGGAAACAGCATCTGCAGAATTTATTGTGCTTTTAGGAACATTTCCAGTTGCAGAAGGAATGAACCACAGGTTTGCTGACCACATCCTCAGCACTTCTGTGACAGAGACTTTCAGCACCAAGTCTTGCTCTCAACTTCTCCTCACATCATAATTATTCTACCACCTCAAAGGGAAGAAGCATCAAAAAGAGAGACAAATGCTTTGCCTGTCTGTCACCCACCTCTCCCTCTGAAGAGTAGCAATGATAACGGCCTTTGACAGTTTCTGCAAGATCCTTCAGAGCTGCCTACACAGTAGAAACGGGAAGCAAAGGAGTTACTTTGATTTGGAGTCTCTTTTGGGTTGTTGGTATTCAATTCTCTGTTAGAGACAGGAAAAGAATCTTTGAGGTATATGTAGTGAGAAAGCCAAAGTAATTATGTTCCCATTGTTTGCTTACCAGTCTTATTTTATTGTGGTTGAGAAACTAACTCAGTAAAGTTACAAGATGATGCTCCAAACAGATTTTTTCATGTGTGCAAATCTCCTCTAAAGAAAATACAACACTAAATCAAGAACTCTCTAATGACTAGCTCAGCTCCCCCACAAGTTTATGAGAGAAGGCATTACAGCTGAACAGGAAAAAAAAAAAAAGACAAGACACTTAAGACAGTTAATAATTAACACAGTGACTTACAAGAGAAGCAGGATTGCTGCAATCATAAGTGACAGTGTGAATCTGCAGCTTTCTCCCCAGCAAACACTGCTGAGTGTAATCACACAGTATTTCAAAAGACTGATCAGGGCTGATACAAAAAGGAAAGAAAAAGAGATATTAACAATGGCAGTAATTAAATGGGGGTAAAAAGGCCATATTGAAGAAGACAGGGAAGAAAAAAAAGTGGGAAAGAAATAATAAAATCATGGGAATGATTCAGGCATTTAGCACAACCTGACCTCCTCATCATCTTTCAACCATTACTGAGGTACCACTACTGGGGTTTAATTCTGTCCTGAAAACTTCAATGATAACAAAAGCACTAAGATTCTATTCCAATGAAATGATCTAAATTATTCCTTGCTAGCCCTGGCAAAGAAAAATGAGGAATTGTGGCTTTGGCCCTTGTGACAAACAATAACAGAAAACCTTTCAATACTGTCCTCCAAAGGCACTAAAGGAAGGAAAACTTTGCTTTGTGTTTTAGAACTTAACTTACAATTAATAAACTAGGAGTAGGGTAACACTCCTAGAATCCTTACTGTAGTCTTTTTATTGTAATCCCAACTCCAATATTGCAGTTTTCAAACTGTGACAATAGAACTGCAGAATTTAATTCCATAATTTATATAATCTCAGCCTGGTTTCATTTATTCAATCAGAATTTTAAGTTTTCCATTAGCACAACTAAGATCACAGAGAGAAGACAATCCTTCAACATTTAATGCTACTGTAGAGCAAAATCTAGTTTATCCTCTAATCTTCACAGAGGCATGGACCCTTTCACTGACATCCTTAATGATGCTGAAGGATTTTTATTGATGTAAAATTAGAGCTGGCAGGCTCTCAATAGATCACTGTGATAATTGATCTGCAAAGGAAAAATGTAGCTTCGTACCAGAAAAGAGAAGATTTATAAATAATAATAATGGCCAGTCTTCGCAAGCGAAGATCCGGGGAAGGTCTTTCCACCTTCCAGCCTGCGCATTGGATTTTTTAGGTGAGACACAGTGTGCGCAGAACTGAGCCCACCCTTTAATCCTAAGGTTCATCTGCCGGGGCCAAGCGAGCTTGGACGGTGGCAGCGAGGTCCTTAGGATGTAGGTGGGTTGCCTTTAAGGGCCAAGCGAGCTTGGACGGTGGCAGCGAGGTCCTTAGGACGTAGGTGGGTTGCCTTTAAGGGCTAACGAGCCCCACCTGCCCGGGAGTGGCCCTGACCGGGAATCGAACCCGGGTCTCCGCGGTGATAGCGCCGCGCCTTTACTCCTAGACCACCAGGGGCTCATTTATAAATAGTAAACCAGGGAACAAATAAAAGAATTCAAAGGTATGAACTAAAAACATATAAAACCTGGACCTTAAATTTTCTGTTTGTTTTTGTATCCAGTTGGGTTTCTTGTACCAATTCTGTATCCAAGCTAAAGCTGGTTGTTAAGAGAGAGGATGAATTTACCAGCTTCCTACAATGAGAACCAGGGAATTCAGGTCTTTCACAGTAAGGACACTCTTTAAGGCTTTCAGCAGATTGCAGCCTTGCCCAGGCTCCAGCTCTTGTATCCACTGTCTCACTTCATGTAGCCTGGGAGGGTGGCAGAAAAGAAAAAGGGTATCTACAGGTGCTAAAAATGAAGAGCATGAGGATTACCACAAACCACAGGAGCTGCTCGGATATTTTAAACATGAACAACCTGCTGGAAATCACTGACCACACGTTGAACTCATTGTTTTTTGTCCCCTCTTAAAATCACTACAGGCACAAGATGAAAAACTCTATTACCTACAAGTGATTGTTCTAATGAAATGGAGACCCTGCTTGAAACACCTTTATTTTTCCGAGAAATGAACTCACACATGAACGTTGATGTTTTTTGGACTCTCCCACAGTGGTGAAATGTCGGTGCTGAATGAGAGGCAGTACAATTGCTTCTTGTAACAAAGCTGCTCATCTATTAAGCACTAATAAAGGAAAAATTGAAAATGCATTACTATCCAGTAGTAGGGTTATTATGTAAAAGACTAAAACCAGTGATTTCCTAAAAAATAGTTGACAGCAATATTTGGAGCTACCACTGAGAAAAGCTTTCAAGAAAAACTCATACATATTCAAATATTTGGTGAGGAGTACAGAGACAGAAGCTGCAAACCTATGGTATTCCAACTGATTTCTTAATGGGGCAGGAGTCAAGGAATATTTGTTGTGTTGGTATCAGTTTTTCTCCAAAGTTGATGAGCACATGAAACAACACTGATCTAGAATGCACACATTCACCAACCAAGCAAGTACCAAAAATGGTTAGTGCATGTCCATGCACGGGGCTAAACAACAGTTCAAATATTAAGGCTAAGAAACTGAGTTTTCCTGAGAGAGTTTTATCTGAAACACCCCAATGAAAAATGCAGATAATATAAATTAATTGTAAATAAATCAAGAGTGTGGGAAATTAAACTGTACCAAGTGTCAAATTTAGACAGTAAACCAGCTATATTATATCTACCTTCCTTACTACGTAAGTTTTCTAAAAATAAAGAGCATAATAAAGGACAACATTCTTCTGAGAATTCAGAAGGTGATTAATTCACCAAGGTGATGACGAGATTATGAAATGTGCCTTGTGACCAAACATAAAGGCATAAGGAAATCACATTTACTATAAACAGCTTTAAGTACAACTTGGCTCTACCTCTAACTGTTTCTATTAGGGAAGTTTATCCCATAGAGAATGTTGATAGAATTGAAAAACTTTAATAATAATACTGTAATAAAAATAATATTAGAATCGTCAGAATTTATTTTATTATTACTTACCAAAAGGTCCTTCTGAAAATCCAGTAGCCTAGGTCCATAACTCACGTGAGACACATCAATCAGAAGTCCAACTTTGGTTCCTTTTATAACACCAAACACCTTACAGGAGAAAAGGCTTTGTAAATACTAGCTTATCTAAATTTTAATAATTTTACTGTTTATTCTGAACAACACCATTTTAAAATCACGTATTGGATATTTATTTTCATTTTAAACTTTTTAGCCTAAAGTGACAAAGTCAAGGAGGGAAAAAAAAAAGGAAAAAAAAGGGATAAAAAAGAAGAAGAAGAAACAAAAGAGAGGCCTATGGGTCCCAGTTAATCCTCACCAGTGAATCATATTACCTCCTTCCCAACATTCATATTTGAGAGGATAAATCAAACATAACATTGTCTACAGCATCTCCTTCAGGCCAAACCAAGGAGCTTTGTGGCAAGCAGATTTTGGAGTGCTGCTTCCTTCTCTCTCCCCTTTGAGAGGGAGTTACATCCTGAGCCTCAGCACAGCTGGGCAAAGTTAGTGCATAATGAGGTGGGCAGGAGAGGGCACACTGGACTAGGAGACACTTCCACTCCAGTCAGAGGATGCTCAGCATTGTCTGCTCCCAATTTAAACTGTGCTGGGAGGTCCTGATGATTAAAACTGCTAAGAGAAAGAAAAATACTCGATCTGGAAAGCAGAAAACTGCAGACCAATGAAAAATCACAAAAACCAATCCACTGTCAGGATCGCTGCACATGATGTGGAACTCACAGTAAAAAGTGAAAATGCATAAGCTTTCTGGAAGTCACTTCTCACTAGCATTCAAAAGTTAATATATTCTCTAATTCCATACATAGTTCCACTCTAAAATTACATTGCAAAGTTAAAGTTACCTTCCTGCTGTCCTCCAAGAGCCACTGAATTCTCTGCTGATAAAGTTCCATGGCTCTGACAAAAGGCATAGCACACACTTAGCTCAGGCATTCTCTGCCATTGTGCCTCAAAGTAACAATCAACAATCAACCACCTGTCTTCATCACATCCCTTTTCTCACAGATGCAAACAGGTATTTAAAAATACCGTTTTCAGTGCTCTTACACAGCCGGTGCTTGCAGGGCTAACCATTTCAATTCCTCTTCCCCTAAAGCCCTTTGACTGATCAGATATGGAGGTGTTTGAAAAACTAACACTGTTTTACTTTAACCTCCTTCTTTTTAAAACCATGCACACGGTTTTTACAGTTTGTTGAGCGAAAATATTTGAAAGGGGAAAAACCTTCTTGCTTTTTCAAACGAGAAAAGCTGCTCCTTTTTTACCAAAGCCAGACACGGTGAGGTATGCTGAAGTGGCAGCACTCCTGGGAATTGTGAAGGCCAGTAAAAATATTGTTTACTCCACAGCTTATTGAACCTATTAATGAAATGATTTCCTCAGTTTTTAAGTTTCCTTGATTTTATACATTTAAAATTCACTTAGAAAACTTTGAACTTCTACGTGTCGTGACCAGATCCATGATTGGAAACTAACCCAGTAGAAATAACCCACAAATACACAGTGTTACCTGTGAAAACCTGACTCTTCAATAGCTGCCTTTCTAAAATGAGCTGCTTCACATCAATACCTGCTTAATGAGCATCGTCGTTAACAAAAAACACCAAACAAGCTCCAGCTGTAGTGATACACAATTATCTCCTACCCTAAAGCTCAGCAGAAAGGATTTAATGCTGAGGTACTTTGAAGTTCCCACAGACAACAAATAAAGATTTAAGGCAGGACTTGCAGTGCTGGGGAGTGGGGATACACAATCAGTTACACATCAAAATTATAAATAAAACTGATACTTACTCAGAAAGTCTGGACTCAAAATCAGTAAGAGTCTCCTCTGTAAACACCATCCCTTCAGCACCATTTCCTGAATTCTTGGAACACTGTGGATAATTAACATCAGAGATGCACACAAATCAGGACCGAGTACAGCAAGGGCAGTGTTGTACTTACAGAATGGTATTGCCCTTATTTACCAGATACTCTAATGTTAATTGCAAGGATTCTAAACTGTAGTTTCTCATCCACTCTTCTGTGGTTTGCATCATTTGAGACTGTATTTTCTTCATTGGTCCACTCTACAGATCAAATAAGAAAAAATTACATGCAGCGTTAGAAATTTAATGTGCTGTTCAAACGGGACAAAAATATATGTTTTAAGGAGAGTTGCTGGTAGGCAGTGCACGTCCAGGAACAACATAATTTTAGGTACTGGAATACTCTGTTGGATGTGGGATGCAAAGGAAAAGAAGCTTTCAGAAACCCCCCATATTGTGAGGTAAAGGAAGGGGAGCTTAGTTTGGAGGAGACAGGAAGGAACACAAGAAATAGGAGAGTTCAGTAAAATAATTAAAATAAATACCCCAGTGATTTACCAGAGAGGAAAACAAAACAAGCATCCCCAAAACATGACTCAGAGTTTGAAGGAACATATAGCCTTCTGCTTTTCTGAAGAAAAATGCAGGGTCTGCAGTTGATCTACATGTATTGTTTTGCCTGATTTGTTCACAGACTGATTTATCTCTGCAGAGAAACTACACGTAGTGATTGTATCTATCACATTGTCTGTGTATATGCAAATATATATATGGAAACATATTAGTTGTCTTTCAGCTTATTTATTTCTCTCTCTCTTTATAATGGGTATGTATTATTGTCCTTGTTGCTCCACTTAGCAGGAAAACTTGCCTACCAGCAGATCTTGTGTCTTGTTGGTATGTGTTCCCAATAATCCACTATCTGGTCCTAGATGAGACACAGTAAAACCTTGCCATGGTAGATGATCACCCTGTAGATGGCATTTCGTGGCCACCCTACAAGACAATTAATTTTATGGGATTACTTCATTACCCATAATGTTCCTGTATTGTCATAAAGTAATTTCATTTCTTTTCAGTAGAAACTGTTTTATACTTCGCCAATTGCTTAAACATTCATTTAATATACAGTAAATGTTTTGAAGGGACATAACACATAGTTTATATGAGCTCTAATTTATATTTATGTATGAAGTTCCAACAAGATTTTGTAACAATTTCCTCACCCATTTTTTTCCCCAAACTGACCAGTGTCCAACAACCACGCCGTTTTCCTGATGTGTGTATCCATGATATGAATGGACTCAGCCTTGTTAAAAATAAAAGCAAAAAACACAAAAAGCAAAGAAGTTTAAATCCTCAGGAATAAACACTACTTTAAAAGGTATTGTTGACACTGCCAGCAACGTAAATGATAATTTGTATTGTATGTGGAACAACAGCAAACAAATAAACAAACAAACAAACAAACAAGGAGAAGTTACAATTATCCATTTATAGAAAACGCCTTTAGGAACTATTCTGCAGGAACAGCTTGCTAAGGGATTTAATACAGTTAAATGTAAGTTAAATATAATTTCCACAGCCAGAAATGAGATTAAACAGCAAAACGCAGAGGGGCGGCGGGCGCTGGGACAGCCGGGCTGGGCGCGGCTGGCAGAGCTGCCCCTCGGGCTCGAGGCGCGGCACGAACTGAGCAAAAATCGCCATAAAACCCCGGCTTTCGCCCCGCTGGGCTCCACCGTCCCGGGCTCCCAGCGGAGTCAGCGCAGCCCTTCCCATCCCCACACACCCTCCTCGCCCCACTGAGGAAAAGACCCCCGGGCTCCCCCGCACCGTGACACTCACACAGCCCGCTCCCCCTCCTCCCTCCCTGGGCACGCCCCGGAATGCAGGGCGGGCCCCGCGCCAGCGACAGGGATCGGCCCCCAAGCCCCCTCAGCACCTCCCAGCGCTGCCCCGACCCTTCCCCCGTGCGGGGCTCCGGGGGCGGAGGGGCCCGGCCCGGTCCCGCCCGGCTCGGAGCGGCGGCTCCGCCGCGTTACGGCGTTGCCAGGGGAGACGGAGCGGCCCCGGCGCGCCCCTTCCCGCCGCATGGGGCGCTGTGGGCCTGAGGGGACACCTGAGGGGACACCCGAGGGGACACCTGAGGGGACACCCGAGGGGACACCTGAGGGGGACACCCGAGGGGACACCTGAGGGGGGGACACCTGAGGGCACAGCTGCAGGGACACCTGCGAGGGGACACCTGCAGTGACACCTGAGGGGGACACCTGAGGGCACAGCTGCAGGGCTTGCTGTGGGGACACCTGAAGGGGACACCTGAATGCAGGGCCAGGGCCGGTTCCAGTCAGCACAGTCAGGGCCAGTCGCTTTAGTAGACAATTTATTTTGATAAACTTGCTCAATAACAAAAATACAAGTGAAGAAAATTATGTTCATTTTATACAGTTTGTATTAACATTTGTTCGGAAATCATTAATTGAAAAAAATGCTCTAAACCAATTAGAAAACAACCCTCAGTAAAGGCTGGAGGTGCAGGCGGCCGGTCCAGCCTCGAGCGGGAGCGACGCACGCCCAGGCAGGACAGCCCGCCTGCAGACACCATTTCCTTCATTATGTTCATCCTTCACAAAGGTTTTAAAGGACAGCTTCCATTTTCCTGTGTGTGTGTGTGTCGGGGCGAACAGTAACCTACAGTCGTGTTCTGGAGTGGTTCAACAACGGCTCAGAAACACAGGGATGGCAGGAGAGCCCGAACCTGGCGGTGCCACCTCGGCCAGGGGACAGGGTGGTGGGGCTCTACCGGTGTCTGCGGGACACCGATATCGCTCTCCAGCAAGAGCAACAACAGAAAACCACGTTAAATGGTCAGCCTGGTGTGCCCAGCGAGGCACACCCTCCCCAGGTCTGAGACAAACAGCTTCCAGGCAATTATTTCAGCTGAGCTCAACGATGACATTTATACAGACAAATTAACTAGTTTCCCTTCTGAAAGTATTTCAAGTTTCCAATCTTAACATATTGTTAGCCAAAGAAATGACAAGCGTGCACGAATTACATTATGATGGCACATCAAACCTCTGGGGGAATGTTGAGGCAAAAGACTAAACGAGATTCTCTAGTGACGTATGAAATGAGCTGTCCTTCAAGAAGTAAAAAATAATGGCTGGCAGAATCAGAAAAGTTTATGTAAACACTCAACACAAATATGGGATTACCTTTGGAGAAGATTCCTATGGAAACATTTGCTTTTCATGAACTGAAAAAGTCTACAGATGTTTAGGCATGTTCAATACGAACTTCCTGTAGTTCAAAACAAAACCTTGTGCAAATAAAACCTATAAATAGTCTTCAGCAGATTTTACAGTGATGCTCTTAGGTATGAAAAGAATGCACACAACTTTAAAAAAAAAGTAACGGACATAAGTTTGACAAATGATTGCACCATAAAACAGTGTTTTATATACAGTTTACAAGATTTGATTTTCTGCTATAAATTAATACTGTACTATATAGTACTTAGTGACCTTATTAAAAGCAACTGTTGACAGCTGTCTCTTCAATTACTGGATTGGGCTTTTTTTAAATGCAAATGGCTGCATCTATTTCTGGACTTAAAATGCTCAAATATTTAATAAATCTATTTGTTAAATCTCTGTTATCATTTAATAATTCATAGCAATAGCATTGGCAGATCAGATAAATTTCCAGTCAGCCAACCACAGTCTGGATATGCTCCAAGATAAGTGTGTTTTTTTTAATTTTTATTACATGATGATCCATTTAATCAAAGCCTAAATCCATATGACGTTACTATAACTGAAATAAGTACGTTGGGGGAGCAGGGAAGGGGAAGAAATCTTAGCAGCTGAGAAACCCTCCCCACCCCCCACCTGTGTTCCAGTTACAAAAATCTAGAACTATTTACAAGTGTGACATTTCTGAAAAAAATAACAGCCTTTTTTTTTTTTTAACATAATTTATAACCTAAGTTTTAGTGAATACTTTAGCTTAGGACACAGTAGTGATAACACCAAAATTTTGACACATATCAAGCAGCTGAACCCTGCCTTTTATCTCCACCAACATCACTAGGGACCTCAGACTTAAATTAGGAACCAAATCATATTTAAACCACTACTTCAAAGTAGGTGCCTGGCTGTATTTACAGATTAGTATACTTTAGAAAAATTTAGTTATCCATAAACACTCCATTCTACCTGTGAACGAGCTGACTGGAAAAGAAAAAGTTGCTTATGAACCATTCCAGTGACAAGTTTGTTCAAAAATTTCAAAAGAAAAAAAGACTTAAATCAGCAAATAATCTTTTTGTATTAAAATACAGCGGGAGGGGGAGAGGGAAGAGGTGAGAAGGACAGCGACCCACTAGGGTCTGAATGGCACACGGTTTAAAATAATTGTGCAAATTGTGTTCTTTTCAAACACTTCAGCTTATCTCATCAGTGATTCATTTGGGAACTGCTGATTATATTTCAATAACCACCTCATTCCAAAATGCACTTTCCCTCACAGTTTAGGCCAGTGTCTATTCAGAAATGCAGTTCCCCCGGTAACCGCAATGGAGCAGCGCTCAGAACACACCGTTGGTTTCGTTTTCGTCATGAACCTCAGGTGAACCATGGATTAACTGGAAAACAAACACTGAGAGTGCAGGCAGCTTCCCTGCAACACCAAACTACTGTCTGCAAGGTTAGACCCAGCTGTGAATTAAGACGTCTGTGGGCTCAATGGTTTATCCATGTGCTGAAAAATAAAACTACTTTTAGTGAGGAACATTTACTCCAAATTTGGTTGGTCATTAAATCCACCTTTAAAATAACAACTTTAGTAAACAAGGCATATACTTTTCAATAATTATATTGCTCTTTTTTTTTGGCAAAGATGAATTAATACTCGAGTGAAAATAAGTTCATCCATCTTTGCAGTGGAACAGTGTTTGCATTACTTTAAACATTGCATTTTACATGTGCTAGAGAAATGCTTACCTATGGTAAAATGCTGTGCTTGAACATGTATGAATGCTAATGTCACAATGCAGTAGAAAAAGAGATTTTCTGTACAACAGTTGCTAATAATTTAAATAGTGTCAGTTTCCCAAAATTAGGATTTTAACTTTACGGCATGACATGATCTCACCTTCTACCCTCATATACAAATAAATTACCATAAAAAGAATTTTAGCTTAACTTAAAATTGCACCTAGAAAGGCATGGGATCGTTTGTACCTATTACAAAAAACTGTTAAAATCAAGGGCTGCTACAAAGAATGAGGTAAACTGAAGACTCTCAGCTATGTGGCCTTCAGAGAAATGGCTTTTTTCTATTGAGTTCTAGTTTTGCACACCACAGTGTTTTGCTAGCAAAGCGTTCTGAGTTCTTTTCCAGGAACCATTTGTGTGTATATACATATATATATATATACATATGTGTATATACACACACACACACATACACACACACTGTATACTGCATCAGCAAAATATATATATATATTTATATATATATTTATATAAATATAAGGAAGAGATCCCCCTTTAGAACGTTCCTTAGTGTTTCCTAGAGCTCATGGGGGAGGAGGGGATGTGTGTCTTCTTGCTGTTACATACATTTAGAGAACATGTTTTGATCTATTGGCTTCTTGGTGCAGTAATGCGAGATTGATCCACGGTGGTGCCAAAGGCTTTGCTCAACAGAAGGAAGATGTAAAACACTAATCTCCTAAACAGCGAGGCCAGCCTCACTTGAATTCCTCTGCAACCCTCTGGTCTACCACAAAGTTCATAAATACTTTGACTTCCAAATGGTTAGACGTTAAAAACAGGAACAGTCCAGTAACATGGGGCATTTCTGCTTCTCAGTGTAAAGCATTCTTCACTAGTTCCTATCACAGTGCAGACCTGACTGCATTAGAGTATGCTCAGGAGATTAGTCCACGGTGGCTGTATTTGGTTATGGGAAAGGCTCTCCTTTTTTTCATCCAAAGTGCATAGTGAGAACAAGTCAAAGCATTCCTCTTTTCAGTCAGTGTTTGACAGTCTGATTTAGGCATCCTCCTGAGAATGCAATTCTGATGTCTTGCTCTTTTCCAAAATAAAGTCCTGCAGTTCAGACATTCATCAGCCAGGTAAACAAACTTTGCCAGCAAATAGAAGTCCCACTATTGTAAAGAAAATTGATAAGACAAACAGTACATACGAAGACCCAACCACTGTGTTATTGGGTAATTTATATGGTTGACCTCCAACTTCATTGATGTAAAATCCTATTGGAAATATTAGGGCTGCCATACAGAATAGAATCACTGCAAAGAAAAAAGAAAAAACAAACAGTTACTGCTATGTTAAAGTGAAAATATTTACCCAGTCATAGAGCACCCAGAAAAGCAAGCAAAGTATTCTGAGAGAACTCAAGAGCTAAGATATATCAGGACATAAATTGGTTGAAATGAGTAGGCTTTATCTTGCTTTTAACCGGTAACAGTCATCACTAATCACTGGCTCCTGTGCAAGTCAGCAGTGCTGCAGCTGCCTTTGTCTCCAAAAGTGGGTAGAATAAATTCAGGAGCTGACTTGTCCCCTTTGACAGGTGAGGACAACGTTTCTAGTCTTTACAAATGAGAAACAATGGGCTGGAGCAGCCTCAGTATTTTTTAATGTAACTTCACTACTGCTCTTCCCAACTAAATACATCTGCTCCAGTTTATCCAGCTACAGTGTTGTGTGCCCACTCTAAAAGCACTTTCTAATGGACTCTGTGTTTATTCAAGATGAAGAGTTTACCACATATTTGATATCTCAGTGCTTATGATTTCCACAGCACAGGTCTCAGCTCTGAGGCAAAAACACTCATGCTCCAGAAGGTCCTAGCTGTGGACATAGTGAATCTGAATTCAAAGATTGCCCAACCATGATCCTCATCAGAACCTCATTTCCAATGCTCCTTCATTTCCAGAACACCTAACGCAGCTTTCACAACACCTCGAGCCAAAGGCAGCCAGCACCAGGATCAGCCTTTCCTTGGGCTGACAGTACCGAGCTGGAAAAACCAGACGTTCCACTGGAGGGGGCTCGAGTTTCGCTCACAGCGCGCTAGCACAGGAGGGTTATTCTGCCGAGGGGAAGAGAGGGAGCACGAACAGCGAACATCTGGCACCTGCACAGTTGCCACCTCCTTAGGCCATTGAAACAGAGGCAAGGACCCAGCAAGCAGGCGTTAAACATTAATCTAGAGGGCTTTAATCTATGGGATTATTGGTCCTTGTAATTCCACACTACACAACCTAACCCTTAAAGAATGCTTCCCTGTCTTCAATTGTATCTTAACAAACAGCTGGTCCATCGGAGGAGAGCATGTTGAGCAGAGCTGTGTAAGGACAGAAGACCCCTGCATTTGAGTGGTCCAGAAAACAGTGGTTGATGTGTGATTAGTAGTAGGACATACAAATGGTACCAGTTTGAATGATATCCCAAGGATTAAGCATGTTATCATAACTCAGCATCCTTCCTATTACATCCAGTTTGTCCACAACCAGTTATTTACAAAACTTGCCTAACATTTTAACAGTAACACACTTAGAGCAAATAGCTTTTGGATTCTGAAAACAACCTGCACTTTCAAGATTAAATCCCTCTTTTTATATTCAAGAACCACACAGCTGGAAACGTTCTGACGGTCTCTCAGATATGGTTGAAGAATAGATCTTTTTCCTTCTCCAATCAACCATTCTTGAGGTGTGTTGTACCCACACACACCAGTGCTCCCAGTCTGAGAGCTGGGAGTGTGCCCAGGGTCTCCCTGTGCTCCTGCCCCAGGACAGAAGGGTGCAGGCACCTCAACTTTCCCTCAGTGCACAGTAGGAGCAAAAATAAACTCTGCCCGTGCAGGCAGGGTGCAGAATGTTGATGTGCATGTGCATTTCAAACATTTACTACAGAGGGAACCGGCCACCTTTTCTCTTCCACTGTGCTCATGTTCTGCTGGGAGGCTGTCCAAGCGATTTTCTTAGCAGGGACTGAATTTTTAGTCTATTGAAATAGCAAATAAAAAGTGGATCCATCAAAGTCTCTGGCAGATTAGAGAGCCTGGTGAAGGAATTAAGGCAAAGTTTTGAGAAGTCATTAAGAAGAGACTTCATGATAAATTTATTTCAAAAAAAAAAAAGAAGAAGAAACTAAGGAGAAAATCCAATATATGAAAAGCTCATTTATTCTTTTAGAAAGAGATTTTTAAGGCAGAGGATAGGAATTTCTTATACAAGCTGTACTCCAAAAGTAGCTCTATATATCTGGTATTATCAACTCAGTGAATTTCTAGCAACCCATAAAGAACTTCTCCCTTAAGAGTACTTGCTTTTGATTTCAAGTTCTTCCTTGTGTAGGAAAATTTGCAGAAAAGCCACTTAATGACTACAATTTCTGGTAACAAAAATAATTAGGTAATAAAACACAATAATGTCTAGTTTGCATCTGAATGGTGGCTGTCAAAAACCCCCAGTGGTTCTTGTGATTCTTTAGCTCATAATTGTTTTGAGCATCTAATGACAACTTCAAAAAATCCAGCCTTAAAAAAACGGTCTAGTCTTTGGAGGGCTCACTGTAATATCTGCTCATCTCTTCAGAGACACATAACCCAGAAAGCAGCACCTGGTACAAATCTTTAATAACTCATGAAGCACTTTGTTCACTGGGGAGCACCAGTGACAGACGTTCACAGAACAGCTACTGTTAGTTAAGGATGTGATTATCCTGCCCTATTTTTACTTGCATTCCAAAGAGCAAGCCCATTATGCTCATGAACTTTTAAATCCTCAGGAAAAAAAAAAAAACCAAACCCAAACCAGACTCTGTGGTAACTGCTGGAAAAAAGGTAGAAATATGATTTTTCTGTCTAACATCTCCTCCCTTGATACATCTCAGAGAAGCACCTCATTCAGTGTAGCAGACACAGAATTAATTCCCTTTCTAGTTGTAGCAGATGGCAAGAGACCTGAATCTGTGAGATGTAAACAGATCTTGAGGGGGCTCTGTGAATTCCTGCAATAGCCAAGATTGTTATAATATACATAAAACCACCTAGGAAGCCTCCACAGGGAATAAACTCTGGGCATTGTTTCTAATTATGGAACTTAACAGTGCCTGTCTGAAGGACCATGAACATTTCATTTGAGATTTTCACACCTTCACCACACCCCCTCTTTTACAGTGTAAGACTGTACCATCAGGGACAGTTTTGACAGTGTCTATGCCCAGCATGACAGACCTATCACATCAGCAGCAATACTGTGATTCCCAAAGGACTGATTCACACAAAGTGAAGGAAGACCTTCACATTTGCCTTTACAAACAAGACTTTTGTCACTCATGCAGTAGGACCTGAAGGACAGCAGTATCTCTCCTCTCCACAAAGCTGCTTTGCAGAGAGGTCAGACAAGTTTCTGAGCAGAAAACCCACCCATGGGTGGGGAATGAGGCAAAGGCTGTGCCTGTTAATCCCCTCTCAGGTGGATCCTCCAGAGCTGTATACGCCAAAGAGAACTGGCAGATCCAATTTCATCTTACCTGTCTCCTACCTAAACCAGACAAGACCACTCTCAGAATAATTCATATTTACAGGTACACAGCTGATAAAACCTGAAGTCATCCAAGATGACAAGATTACAACCAAAAATTCCATGAGAAATACAAGTTAGCATTTATATATAAATTCCACCATGAACTGGGCCGGTGACCTCTTACCAGGCTTTCCTTGCTGCTGTCAGAGTTGCAAAGAAAGCTGAGCAAGAGGATTCCTCTGCCCTCAGGTATTTACTGCAGACCCCCTTGCATTTGAAGGAACGGAGCTGCCAGTCCCAGAGCTTCCCTTGGAAGTCCCAGCAGACTTTGTGCTGCCTGCCTAGGATGGCACATCCTGCACTGTGTTCAGAAAGTTCTGGGAGAAGAATTATCTGCCAGCAGCCTGCACAATGCTGTTAAGTCCTGAAATTGCTTGCAGATGAGATGAAATACAAATATGAAGCTTTCCCTGCTCTCTCTTCTAATGAGTTACACGTTTTCATCCAAACAGCACTGGCACTTCACAGGAAGAACCTGCTCATGGTATTCCAAGTTGATTCCACATGGCTCCATGTTTCCTAACACTGATCTACAAACAGGTTACTAATTTGTGTTGCATCCAGTGAACCACACAAGTCACTCTCATCAGCTTTCTGAAAAACACAGAATTCTTCCTTCCATTCATTTCTGTTTTGCAAAATTGATTTTTCTTACAAGTGAGTTAAGCAATAAGATTTCCCATCATCATTGTTAACAGGAATGCAAACGTCACAGAGTTCTGTGTATTGGAGATGAATACCAAAGACAGTGAATTTTAGAATTTCAACAACGCAGCCATCATATCTTAACAGAATTATGATTAATTCTGACTTGCAGAAGAATAAATTAGAATGCTTCATTATTAAACATCTCATAACAAAAGACAAGTGCTGAAATAAAAGAATGTCCTTCTATCTTGAAACATCTAGTATTGAACCTGTTGCAAGCTTAAAGAAATCTACAGGAAAAAAAAAAACAAAACCCAAGACAAAAACCAGCCTAAGGGTACCAGACTTTTTGGATGAACTAATCATCACAGTTGTGGAAAACTAAAGCTGCAGGGAGGTGACAATTCGAGATATTTAAGAAGAACATTAATACATAGTACTTCAAAACCCCTTTCTTGCCCTACAGCGTTGACTTCAGCCAACTGTAAGCATCTTAATCTTAATCATTTTGAGTTTAACCCCCCCCCACCATTTATTAGATATACATGAAATATGTATAGATAAACAAGTGCACTGGAAAAGCTGGGGTGGAATATTCAGGAATACTCATATCTGCTATTTCAATCATTCACCGGAAAATAAATAAAACTCAATCACAACAGATACAGCATTTCAGTAGCTCCATTGTCTGCAGGAGCTGTACTATTAATTTAATATGCTGTGAAGCAAAGTTGTCAGAAGGATGGCTTTGATTGTACAAGTGCCTCAGTGAAGTACCTTTGTTGAAGCTGAGCACTTTTTAATATTATTCCCTTCCCCCAAACAAGGTTAAATCTTCCTCCTATTAGATATCATTAGATGTCACAGAGTTCCATTAAACCTTATTTATGCCCCTGTAAACCACAAACTTGCATTTTCTAGTTAGTGTTCACACTACCTTTAGTGGCATGTCATAATTCAAGTCAATTTAAAAGCCCTCAGGTTTTGAGTGTTTTCATGCTGTCCTCCCCACCATTAAGGCACCATTTCACAGTTGGGCTAAGCCTGCAACACACACCAAGAAAAGGAAGTTGGAAAGTTATTCCCCTTGCTCGTTACAAGTGTTTTGTTTTCGCACTGAAGTAGCCATAGGCTATGTTTGCTTGTGTGGAAACAGAGAGGGCTGAGCTGAGAGGAGTTCCACTGGTGCTCATGCAGAGCAGAACCAAGGCAGGCAAAAGGGCAGCGATCCTGCTCCCCCCGGCTCCAGCACGGCTGCAGGTCACTCCTGGAAGCAGAAGTCTCAGTGCTGTGAAGCACAGCAGATGCTCTGCAGTGGGCAATCCTCCTGCATTGCCAATTAGGATGCAGATACTCTGAATAAAGCAGCCACCAGGAGCACGAGGCAGGACTGAACCGGCACCGACCCCGAGCCAGGTGATCACGAGACACCTGGAGCAGGGATGGGTTGTCTCAGATGGACCAACTGCCTCCGCTGCCTCGGGGAGGGGATCTTCTGTCAGTCCATGCAGGTTGGAATAAGTCCTAGTTATATGGGAGTGGGGCAGTATGAAACACCACAGACACTCAAATCAGGACTGACCTCTTCTATCCCTGCTCATTCTCTTAGGTCAATTAATGGCACTGCCCAAGGAAGGTCAAGGGGTCAGGGCCTTCCCTTCTCTCACCGTGGGCCCACAGACAATTATTCCCTCTCAATTACAGTCACTTAAGACACCAACCCTTTTATTTTGGAAGACTTATTTGTCCCTCAGCTGTGGTATTTAAAAGAGAAGGAACGATTTGTACAGCAGGAGCCCTGAGCACTGCTGCTTAACCACACTAGAGTGTTATTGCAGACTCCACCAGTTTATCCTGCATACAGGTCAACTGTGCAGTTGAGGTCACTTACTTCCAGTGAAAGCTATCCAGCGGGCATATTTAGTAGCTTCTCTTCGCCAGTGGGAAGCCACCAGCAAACCACAAGTGACAGTTAGTGAAATGATTCCCATTATGATGAAAAATAACGTAGTGACCCACTCGGGAGGCAGCCGTGGAGGAATACAGGTCCTGTCACGTCCATGGATGGTTTGACACTGTCGCACAAGGCCAACTGTGAGAGCACCTGAAAATACACAGCAGAGAGGCAAGTAAACTTTCAAAATCCTCTCTGAGGGGCGCTCAACTGCAAACCAAAGCTCAGGATTGCCCCAAAATAAGGGATTCTTTCCTTGATGAACCTTAATAAGCCTTTCAAACACAGAGGATGGGGAGGGGGCATGCTTTGAACATCTATCTGCAGGTTCTGCCATCATGCACTCGCACAAGCTGAAGTGAGATGGCTGCAAGCTGTATCTGGCTCCTGAGTGGCAATCAAGGTCTAATCAAAGGGATAAAGCACTCCTAATAAAGCCTGCCAGTATCAGCTAACGTGGTAGCTGAGTTGTGCAGAGGATCACTCCCTCCTCTGTGCAAGATGAAGTACTTTTATAATCTAACAAAAGGAGCTGAAGCCCCCCTAAAATGCCTTTAATTGCCTAATACCTTTTCCCCTCATCTGTAAATACAGCTTTAATCCTCTAAGTCTTGCAGCAGAAACTGCATTTGATTTATATATGATTTTAAAAACATTTAAAAACCCCACTTCTTGACAATAACTCCCTCTATGCAAGACTGGTCAATCCTTTTGACAGCTAACAAGAATAACTGCACACATACACTGGGATACCTACACAAAAGATCTATCAGAAACATCCCAGAAAAACAGTAAGACTGGTACAGGAACCCTAAAGTTTCACACAAAATTATGTATTTTCTGTTAAATAATAATTTTAAAAATCTGCTTTGAAATCTAATTCAGTGGTTTTGAGACTCAGAAAGAAGCTTTTAGTAAGCTTTAATAAGGAAGTTATATTCATTTGGAAAATTGTAACCCCAATTTAACATGCAAGATTGAGACCCATTTCTTCCAGTGTCTCTTAAACAGTAAGTTCTGTATTTCTAAACTTTATCCCTTCTTCTGAACTGTTTTCCTAAATAATCACAATTATCCTTTATCTAAATTAAGAAAAAAAAAATCAACAGTGGATAGTATTAGAGTCAAAAACTTTCTCCACAAATTACTTCAAGTAAATATTGTTTTAGTTGACCTGTTTCAAACAAAAAGAGGACAACTCAGAAATAATTACAGTAAGACTTGGAAGCTTAGGGGAAACATCTGTCATACTTTTTAGCTTCTTTTGGGGAAAAAAAAAAAAGAAGCATGGAACAAAGAATTAAGCCAATAGTCAAGAGGGTAACCAGTCCTACTGCACCTCCTGGAACCCAGGAGCCAACTTCTACAGATCCTGTGTGCTCAGCAATGAGTCCCACCAGAATCAGCTTCTGACCTCAGAATCCTTGGGTTAGGAGGCAGCATATCATGTTTTATTAGATGTTGTGCTTCACATACACTCCCAGAGCATGGGAAGAACCAAAAGCAAAACTGTTACTGAATCAGTTCTGTTGAAGCATTCCTGGAACCCTTTTTAGACTACAACATTCAGCCCTATTCAAGTACATCCCTTTAATTACCCAGCTGAAAGATTCAGAGATGAATCTCCAGCTAACAGTTGAACGGCTACAAACCCCAATAAAACCGGCATTCTCCATTGCAGATATCCAGCAATCACACCTGAGCTGTGCCCCAGGAGCACACAAACCTGAGCCACAATCACAGGAGCAATCCTGCACAGCTCACACACCTGCACAGTGCAGTTTGACACAAACTGCTTCTCAGTTGGCTTCTCCCAGCCTGCAGTGTTTTCACTGGCCATCAGCTGCTGGCACAGAGGGCAGATGTGCCTGTGTCACCTGTGTCCTTAAAAGGCTCCCTGAACACACACACACACTGCAGGACCTCCTACAAAACACTAAGCAGTCTCCTGGAGTTTGGGGATAAAGAGGCTTATTCAGTGCAGCATCACAGAACAGGAGATCGATCCCAATCGCTCTGCAAGACCAGGATTTATCAACAATTTTACTACACTGACAGCAGAAGTCATTTTTTTCCAAACTGCATTTCTAATCAAAGTATGACTTCATAAAAATGACATCACACACTTAGTAGATGTTCTCTGAATTCAAAGACCTCTCCTAACTTCAGTGGCAATAATTTAGTGCATTTTTAACTTTGGCAAAAGCAACAGTGGTAAGAGCCACTGTGCTGGACTTGCTTCCATTTTGTATGTTAACTGAAACTAAAGAACAGCTGCTATAGAAGACCACGTCTTAGCAAGGGACAACTAGTTCATCTTTCTGATGAATTTACAATTTATATTGAAGATATGAGGACATTTAACATGTCAGGTTCAGAGAGAACCAAAGCTCAGCCCAGTACTGCCAGATCTAGAGGAAACACAAGAAAACTCCACCTTGAGCTATTATTTTTCAACGCACTTCTTTTTTTTACTGCCAACATCTACTTCTCCAAATGGTCATTTTCTTAACAAACCTACCCAAACCAAGAAACCCACAACTGAAAATTAAAAAAAGGAGGACAAAAATCTCTGAATTGTGAGTACCAGAGTAACATTCCTTTTTAATACAAGGATAGTTGCAAGAAACTATTGAGAGCATGGTTTCCTAAACACCACTTCTGGTGCCCAAGTGTATTGTTCCACTCTGGCTTTTTCTTCTTCTTTTATTTCTTTTTTCCTTTTTTTTTTTTTTTTTTAAATAGTTTTAAATTGCCATCAATTAAATTTCAGAATTTGCCATTTGGAGGAAATATAGTGAACTTTACAGTTAAAACTTTTGCTAGCAGGTACTAGTATTTTTTCTTAAATCTGTTCCGTGCATTACAAATCTGAAGGAGATGTACTCCATAGTGAAGGTTCTGAACCTTGAGTCTGCAGACTCTAGAGAGGCAAATGGAGGGCAAGAGGCCTGGGAACCATTTCTGAAGGTTTCACAAAGGTAACAGCCTCATTCAGAACTCATAAATTTAGTTCTAATTTAAGGTGACTGTACAGGAATACCTCACTCGTGTACATAAACTGGGCACAAGGAAATCAAACCTCGGGGCTTTCTCCTGTAGTGACAAATCTCCTGTTGAATGCAGATTTCAAAAGAAGTCTCTGGTGTGGAGAAAGCATGTTTATTTGCCATGAAATTCAAAAGGAGAGCATGTTTATATGGTATTTGATTGTGCTGGTCCCGTTCTAAAGCAATCAAGCAAACAGTTGCCGGGCAGCTGCCAACAAACTAACTTGTCACAGAAAGTCTTGTTTAACCTCATCTAGTCTATCACTGAAGGAGGGACAGAGATACTAAACTGAACAGTCCTTCTGCCTGTAGTTAGAGAATAGCCCAAGAGTCCATCTCAAACCAGTCACCAAGTTCCACTCTGATCCACTGGTAGAAGAGGTTTTTATGTCATTCTCTCAGAACAACTTCAACATAATGGCTGCAAATCTAAGCACCTGACACAGGTCTGAAGCAAACAGCACAGCTAATGCCAGTAGATGAGCAGCTTAAAGATGGATCCAGCCCTGAAAGATGTGCAGTGGAGTGAACACACCTGCCCTTCCTCCACCTCCCCATTCCCACATGTCAGGAACCACAATGACGACCTGGAGGTGCAGGAACTGCTCCCGTGCTCTTGTTTGCCTCTCTCCTCAGAGCTTCCAAGGCTGGCATTATTCAGGTTAGCAGAGGCAGTGCAAGAGGTGATTAGGATATATATGCTAATTACTAAAAATGAGATTCAACCTTTATCGAATCAGAGAATGCTGCCCTGAGCAAATGTTAGTGAAGTGGTCCTTAGTCTTTTCCAGTAAATCTATTCCCTGAAGTGCCAAAGCATTTCAAACCCATTAAACAACCTCCCAGTAGTGACAGTCTCCAGTTAATACCAGAGAAAGATTTTGTGATCACCCAGCTCCTCCAGACTGACACTAATGCTCATTTTCTGACACTGCATGTTTTAACTGGAATCAGTAATAAAGAGATTCTTTAACAAATACACCAACACTGGGGAGCATCACCTATTTAACAATTTTCATAAAACCATGGAGGAAAAGAGGGAGAAAGGCACCAAACCAAGGAAAGACAAGCCCTGGTTCTCCCCCTGGGTGCAATGAGCAGCTGCCAGAAAGCAGACCCCCAAATCCCACTCCAGCCCCGAGGTGTGTGCCATCCCTCTGCCGTTTCCCTGGTAACCACAGAGCCACCAAGGAGGAATCACACGCTACAGAGAGAAACAAAGATTGCTGCAGCCCTTCGACTCCCCCTCCTCTACATCACTCCTGAATTATTAAAAGTGGCACAGCGATGGCACTGCTGGAAAGCAGCAGCACAACAACGGCCATTCGGGTGTTCGCTGTTCATCTGCTCCTTGACTGCCACAACATGTGGGGATCGAGCGTGCCAGATGGACACAGGAGAGGTGCCACTGCCAAGAGGAGCTTGCCACAGCATGACAAACAAATAATATGGTAAAAGCACAATGCAGTGAACGAGGTGGGGCTCAAACATTAGAAGGTCACAGAGCTCAGCAGTTATGCTCTGCCATGAACATCCTCAGAACCGCTCTTGCTCAGCTTGGGGTTCTGCTCCTCCTGTCCTCCCCTACTGTCACCACTTGAGAACATCTTTACTTTTTCCTGTTAGAGAAAATGCTATTCCTTGGGTTTAAGTGCATCTGCAACCCCTGATATTCTGTGACAACAGCTTCCTCACTTTCACCTTCCATACATCAACCACATCCTCAGCAAAATGCTTAACACTAACATAAAATAAATATTACAGGCCAGTATGCCTAGTGAGGAGGTTAAAGCATCCAACCACTCCCAGACAGCCCACCTGCTCTCCCCTGCTTGCTGCCCTGATGAGAGGGAGGGACTCTGCCAGAAATGCCAGTTGTGAGTGCCAGACAATTTCTGCTCAAACGAGATGCTTTTCCACAGTGTCCTGTGGATTTGTTAAACCATCTTTGCTAAGGGAAGAGCACAGTTTAGAGGGCTCCTAATGAGGTGCTGGGGACATAAATCTCAGCACCACCAGCGTGGCAAGGACATTGGTAAGTTCTGTGTTTTAGTAACGAGCACAGATTATGGAGCTGAGTTATTTGGGCACACTAAAACA